TTTTAACTTGGACAAAGAAAACACGGCCGGGAAAGTACAAAGGGCCACCTGCGAATCAAAGGAAACAAGAAAACTGGAAAGCTTTTAACAATTCCCATGAGGAATCAGAATTAACTAATTTCGCTTGGCCGAATGCCTGATAATTTCACACGCAGATTTTGAGTGATTGAAACATCTGTCTACACATTCAGCAGGGGGGGGGGGGCATAATATCCAAATTAGAGATTATTAAGGCTCATTACGTTGTAGTGAACAGCGATTGAACAAAGGAATAGTCCAGATGGAACATCCAATAAGATGTGCATTTTTTATGAACGTGGGAGATTGGTTTCTAACAAGCTTAAAACTGTTCATCACAGAATGACCGAGTGCACTTTTACATTACATTTTGTATTCATGCTTTCCAATTTTCCCAAATTTTATGCCAAACAAAAACAAAACAAAACCGCAACACACAGTACATGTACATGTACACTAGAAGCATTGAGCATGGGAGCTGAAAAATATTTGCACAAGTGTGATCTTAGATTACTGCAGTGCACTGTGTATTTTTTGCACAGATTCATTTGTCCTATAAAGTTGTACTTTTCTGCACAAAGACACTGAAAATACAAAGTGAGGCATAAATATCTTTGCACATAATTTGAATGGTTTATTCTCAAAAAAATTCCTTTTTTCCCCGCCAGGCAAGTCAAATAAGAATTTTGGAAATAAAAATGTAAATGACGAATGTAAACAAACCAACAATATCACTTCCACACAAAGCTGCACACAAATGAAAGTCTGAAAAAAAACCTTGGCAATAGCAATATTAATTTTTCCTGAAAGTTCAGCCCAGAAACTATCACAAGGTGACAAAGCTATATTTGGAGTTAAAGCGTATAATATGACACGGTCTGCTGGCTGTATGTGAGGCATTTCAGCAGCACACAATAACACAATCCACATGAATATATCATAAATCTATGTGCCTCACACTACATGTACACATAATGCAGGCCTGTTGGCATAGTATGCAGCCAGCTTGCGTCCCATGCCCAGGCCCTACAAAGAGCACATCCGTGGCGTGTCCGATTACAGACCATTTCTCCATGTCCTTACCAGGCCTTGGGTTCATCAGTTCTTTTCATCTATGTGGAATGCTCATTCGACTGATGCAAAATTCACAAAAGGTAGTAGCACTGAATGCATACTGAACAAAGAGTGTAGTCAAATGGCATGGTGCACACGGTTTCAGAAAAGATTTTGTCATCCAAAATAATCTAAAACTCTCCAAACACAAATTCAAACTCCTCCCTGGGAATATAAACAAACAAGTAGGGCCTACATCCTTCCTCCATGATTATACATACGTGTCCATACTTGTTTACGTGTTAACAAGTTTTACTGCGTAAATGTTCATCTACATGTTCAGTACATGTGTAATAATATTAAAGGGAATATACAACATTTGCAAACATCGAAAAATAAAACTACCAAGTTTTTGCGAAATACCTTAATAGGATGTTGGTAAATGACAGTCTAAAGCATCCTGTAAAATTATGGCACCTGGTATACTGTCATTTTCAAGAAAAGTGGTATTTTTGTATCAATTTCCAACGCTGATCGGCCGATCAGCGTTGGAAACAACTGGCTTTTTTTCAAATACTGGCCCCAATTGACCATCGCACTTGTTTGCAATCGATTACAAACCTATGAACGGGTACGAGCCAGCTAGACTGGTTCCCTGACCTTACAATTCCCCAATGTATGTAAACTGCTCTAAACTGCTCTGTTTCTTCTTATATGGAGTCAGGGAACCAGACTACAGGAAAATGATCGTTTTTCTTGGTTTTTATAGCATTTTCGAACCCAAAACCTCCAAAAGGTCAGTGTAACTATATTTGCTATATATTTCCAACCCCCCAATCCCATCCATTTCTGAAAATTACAGCAAAAGCAAATGATGTATATTCCCTTTAAGGATGTGACTTTGCATTTAATTTTTCAAACATTTATCAAATATTTTAAGAACCGTTTAAACGTTTCTAACAATTTCACAACTTAGCTGATGCCTGCCATTACATGTACCCCCCGGTATGTCTGTAGACCGGTGTGATTGACAGAAAAAAACAACAATGATAGGTCAGTCATTGAAAAAGTAAAAACTGAACTGCGTGTGCCCCGAATTTAATCAAGTACTGAAGTGCTTCTGTGGTTTTAGGTTTGAAAACATCATTAATTATTTGTGCTATGTACATGTAACTCAAATGAAGATCGCGTGAACGTGGGCCCTTTTTTATAATTCGGCTTTGGTTTAAACATTTTGGAAAACTGATTTAGATTTTTTTTGTTTAAACGTTTAAATGTTTAAACGTTTAAATGTTTAAACGTGTAAATGTCACATCCTTAAACAGTACGTCCATGGGTGAATGCAATACTATGTCACGTACGATTCTTTTTTTTTGGCTAAAAACCCCCAAAATGAGGCAGCATGAGAATAAAATATCACAAAACAACAAGAGAAAGGCCCAAGACAGCATCTAACTTCAATCCCGTTTGGTGAACTTTTCTGTGACCTGACAATGTAAATAAACAACATGTCAGGTCAGTTTATCTGACAGTCACTAATCGTGTCATCCAGATGACCTGACACCGTCCTAATTAATTAGTGTGTTTACAATACAATCACATCTGGTACCCAGACTCTTTGTAATGGTCCTACAAGGGTTAAGGTAATGGACACATTTGCAAATTTCTAATTTGATTGTAAGTAAATAATAGAATCATGCATCCTTTGAATTCATTGCGCCAGATGCAATGATGCACCTGGTATGCTGTCATTTTCGAGAAAAGAGGAATTACGGTACTGCCATTTTCTTTGTGATAGTCTGATGGTTGGGGCCAAACCATCTTGCTATCAATGGATGCTTTGCAACAAGAAAAATGATTTATGCATTTTCACATTTTTTCAAATATGTACTGAGCTGAACAGTTGGACAGGTTAGCTTTTGAATGGCCTGCATCAAATTTATTGTACTGTTCCTTGAATTTTTTCATTTTTTTTTTTTTTGGGGGGGGGGAGCAAATGGTGTAGATTTATCTTAAAACCCCATCCCCTAGGCCCTTTTGGCTAGGAAATGTCCTTGGCCCTGCAAAATCCTCCAATTACCACCATTTAAAATTGGATTCAGCCTCAATCCTCCTAAATCATCTGTTATTTCTTGAATTTGTTCAGTGGAGGGGTGACCATTGCTTCAATCCTTCAAATCCTCCAACAATCACTACTGGGTTGAAGCAGTGCTGATGACATTAAGAAGCAGTGCGGATGATATCGAGCATAATTCAGGGCTCATTTATGCATGGCTGAACATAAACAATGCTGAGTACAGCCTATGAACTTGACACAGTGCATCCTCCAAAATCAACCAATTCCTTTGTCATTAAGCCTCAATCCTACAAAATCCTCCAAAAACGCTGGATTGAGGAGGAATAGGGATTGCTAAACAAAAGCACATTTAGGGTGAAATAAATGATAACCTCCTTTGTAGACATGATGTTTATTTGAAATATTTTCTTTTTAGGTTTTCAGCATACTTAGCCTACCAGTACATTTATGTACATTTGACAGTTGTCAAAAAGACAGGCACTAAGAATGTCAGACAACTTTGTTTATTGGCCGTCAGTGAATAAGTGCTTAATGGATGTCATGCATAAACATAACGCTAGGATCATCCTAGCTAACATGGACTAAACTGAAAGCCAACCCTGTCACACAGCTTCAAAAGATGTGTTTTATAGGGTCTATAAAACTCTCAATGGGGCATTAAATGTGTCCGAAAATTGTTATGACAACTTGGACAGGCAAAGAGTCTCTATCCATTGAGCACTTAATGTACGCATACATCCTTGTTTTTGATGAGATCTCAATATTTTAAGGTACATAAAGTATCACTACATGTAAAATGTACACAGTGTGTTTTTGTCATACATTCCATACGTGCACATGTAGGTTTAATACCTTATTTTGTTTGGAGAAAAGATGAATGAACAGCAATACAGTAATATTTAAATTACCAACTTGCACTCTGACGAAATCCAAATTTATCCCCCGTTTCAAAAGTTTGCAAAATATGCACCCAGTCCGGACAGTTTTAAATAGACACACATCTAATACACAAATGTTAGGCAATATTCAGTGCTTACAAGTTACACTGGTACCGGTACAAGGCTAGTGCTATGAATATTTTCAGACATTTACTACAAACTTGGAAATGTTTCTCAGTCCAAACACCAAAACAGGCAGAGCATACTGTTTGAAACGTTGATTTTCCCCTGGTTTTTTTTTAAAACCTCACAAACTTATAAAGAGATTTTTCACATGGTGCTACCATAAACCTTTATATTTCGAAGTGGCTATCGTTACGGCAGCCGTTGTTTAGCGCCCTCTACGATACTTTTTTGATACGCATGCAGGTATATAATTATTTGTTTCCCCATGTTTTAGCGAGCAGTGCGACAGCTCAGTCGATAGAGGGTAGGATTTTGCACCACGAGGTTGCGGGTTCGCATCTCAGTTTTGCACTCGAATTTTTTCCCTTTTCTAACCCGAGGCTTTGGAGGATTTTTTTTAAAAGGGAAATAAAGTCCGAATTTCACAACGTTCAAATTCACTTTTTTCCTTCTAATTTTATATTTTCTTCTCATGTTTTTATAAAAGTTGCAGTAGGTACCATAACGATTAACGATAGAAAATGGGAAATGTGTTACGGCTGCCGTAACGATAGCCACTGCGTTTATATTTATATTTATAAACTGGTTTTTGTTTTTAATTTTGAAACATCTACACTACTGGAGTACTGGCATGGCAGGACTGGTCATCAACAAACAAGTCATGACAAAAAGCTTCCTTGTGACCTTGAATCTTGACCAAAAGAAGTGGCATGAGAATACTATTTAATTCGTGCCGAAGAAATATTTTAATATTACATGGAGGAATAAGAAGGAATGGATATACTCACCTAATTTAAAAATGTAGCTCAACTTATAGATTGACGTCTTCAAATCAGGTCTGGCTGCACATCATTATGATCATTGCCGCATCATCATCAGACATCAACATGATCAATGCTCAGCTCAGATCAGAATACATCACAACATCGATAAACACCGCGCATCGCCGATGCATGCAACTTATCCCAACGGCCCAGGGTTGATTCTCATTGTGTTCTTCAAACAGTTGCTAGCCTACAGGGATCTACAGAGAATCCACTGCAGCGACACAGAAAGTTTCCAGGATTACATTTTACAGAACGAAAGATTCCTGCTTTTTCGCTGTGAACACAGTCAGTCCTGCTGCAGGTCTGCTGCGTGCTCAAGTAAATAAATAGCACAATGCATGCATGACGTTCGCATACAATCATTTACCTGATTACAGTCTGATCCCGCTATCAAAGCTTCATTAAAAATATCGTTGGGAGATGGTTACCAGACTGATGACGACGAAGGCGACAAAATTTCGGCTTCGTTTCAGTATCGTCTTCACTGACTGATTTGATGAAACTTACTCCAAATTCATTAGAAATATGTACATTCCTCAATATAAAGATTTGTATAAAACAAATTAAAAGCTTTAAGGCATATTAATTTGGTTGTAATCATCTAAAACTGACCAAGGAGTCAAATCAAGAGAACAAGTCGAACTATGAATAATTCCGAGGCTTAGAAAGCTCAGAAAGTGACCATTAATGATGAAGTGCCCCCTCTATCGAAACTACTTAACATTTTTAGAGTTGTGTGTATGTTTGGTGTGGGTTGAGCTTTAAATTTGAGGGGAAAATTGTTTATTATCTTTTTCTATCTAAATTCTATTTCATCTTAGCAATGACATTAATATTAAGTGTTATTTGGGCCAGCTCAGTCAGCTAAATTGCAGGGGTTAAAATTCTCTACGGCTGTTTTATATTTTCTTAATTCTTAAAAGTAGGTTACGACATCAAACAGCCGTCTGTCTCAAAGATGATCCCACAAGTCTTATGCCCTGTGTTCATATATGAATTTTATGGTTAATGGATAGCAGTATACCGACTAGGTTGTTGACTCATTGACATTGAAAATGATTGAATAATCGCGTCGTATCTACGTACGTGCACACGATCGCTGCACCGGAAAGATCGACAAGAACATTTGTAAAATAATTTCTGTTTTATTGCTCGCATTCCAAATCATACCGGTATTCAAGAACGGAAAACTGTTAAATCAGAAGAGTGATACATCTTTATGAGGTTTATTTCTTAAAAGGGAAATGGAATTAAAAGTTATTACCTAGCGTGATTCAGCAAGTTATTTGACGGGGATGTGTGCATTATTTTCGGGCAGTGCGCAAAAGAGCGAAGTGCCGTGCTGAAAACATCGTAAACCGGCATCAGCTTACGTCCCGTGCGGTCTGCAAAATCACCCCAAAAACCGCCCGAAAAAGGCTTCTGTTTCATTTCAACGGAAGTGGGACTCGTTAAGTGTGGATTTTGGACCTTATTTTGTACCCCATTGCGCCAAGAAATTCGACAGAAACCACTGAAAATAACGTCGCAATTGTGTGAGTAATTTTTTTATGTAACATTGTCAAAAAGCTTCAAACCACTGAACCTCCTAGTTCCATTGTTCCAAGTGAGAATCATCACTGTTTAAAATTGTTGGTGCCATGTACAAACAACTACGAAGAACTTTCTCTCTTTTACTAAGTTTCAGCCTCTGTATTGTCTGGATTAATATGAATCATATGGATTTGGCATAACATTTTTATTGGATAAATTTTGAAAAATGCTACAGAGAGATGTTTGTACAAAACTTCCCTTATTTTTATATATTTCAACTGGGTAGTAATCTGTTGAGTAAATATGACTATTTCCCACTGATGTCTAGATAAGATAATAAAACTCACTACAACAGTTTTGAATGCATAAAGTAGCAACACTTAAGCAAAATGAAAGTTCAGACTGTGTTTGATCTAGGTCCAGCGTTGTTAGTGTGATAAATTCCGGTGACTCTTGGTACACTCGGGCAAAGTACCTTTGTAAAGGTTGTAACTTATATGAGTTAATAACCTTTCTAAAGAAAAAAAAAAATTTTACAACAAGCTTTTGTGGAACATTGTGCAGAAATTTATGGCTACATTGTAAATTTGGTGGGCGTGCATGAATACATTAATTGAATACTTTTAAACTTTGTCTTCTTTTTTTCTTGCTTTAGTTCTTGACTGAAATATTCAAGGATCAAACTAGCCTGTACAACCATGGGACGCTACACGGGAAAAAGTTGCCGTTTTACGGTGATGATCTTGCTGACTTCTGGTTTCTTCCTAGTGGAACTCATCACTGGTTACGTCACCAATTCCTTGGCACTGGTTTCTGACTCCTTCCATATGATGTCCGACATTATAGCATTGATCATTGGCTTCTTTGCTATGAGAGTGAGTATAAACCCAACCATCAGAGCCCTCAAAAGAATCATGAAGATCTTGAGACTTTATTTGATCCTTCTCAAGCCACCTCTGTTTTATGCATTCTCTTAATAATGTAGTGCTGATAAGGCACTTGATAAGAAAGTCTCAAAGCGCTTCACAACTATTATCCCTGTTCATCAGGCCACGAGACCCGTTTACTGTAGCAACCTGAGATCAGTGGAATCAGGTCTCTACCCTCACAGGTACCCATTTATACTCCTGAGTGTAGCGAGGCAATGGAAGTAAAGTGTCTTGCCCAAGAACACAACAACCATGATCCCCGTTGGGGTTTAAACTAATGTACCATTGCACATACATGTAAGTCAGACACCGTCACCATTGGACCAGTGCTCCACACGTCAAATGTGTATCCACAAATTTGTCCTTAGTTTACTCACCAACCTGGAAAATCTGAAATGGACTTTAAAACGCCCTTATTGTTTTTCCAAATCATCAGGTGTCCAAGAAGACCACGCCCAAGAACACCTATGGCTGGCAACGTTCAGAGGTCCTGGGAGCCTTGGTCAATGCAGTCTTTCTCATGGCTCTCTGCTTTACTATCTTTGTGGAGGCCATCCAACGCTTTATTTCTAAGGAGACTATTAAGAATCCAATGCTGGTGCTGATTGTTGGTGTGATCGGGCTGGTGGTGAATGGAATCGGGCTGTGTCTGTTCAGCACGCATGGTAAGGAGCAGGTCATGGTCTTCAAGTCCAGGGCAAGTCCTCACAAGTCCTTGGAATTCCTCACAAGCCTTTACAAGTCCTCACAAGCCTTTACAAATCCTCACAAGTTCTAACAAGTCCTCACAAATCCTCACAGACCTCACAGTCCTCACAACTCCTAACAAGTTCTCACAAATCCTCACAAGTCCTTGGAATTCCTCACAAGCCTTTACAAGTCCTCACAAATCCTCACAAGTCCTCACAAGGCTTTACAAGTCCTCACAACTCCACACAACTCCACACAAGCCTTTACAAATCCTCACAGCTCACAAGCCTTTACAAGTCCTCACAAATCCTTACAAGGCCTCACAAATCCATACAAGTCCTCACAAGTCATCACAAGTTGTTAGAATTCCTCATGAGCCTTTACAAGTCCTCGCAATTCCTAACAAGCCCTCACAAGTAACCCCAACTCCATTAAAAGTAGTCACTAGTCCTTACAAGTTCTCGCAAGTCCTCACAAGTTGATGAACTTGCTGAATCAATGTTCAAAAAGTACCAAGATGTCACAATGCTCTCACAAATGTCTGTGCTGTACACTTTAAAGCTAGAGTCCATCATTTGCAGCTATCCGAAAAGTAATTGGCGTAATTATTGTTGAAAAACAAACTTGGTTGAAAGAGAGTAAGGGAACTAAACTCCCTGTGAAATTATTCTTTCTGGGAAGCTGTCATTTTGAAGTAATCAACGAAAGAAGGCATTTCCAACGGTGATTCTTAAGAAGCACCGTAGGAAAATTTAAATTAGTAGTTCGTTTTGTTATTCAGCGCAGCGCGCACAAGTATTGGAACGACACACACGCGCGCGCGGTTGTTATAATTCGTTGGATCAGTGCGCGACGTCGCATATAGCTGCAATTCAAAACAATTCAAAGCACGATTCAGTAACTTTTGATTTGAAATTGAGATCTTAGAATGCTGTTTTTCTCGGAATGTACAGCTGAAGCTTAGCTGAAACTTCATCAGGTTAGTTGCTCAGTATCCTTCATTAGATTTTGAACTCTTTTGTTGCTTCAAACGAACAAAATGCACAAATTACAAATGATGGACTGTAGCTTTAAGAAGCAGCCTATGTACCGGTGAAGGATAAGCTTCCCCGTTAAAAACTTTTCTTGCTGAATTTTTGTTTCTCCCCAAAGGTATGTCCCATGGCCACAGTCATGGTGGAGGCAAAGGGCATGGCCACAGCCACAAATCCAAGAAATCTGACAAGCCAGAATTTCAGCAGCTTGACGAGCGGCTATCGGACTCAGACCAACGGCTGCAGAGTGAATGCTCTAATCAGCTGACTGATGTGACGGTTGCAATGCCAGAAAGGGAGGAGGCTCTGCCCAGCACAGCTACAGAGGCAGCCGGAGGTGGTAGGTGTTCTCCTTGTACTTTTGAGACGGACTTGCCAAGAGTACCGGCTCTGTGCGTTATCGGTAGAGGGCACTTTGGTCTCCTAACCGTCTTGTTTTGTTCCTAATTGTCTTGCAGGCCCATCGGGTGCTCAGCTGAACATGAGAGGCGTGTTTCTACACGTGTTGGGGGATGCGTTAGGTTCTGTAGTGGTCATCATCAGTGCACTGTTCATCTGGTTGACCGACTTCGAGTGGAGACACTATGTCGATCCAGCTATGAGTCTGATCATCGTAGCTATCATCACCATAACCACCCTTCCACTGCGTGAGTTCTGAAAATATTCCTGTTCCTCTCTGTGCATTGACTGAGTGATGCATAACCCATGTACTGCCATGAACAGTCCTGCCTGTTACTCCATTTACTGCCCCAAACCGATCAAGCTGTGTGGTTTTATTGAATCATTCTGGAACAATACAATGTCATACAATGTAATACACTGTAATACAATGTAATACAATGTAATACAATGTAATACAATGTAATACAAGTGCAAATTATCAAATTGATATAGGTCTAGTTTTGTGTGTCTTTCCTTTTTGTCCAATAGGGTTAATTGTTTTTGGTGATTGTTTTCTTCATTTCAGTGCGGCAGTCAAGCATGATCTTGTTGCAATCCATACCCACGGATATCGATCTGGAACAGATCGAAAGAGAACTAGTACAAGACGTAAGTTTGACTGTAATGTGTCTTGCGCAAGAGTGTATAGTGCATATAAAGCAGTAGCCACAAAAATATGTGGAAGTATGCATATTGTATTTCGATGGAAATGTATTTACATCAAATTATCGGATATGGTACGAATAGTGTAGTTGGTGCATATTTTAATATGGCATACTCTTGTTTATTTTTACAGGTTCAAGGCATAGCCAACGTGCATGAACTACACGTTTGGCAGCTGTCTGGTAACAAGTACATCGCCACAGCTCATGTGCTGTTTCACAACATGCAAGACTACACCAATCTCGCCCAGCAGATCAAATCATACCTACATGATCAAGGCATCCATTCTACGACTATACAGCCGGAATTCATTGGAGTAAGTCCACGCAATAATTTCTTGTAACACCCCCCCATCCACCCTCACCCCCTATCCACCCCACCCCTAACCCCGATCCCCACGATTGAACTGTTAGAGTTCGGATCGAGTCATCACAAGTCATACAGTCTGAATTCAAGCGACTAGTTATTCAAATAAGTCGCAACAAGGGTATTGATTTTCCCTTGTTACTTGTGACATGACTTGTGATTGACATGTGATGGACATGTGATGGACATGTGATGGACATGTGATGGACATGTGATGAACATGTGATTGGCATGTGATGGACATGTGATTGGCATGTGATGGACATGTGGTTAACTTGTGATTGATGTATGATTTAAAATCGAGTACAACTCTGAGAACCAGACTGTTATAGAAATAATCTTTGTATGCAGTGTTCCTTAAATCTCTGATTTTTCTTCTTCTTCTAGGACTATCCAGATAATGGTGTCTTAGATGACAAGGAATGCAAGATTCTCTGTAAGCCCAACACGATATGCGATGCACAGAAATGCTGCGGTGAGAGGAAGTCATCCAAACGCAAGTCTGTGGACACTCCTGCAAGCACCACGCCAGAAACGGTACATTTCATACAAAAGGAACAATTTACAATACATTGCAACAAAGACATTTAACCACAGAGCATCTTGGGCAGCAGTCAGCAAAATATCTGATGTAGAAATGTTGTGTTTTTTTTTTATGGAATCTGCTAATTAATATCATTATAATTATTTCTTTCTGGTAATGAAATCGAAGATAGGCACTGTAGTTCGCAAGCCTGAAGAAACCTGTAGAGAGGAGACAATGAGAAGAAATGACAGTTTTAGAGGTGGGAGGAAAACTACTGAATACTCTGGAGAAAACCCAGGGAATCAGGAAGGGACTGAAAACCCAATCCACATGATGGCCCAGGCAAGATTCGAACCCAGGTCACAGCGGTGGAAGGCGAGGAAAGCATCGCTGTGCCAACCTGGCTCCCAAAATGGGAACATCTCACCTTTTTAAAAAAAAATTAGGCACAGTTTTTTGGTATAGGTTGATCTTGATACATGTACTTCTTTCACTGATTCTTGATTTCTGTTGTCGTTCTTTTACAGACCACGGCCAACTTTGGTTCCGACCCTATCGATCAGGATGTCTTTGTGTGACCTCAGTGTCTGTAACCTTTGACCTCTACTGACCTGCCATTTGACAACTGACAACAAAGACAGGTTTTTCTATCATATCAGTGTCCTCTCCTATAATGGACAAAATTTCAGCATTAAAAACACGACATCGTCAATTTGTACAACACATTGGTGCCATTTTATGAGTGGACAAAATCCTTGGTATTAGAAATTAAGAAAATTATACACGCTACATTATATGCATATTTCTGTATGACTCTGGTAGGAATTGAACCCGACTCTTCCTATGCATAAGTGGCAAACCCACTATAATACCACCGAGCTTACACATGTGCAGTGTCATGTGCAGCCTTGTTTTTGTGTATGATACTTATTTTAAAAATATCTTAAAGGATATTTTTTGTTCAAAGAATTTATGAGCCCAGCAACTTATCTAAGAAATAAAACTGCAATTCTGTAGTCTAATTTACATATAAGATTCACGACCAAATGTATTTTTTCTATTGTCAAATAGAAATTTTACAGACTGTTTGTGGAGATGATGGTTCAATAATTTATGAAATACCTGATCACAGAATGTCTCGAAAACTTTGTTAGTTTCTTGCCAAAAAGTCTTTACTGTTTTTAATTGTTGGTTTTAGGTCATGAAATAGTGCTATTTACCTTTGTGGAAAAATCTGAAAACATTCGAGTACAGGAAAAAATCAAATAAATGTATATTGACATGCATGTGTTCTTTGAAGGCCAAAGTTCTTGTAATTTTAATTGCTAAACTAAAACTGGACTTTTTACTGTACCGAACAATGTCATTTTTTAATGGAGTCTGAGCTACACGACTTTCATTTTAACATTTTTTTGAAATTGTATATATGACTTGGCTCCATTATTATATTTTTTCCTTGAAAATATATGGCTATTACTAGTTTTTTAATTTCCTTTTGTTGTATACACCAAAGGTTGAGTGAAGATTGTCTTTCAATTTTGAACCAAATATTGCGATTCCACACTGACGTTGCATAGAATTCCTTCATTTCTTTGGTCGTGACAATTATACCAAACATGCAAAGGATTTCATCATGCTACTTATATTGGTGTTCTACATTTATTTTACATGAATACGTGCACATTCACAAACCACAGTGTTCGGTCATAATGCTCAGGACATAATGTTAAGGCCCGGTAAAAAAATAGTTTCTTGTCTGTTTTTTTTTAAATAAAGGAGGCGGGCACTTTTTTATCTTCCCAAAGGTGGCGGTTTTTCCAAGATGGCAATGGATTCTTCCTTTTTCTCAACTCTTTTGCTGTTACAAAATTGATTCTTAGGCAATATACTATATAATTGTAAAATCTATTGTAAATGTTTGAATTACCAAAAAATGCGGCAGAAAAAAAGGAAGTGGGTGGAGACAAGTAATAAGCCATTTGCGAGTTAAATTTGAATAAAATCTGGAACGCTGACTTAATACAATGCTTTGCACGTTCTAACCTAGCATTCTCCCGACCAAAGAGACTGTTACTATATCACGTGATTCGGGGCAAGCCTTATGCTAGCAACCCTCAGCTCCGGCATGGTCTGGTGTCTTTGTGCCATTCTCTCCCATTGTGAACGATGTATTGGTGCTGAGCATCCCTTACGTAACTATGCAAGAGCTTGCCCCGAATCATGTGATATAGGTCTGGAGAATTCAAAGTTAAAATGTGCCAAGCATTCTGAGCAAGTCAGTGTACCAGATGTTTTTCAAATGTAAATCCCAAAGGGTATAGGTTACTCGCAAATGGCTTATTAGTTCATTTTAATGCTTGGCCATACCGTCCAGTCAGTGCTGATTAAGGACTTGTTGCAATATTGTGACAGGGCACGCAAAATGCCCAATAACAATAACTCTAATTTAACGCTGCTTATTCTTGTTGCTCTCTGTACAGAATGTATTCCTTCATGTATGTGAATAACTACAGTTTTTTTTAAAGCTTCATTTAGTGGAATCAAGCTCGAAATGTAATGAACATTTTTGAAGCAAATTATTACTTAAAAGCACCATTTATCCAAAAAGATTGATGCTCCATTCTTTACAGAGACATGTTCTGTAGGAAATGGGAGTTTGGCATTTTTTTTGTGGGGATAAAATATCTACCATGACCAAGTGCCTTTCAGAAAATTCCTGTGTGAATGCATTGCTACTGGGGATTTGTCGATATATTCATTGAATGTGTGTTTTGAAAATTTTGATTATGATCAATGAAAATGTCTGAAATCATTGATAACTTAAAATCAAAATTGTGTGATTTTTTTTATTAATGCGTCATTGGATGGTCGTGATTTCTTAGTTAGAACTGAATTTACGTGTACATGTATAATACTTTTCGTAGAACATTCTTATCCAAAGAAATGTAATTTTTTAATTTGTGATTCTTATTGACGAAGCAAATATGGGCATTGTTAGAAGAGGAGGTAATCTGGTGTGAACTCGATGGTGGAATAGCCTGTGATTTAATTTGAAATGTTTGTTATCAAATTCAAAAACTGTTTCATTTTTGTTCGTGGATGTTTTTGCTTTTATTTATTTTTTTCACTAACGCACACAACCTTTTACTGTGTATGATATTTGAGCACTCAGAAACTGAAAAAAAAACATACCATGTTGTGTTTAATATGTATTGTAATGTTAGTTTGAATTTAGTATAAACAACAACAAAAAAAGAGACAATTCCCTTCGGTGAAAATGAATTTTTCAGAGAAAACAATATTGACCTGAAATTTATCGTTATAATATACATGAATGGTAACCATTAGGTTTTTGTTTTTTTTTAAATCCGCTTGTTAAATTCTGTTGAAAGTTAGATTTATATCTGTTCCACAGTGTGGAATAATTTTTAGCATTTAAAGTTTAGATAACTGTTAGGAAAGTGTTTTTTTTCACGGATTAGTTTGAATATTTAGGAAGAAAACTAACTGCTGTAGTGATTGTGTTGAAGAAAAGATATGATGGCAAATAATGTATAATCAAATACCATTTGTAATGTAAATACAATATATATTATCCCAAAGTATTAAATGTATGGAGTAGAATACACAGCAGCTCTGCGTTTGTTTTCTCATTAAGTCTGTTTAAAATTACGTTTTGTGTATTGATTCATTTGTTATTGAAAAAAAAACAAGGTACAAGAAAAGGTCACGCAGTGACGTCAGCACATCAATGAGTGACAAAACTTACATACATGCAAACAGAGAGCAATAAAGCAAGTAAACATGACATCCCATATCGTAAAAGCAAACATGCGTATCACCGACAATATATATGTGACCAGGGGAACACAGGATCTTCAAGTTGAGATGTGGAAATATTACTGTTTTTATTCCTCAGTGGCCGCATGGCAGCAAAGCGCAGCCAGCGCTGTAAAATCTTCTTTAAATTAAACGACTTTTATAACATGGGTGTGCTCTCGTTGGTTATCTGAACCACAGGATGTTGGCCAGTGCCTCACATTCCTGGGCAAACCACATAGGGATTATGAATAAACAGAGCTATTAAGGGGGTGATTAAACAGAGTAACTAGTGTAAAAAAAACCAGAGTCTATCTAATGAATAATAATGAGGTACATGTAGTCAGCCTCCTGCCTGGAGTTAATTACTTTCCCAGAAACCTGGAATGTGTGGTTGACCCACCCAGGGCTAAAGGACAGATTTTCTCACTCATGCTCACAGTGGTGAACAAAAAATATAACATGCACATAAAACAATGAAGATAATAATAATTTCAATACTTTGAAAACATGAAAACAATCCAAAACTTGTGAAAAAGCAATCCCGCGTACCGACTATTGGGATATAAAATATTAATAAAACTTTCAAAAGAGATAGGAAAAGCAAAGGTGCCAAAAAGATATGATTGAAATATGCTTCAAATATTTCACCGGTTACATATAGTTCTTTGTTGTTTACATGTTTGTATTTCACTTCAGAGGATTTGAATGTGTAACCTGGAAAAATGACACACTATGGGAAACTCGCACTAAAACTATTACAACTAAACTAAACTCAGGATCTTTGATAACTTGTGAGATGACCTCTGTCAGCATGTTGATTTGCCGAAACTGCTGGAGAATGACTTGCTGCATCTGAGCTTGGTGTTGCAGCAGCTCCAGGATGTGTAACTGTGGAGTCAGGATTCCAGTCATTGTGTACTCCTCAGACCCACCAATAACAACACTGTGTTGGTTTTGACTCTAAAATACTGACCACCAAAGACAGACCAAAAAACCTTTTAAAAATGCCTATAGTCCCTATTAAATCAATTCCTGGCTAAGTTCTAAAAAACATATTCCCTACCCGGATTCTCCACCAAAAATAGTAAAAAAATGTAACCTGGAAAAATGACACACTATGGGGAACTCGCACTAAAACTACTACAACTAAACTAAACTCAGGATCTTTGAAGAGAAAAGTCGCGAGGAGATTGAATTATAATAGGGACAAGGGACACAATTCTAGATTTCGAACAAAAAAAAGAAAAAGAATTTATTTACAAGAACTTTCAAAATGGCCAGATAATTATAAAACCAAGACCACGAAAATCAAGTAAGAGCAAAGACTAAAAACCAAAACTTAAACCTAAAAAACCAACTTAAACCAAAGACCTAAACCGAGTTAAAAACCAAAAGTAGTTAACCAACACAGTGTTGTATAAAGTGGACCTTAAAGACACTTCTGGCAGAAATCTGTTAACAAGATAAGAGAGTAAAGAACATACATGTAATAAGAAACAAGTAAACAATGCAAACAACTCAAGCTACACTAGGTCTAAAGTAATATAAACAATGCCATGTGGACCTGCTATACAGTCTTGCCAAGAACACCAAAATTTCTTGTGAATACCTAATGAGCAAGATAAACAGTGGTCCTTGTCTTCTGAATGCCAGGTGGGACTAATCACCAAGGGAGTAATTCAACATTCCTGAACAGTAAACTTGCAAAGGTCCAAAGCAGATAAAAATAACTAAATGTAATTAACAGGTGGCTAAATACAAAATAAAGGAAATGCAGGTCTACAGTAAACGAACAGCTTGGACAAGTCTAACTAATGAATAAACATGGCAAACTAATCAGTAAGAAGTCTATGGGAAAACCACTCCTCTTGGCTTATTACATGTACAATAAAACAATAAAGGTAATGAAGAAAACACCATCCAAAATACTGAAATCAGATGTCAAAAGAAAAAGTATCAAATCAACAATTAACCTAATAATCAAAAGGCAATGCAGTGCATCTACATGTATCAACCACTGAAGTAAACTAAGTCAAGAAATCCATGGAGAAATAAAACACAGAAAACCAAGTCAACAATTCAACCTTCTTGTGACAACACAATTTTCCTACAAAATCCCAAAACTCCAACTATCAGGATCCATCATATTAAAAAGAAGCAAAAATTCTCCATGTCACTAAACTCAACTGGTAACTTACAATCACAACAGGCTGCTCATGAACTTTATAAAACTTAATTGTCAAAACTCTGAACAATGCTAAGACCTTTCAAAACTTCTAAAAACTTAATAATACACTTAATGAGAAAATACACAGAAAAACATATCAAAACTCACCAATGACTCCAACAAGCAGACAAAACTAAGCAGGACAGGCACTCCAGTTAGGAGGAAAATATATGCATGTGAATTATATCTGCTGATCTGCTGGGTGAACTAAACTGACTTGACCATGTGGCAGCTTATATAGGGGGGACATGTGGGCTTAAGTAAACAAACGGGGGTCACACTACTGAAAAGGAGGGGAGGAATCTTGAGTAACTAAAATGATTTCTTTGTTTTCTAAGGGGAGGTACTCCTATTTAATACACTATACATTATGAAAACATACAACTAAAACTGGGCCCTGCCACAAATGCACAAATTGTTTACTCCTACCTATCTAAGGCATAAAATACTACTGTTCGCTAATTCCGCCTTTTAGTAAATACATAGAATTTATTAGAAGCTAAGAAGAGCAAACTCACAAGAAAGTGACATCTACGATTGCTACTAGAGCGCCATCAAGTATAGTCTATGTAGTGTATACTATACAGGCCCTGGTCAAGCCGACCATGGTCTATTATACGTAAACAATTTCGATTAATTATGGATCCAGATTGCGTATGACCTCAAGAAACTGACCAATCAGCATGCAGGTGCCTTCTATACGCGCGTAAATCGAGCTCCACGTGCGTAAACATCACGCCCACGATGAGTAGCATTTTTGTACACAGGTATTACAAAAACGCGGCATCGAAATTGACCAATCACAATCTTAGTCCTGATTTCGGTATGAAATGACGTCACGCATGCTTAGATATATCAGACGTTAGAAAGGAGACTGGACTCCGTGGGTAACGTTGATACTCGACTGCATCAAGTATGCAGCTATCTTGAAATGAACCAAACCAATAGCTAGCTGATTTTTTACACTTTTTTCCCTTTTTTTTTTAATTAAAGCAAGAAATCTTCCTGATTTCAAAAGATTCCGATTTTCAAAATTTGAATAGTACAGTCGAGTCTCGTTAGTACAAACTCTGTTAATACAAAATTCTGGTTATAACAAACATAAAGCCTTAGTCCCGAATGTGCATTTATGTGCACAATGAATGGGACTGACGTTCCTCTCAGTACAAAATTCTGATATAACAAACAATTTGGCTAGGTCCGAACAAGTTTGTATTAACGAGACTTGACTGTATATAATAACCCATCACATCATGTGCATTGTGCAATTTAGATCTCGAAAAACAACCAATGAAATGGCATGACGTAGTAACATCAGTATTGAATATGTCTTCCAAAAGATCCCAGTTTTTAAGGCATTATTAGGCATTATCAGGCGTTCCGGGAATTGTATACGCAAGCATGAAATGTACAATGTACTATCCTTGAGATTAGTATACAAATAACGAATGTTTGTGAGTGCGATGGTAAGAATAATTTCATGAGGTGACAGATTGAATGTTCTATTCCACGAGGCGAAGCCGAGTGGAATAGAACATTCAATCTGTCACCTCATGAAATTATTCTTTCCATCGCACGAACGTAAAACATTCGTTATTTGTTTTATACAACACCTGAATAAATTCTCGTCATTTGATTGGTAAATTATAAACTACAATTTATTTTAATTTTAAAGATGTTGAACTACCCCTTCACGAAAATGTTTGAACCCAACGCTGTAGCGCTGGATCTTTGGAACAATACGCGCTACGCTGAACGCGCACACCAGTATGCATTTTGCACGCAAATACCGCGTCATGGAACTAGCGCAAAGTGAAATGGTATAACGCATGGGTATAACGCATGGTCGCACCGTGCATTATACCGAATAATAATATGTCACGTGATCTACAATTCACCAATCAGATGACGGGGATTTATTCAGGTGTTGTATAAAGATAATATCAACCCGAGCAGCCATTGTCCTGATCAAAGTACGATCTATTTACAAACCCAAGATCTGATATCAGAACATCACATGATATGAAGCCCGGGAAGGGACAGGGTGGAATTTCTTTTTTTGGAGTTTGCTAATTCGTTCGCACGAATTAGTAATTCGTTCGCACGAATTAGTAATACGTTTGAACGAATTAGTAATTCGTGCGAACGAATTAGGAAATTCCCCCCAAAAATGTCCACCCTGTCCCTTCCCGGGCTTTATACGAGTTAGCAATTCGTGCGAACGAATGAGCAAATTACCCCCCAAAAAATCCACCCTGTCCCTTCCCGGGCTTCATACCTTTTGGCAATTTGTTTTAAGGTTTTAATTTCCTTTCACAATACATGTACCAATTATTGGCAGGCTCAGTGTTGGTAAAGCTGTCGCATAGCATTACGCATAAAATGGTATCGGCTCTTATCAGACTGAACCATTATACTGCGGTTGCGTTGATGTGCCTTTTTTCTGATGGAAAATAAGATGGGAATATAAGCACTTTGTCATCTCCCGATTGTCGTCATCCCAGTGGCGACAATAATAGCTCACGAACAACAATCGATATTCTTATCGATCACAATGCCAGGTCGGCCTCCGTTGGTAGCTGTGTTTGTGTTCAAAGTACACGTTGCTGAGGTAAATTCATTCACTAACGAATTGTAGGTGGATTTTTTTGTCTGTAGGGGAACATTGTCCTTTTGACAATGTAATTGACCTCACTGTTTATTTATAAGTGGCATAGTCCTAGTGTTAGTGCATTTGAGCTATTGTGACGATCATGAATCAACATGCCTATTGTAAGTCAACCACCAGCTCTTTAGTAAGCTGTCTAGCCTGTTCAATGTTCTTACTTTTGGCTGGGCATGCTAGTTTACTTGCGGTCAGACTTGTGATGTAGGCCTACTTCTGAACCATCATGGCCTCGACTACAGCACTGCATAGGCCTATGCCTTACGGGCGTCATGTCGTGCTCTAAAAATCACCCGGCTTTGCCAAATTAGCCCCACGTAGGCCTCCTATCCTTTGCATCAGCTAGATTGTGCAATATTTTGAACAGTATAGTCTCGGCCAGGTAATAAAATCCAGGTCAGTGTCTACCGATCGCATTCTGAAGTTGGATGATAGTGGAGATAACGCCGCTATTGTTACGTGGCGGGTAGAATACATGTACATGTCTTTCTGTTGACTATACGTATAACTGCAATGACATGGACACACGAAGCAGGTGGACGAAGTTGACCACGTCGGTGGAGATATACTCCGACTTTCTCTGAAGAAACCACAAAATTCGCTTGCAGCAACTTTACCCAAATCATTCTTGTCATGTGAGGAACCAGCGTGTAGTCACCGTCCGTCTCTGTACTTTTTCCGTGGAGCAAGTGGAGTAGGTCTTAGGTTAAGTTTCCTACTGTGTTCGCAATTGTAAAAGACAACAGTGGATATTTATTCAGTGTGCTTTTTACGTTGCAGACTGTGTGATGGAAGATGTTGTGCACACTTAGTTTGGCAGAGCACGGTCCATCACGCGATAGTCCATGCATAGCGCATGAGCGACCTAACCAGCTTATTTTGAAAACTTTGTACAGCTTTATTTGGAAAACGCATCGAACTGTACAGACCCAGTGATTTTAGTTGACCTGTAGTGTAACTGCATTCACGGCCTGATTCAGTGAGGTGCCTGGAGTTACCATAATGGGACGTTTTACGGGCAAGAGTTGCCGGTTTCTGGCCATGATTTCCCTGACCACCGTGTTCTTCCTGGTGGAGCTAGTGACAGGCTACGCTACCAACTCACTGGCTCTCGTCTCGGACTCTTTCCACATGCTGTCAGACATCATAGCTTTGGTGATAGGCTTTCTAGCATTACGGGTGAGTATGAAAAGACGTCAAGAATTCAACCCTGTATTGAGAACACGTACAACAATAAATGTTGGCCTATTTTCGGTACTTACTGAAGCTCAGGTCAGATGTTCCCTTTGTTTGTTTTTCCACTCAAGCGTATCAAGTTTCCATGTTTTGTTCAATAACACGCATAATCTCTCGACATGTGACGCACACACAAATCAGCATTTACTTTTACGTGTTGCACCATATGGCGCAATAAAAAAAATATTTCAATTTTTGGAGGTGGGAGGAAAACCTACTGAATCAGGACTGGGAAATGGCCACATGTGGACCAGGGCAGGAATCGAACCTGGGCCATGGATGTAAAAGGCAAGGAAATAAACCACAGCGCTAAGGAAACAGGTCAACTCGTACGCGAACCAACTCGTACGCGAGTCAACTCGTACGCGGATTGGTCAACTCGTACGCGAGACAACTCGTACGCGAGCCAACTCGTACGCGTGCCAACTCGTACGCGAGCCAACTCGTACGCGAGCCAACTCGTACGCGAACCAACTCGTACGCGAACCAACTCGTACGCGGGCCGTTTTAGGAGTGGTTTCGAGGATTGGGTTGGCATGGTTGGGAAGAATTTGGGAATAGTGTGACGGGTAATCACACAGGGCCACACATTTTCACAAAAGAGAATAGACAATTGCACTGTCTAACTGAAAACCCAATCGGTCCTTTTCAGGGCCACCACGCATTTGCAGTGATATTAAATAAAATTCTAATTTTTAAAAATCAATGAAATTCACCTCCCCATTGTTTTATTTTACAAAATATAATTTGGATAGCGCTAACCTGACTCCCAAACTGTTGTGAATGACTCCTTTTGTAATGTTGGTCTGGGAACCTATTTCAAAATGTCTAGTGGTGATTTGTGTCTCTCAACTCGGCCTAGATATCCAAGAGAAGTTCTCCCACGGGGAGCTGGAAGCGTGCCGAGGTGTTGGGAGCTCTCATCAACTCCGTCCTCCTGATAGCGCTGTGCTTCACAATCTTCGTGGATGCCGTCCAGAGACTGATTGTAGTGGAGGCCATAGAGAACCCTGTACTGGTTCTCATCGTGGGCTGCGTGGGGCTGGTTATTAATGGAGTTGGCCTGTGCCTCTTCGGCTCACATGGTAACTGGACTTTGGGTTTTTGATTGAGAGAGTTCTTAATTGAGTGGTCAATCACAAGACATCGCAAGACGATCAAAGAACAAGACACATCTCAAGACCATCGATCACAAAAGTAATTCAGTGTCAATCTCTGGTCAATCACAAGTTAAACTCAAGTCCATCATGAGTCAATCACAAGCTGAACACAAGTCAAGACAACTTCAAAACAAGTCCAATTTTATTCACGTTATATATGGGTGTGCCATTTTATGCACCCAAACACACAGCATGTCTGCACCCCTGTTGCACAGCTCAGGCACCGAGTCAGGCCCCTCTTGGCAAAAGGAGGCTCAGACACTTACTTCGATATCATTAATGCTAGGTCACTTCGAGGTAATAACGAAAATCTGGTCATATTTCAGTACATATTAATACATTATTGGGACTATCGGTTTCCCCCCTTTTTTAACGTCATGTATTAAGCGTTGTACCACACCACTCCTTTTTAGCTGCCTGACACGCCCCACTTTAATCTTCCTTAGGTATGCCGCATGGTCACTCCCATGGGGGCGTGGAAAGCCACGCCCATGAGCGAAACTCCAAATGGCAGAAATTAGACTTGGAACCCTTATCTGCCGAAGAAGAAGAAACGGCACTTGACGAACCATCTTCCACGGTCAAAGGAACGAAGGAACTGAGTGATGAAACGAAAACAGTGGGTACGGTACAAAGTTATTGTAGTGTATGGTGTTTTGCTATTTTAATAGTCATCGAGGCTTCCTAATTTCAATTTTGTAAGAAAGGAATTGCCCTCAGACATTTGTATTTCATGAGTTCCCGATCTTGGCATTAAAGAATGATTTTCGTTTCCTTTGATCTTATAGGCGCAGCGCCCTCTCACGCCCATTTGAACATGAGAGGCGTGTTCCTACACGTGTTAGGGGACGCGTTAGGTTCTGTAGTGGTCATCATCAGTGCACTGTTCATCTGGTTGACGGACTTTGAGTGGAGATACTACGTCGATCCAGCTATGAGTCTGATCATCGTTGCTATTATCACAGTTACAACCGTCCCCTTATGTGAGTTGAAGAGTAAAGTGTTTAGCCACCAATTGCCCAAACAGTTCGTAACTTTACGGCAAGCGTAACATATTGTGGTGAGTTCTTCCGTGAGAAACGCGGAGACAATTAGAGAAACAATCACTCGGAATTATATACGATTCAACTATTTTAATCACTGTCGCTCGGACACAGGTCCGACCAGTTCGAAATCAGAACAACAACTAACTAATTCCTGTCTTGTAAACTGCACTTATTCAACAAAGTGTTTACAATGGAATAAAGAACCAAACATTCTAATAATAATATTTACGATATAATTCTATACTTCAGGTAGCGTGTAGCGTGGCAAAACAACTTTACGCACTCCGTCAAAAGAGGGCGCTAGCGCGACCAAAACAAGTTCGCGCTGCTTACGGGTGCATACCTGCAAATAAACTCCCATAGACACTAGTGCTAAATGCCCATACTTCAAAATTCTTTTAAAAATACTCAAAACTCTCACAGGTATTCAAGCTGCACAGAAAAAAATGATAATCAACATGTCATCTTTCGTTTTCTTTTCAATTTTTGGTGGGTTGACCATTGACTTTTCGAGATATTTTCACCCAAAGAAGACGACCCCTATTTTCCCATAAGCGGAAAAGTTGCCATCTTGAAAAACGATCCCTCCACAACATGGCAAAATAGCGCCACTTTCGAGCCCAATAGCATCCAAAATGCTCAGAATTGGAAGCCCCAAGTCCGGGCCAGAGGTTCATTACCATATCTCTTCAATTCCCCAATTTTACGGCGCTCAGAACTCTCTAATATAGAATATTTTGAGGGTATAACTTTTATTCTTGAGCTTGGCGGATCGATTTACCGGTGTGCACCCTTTAATAGCAGGCAACTTTTAGATTTTAACACAAAACCACATTCAGGACAAGCAGAATATCACCAAAGTCAATATTTTGAAGAAAAAAATGAAAGAAAAATATTATCCGAGGTCGATATTAAGCCCGAAAATAGTGGGTGTTTTTTGCCCCTGCTAAGCTGTAGAGCGCCCCCAGCGACAATAAATTGAGTTTCAGCTACTTTTCAGCTCAAAATGCCCCCCCCCCCCTTTTCAACTAGCAATTGTTGTAATCGGGTGATAGCCTACTGCTCCCTTACGATTTGGGAGAATCCGTTACGGAAAAAACCCTTGTTGATACCTTTAAAACACTTTTTCCCCCTCCCCGTAGGTTCCGCCCACTGAAAAGACCACTGCCGGGGCACAGCGCATGCGCGAAACGGCCATCTTTGTTATTCTTTATAGGGTGCATACCTGCAAATAAACTCCCATAGACACTAGTGCTAAATGCCCATACTTCAAAATTCTTTTAAAAATACTCAAAACTCTCACAGGTATTCAAGCTACACAGAAAAATGATAATCAACATGTCATCTTTCGTTTTCTTTTCAATTTTTGGTGGGTTGACCATTGACTTTTCGAGATATTTTCACCCAAAGAAGACGACCCCTATTTCCCCATAAGTGGAAAAGTAGCCATCTTGAAAAACGATCCCTCCACAACATGGCAAAATAGCGCCACTTTCGAGCCCAATAGCATGCAAATGCTCAGAATTGGAAGCCCCAAGTCCGGGCCAGAGGTTCATTACCATATCTCTTCAATTCCCCAATTTTACGGCGCTCAGAACTCTCTAATATAGAATATTTTGAGGGTATAACTTTTATTCATGAGCTTGGCGGATCGATTTACCGGTGTGCACCCTTACATGCGTCTTTGATTTACGCGCAGCAGGAATGCATCGTCGGTGCAGGTGCTCTGCGCTCTAAGCGCGCACGCACAAGTCATCGCTGCGTAAGTAATTCAGAGGATATTTTACCAATAACCAATAAGTAATTAATCAATAATCGATGAGCAATAAAGTCTGTGTAATTTCACAACAATATTTATTGCGGATCTGTGAAACGCTATAGCCCTATATACCTGCTAATGATTTCGAAACACGACGTAGCTTCGCAACAGTTTTAATACTTTGAGAATCTTGGACGAGGATGATCACAGCTTATTACGACGGCTGTTTGTGTGCGATTTCATATCGGTCGTTGAATCACGTCCGCTGGCCAGCACCTCTCAAAATGTTGTAAAGAGTACACTAGATGAAGTCAGGCAAAAGACGTTAATAAACGAGGGTAAACTTGCCTTTTTGGGGACAAAATATTTCGCATGCACGCTTTTGGTATGGAGGATAATTTTTAATCGTGGATCTGCTGTACATGTATTCAGCTCATGATCGGTACCTTCGACCGAAATTCAATGCTAATTTCTTGTGTTCATATAAGTTTGCTATATTGTTCTGTTTCAGTCCGGCAGTCAAGCAAACTCCTCTTACAATCGCTTCCATCAGAAATGAATGAAGAAGATAGCACGGAAAAGCTTCAAAGAGATGTAAGTTTTACCACTAAAAATGAGTAAAAAGTAAAAAGGAATCAATATAAACGCTTAAAAAATAACAAGTGTTGAAACAAATTACAACCAAGGATAAATTAGTATGCTTATTTTATGTTTCCCCTAGGCCCTAGTACTTGAAACTTTGTTATGTAAACATGATGAAAATTCTATGCTGATTGGTTTCTCTCAGAAGACGGGTACCAGTTACCTAGCCACAGCCCACATCTGGTTTCACGACAAGGACGATTACACAATAATGGCCGACGACATCAAGTCATATCTCATGGACAAAGGAATTGATGCCACGACGACGATACGAGAGAATACTGATGTAAATGTACACAGTGAATCAGCGAATGGTGCTTGTGTATAGGATATTAATTAGTTTTTTTACTGCTTGGTGGCAGCAAACTTTCAGACTCACAATCAATGGTTAAGGATGTGGCTACAACTAATTAAAACTGATAGGCAAAGGAGTCTAGGCCTTAGCCATAGGGTGAGGACATTTTCAAGCACCACGCTTGTTTAGCAAACTGCACTTTTGTCAACGAAGGGTTGCAAAACTATGGAAGGTCCAACACTGCAAAAATGAAGAAGAGTTATTACAGATGACCAAAATATTATTTGATTGTTGGAAATATAACATTGTCAACAAAGCTACAACACAATTCCTACACATGCCTTTTTACTATGTATTGAGGGCGTTTGGAGGACTTTTAAAAGAAAACTATGTTGTCAACCATGGCTTCAATTTATGCGCTTGCGGCAGCCCATATAAAATGGCGTAAATGTAACAAAAGTAAGGTCTTTATAATCAACTCTAAAGCATTATCGGTTGAACAAAATGTGAACGTAAAATGTGGCTTTGTGTCTTGCTGTGCTCTGTCTACTGCAGTTTTTTTTTTAAATAGTAATAGCATTGTTAACCCGAGATGAAAGTACTGGTTTACAAACAAAATATCAACTTAAAATATAGGTATTGTGTAGACCTATAGTCAATTTGCTAGTCAACTTGCTATCGCCTTTTGTTTGCACCTTCGTTCGCAACGGCACCCACATTTGCTGGTTGTTGCAATTTAGTCTGGTCCCATGATCTGACGATCCCCAGACGTCTCGGTTTGGTTAAGCGAAATTGGCGGTCTACCTGACTTAAGATCTGACTTAAGCCCGAAACAGCTAATTATTATTCGGTCTGTCAACCTCAGACTTAGGTTATAGGTAGCACACTGAAAACAGTTCCGTAAAACTGTTAGATGGCTATATTCTTTTACAAGATGTATTGAAATAACGTTTGATTTATTACGGTCTTTTCTTTAGTATGTTGAACTCAACACAAATTCCAGTTTTTAATTAAGTTTTAACGTGTTTCCTGAAGGCCAAATTGCTGCATGTTCATACGTACATCTAAAGCCGGTTCTTTGTAATCTCCTTTAAATGTATTTCAGCCCATGATATGTTATAAATCCTTTTCATAAAGTTAACACCTTTGTCGGTGATGTGATATTTTGTAGAAGACACAATTATGCTGAACTTGAACATTACTCTTCTTTTGTTATTAATATAATGAATTCTGCAGTTGACATTATTTCAAACCCCTATATTTATAACTAAATTTAATAACAATACAAATTTATAATCTTGTTATTATTTTACGTTACGAAGTCGGAACTTTACGTTACGAATGGCTACGTATTCAAAAAAATGTTTAAAACTAATACACTCTTTTTACCATTGAAAATCACATCAAAATAATCAAGTTGATATGTAATTTAATCTCGAAACTAACGATGTATGATCCAACCAAACGTCTAAAATTATGTCTAGCGTAAATGTAATGTAACATTGCTTTAATTTCCGTTGTACATGTAAATGCTGCAGGTGGCGGTCGACAATAAATTTTAAAGAATTCTTTGCAAGATTCCTCAGATTGCCAGAAAGGAAATCTATTAACAGAGCCACCCACTATTTGCATAAAACTATTCCGTAAGTCTTTTTTTCTGGAAGTTCTTTTGACTCTTTGTTTCGTTATACTTCTATTTTGGTGACATAAACGCTTGAAATAAATCAAACGAAATAAATAAAGAAATAACGGTAATATATCTTTAGTCATGCTTTCTTCTATTACTAGACCACAATCTTATATCATTTTTCGGTATTCTTCCATCGAGCAAAGACTATATATTTTTAGAAATGTTTAGATAAATTTGTCCCTTTCTGGATGGGATATGCCAACTGTTTTTTAACTGGCAGTTTTGGTCCGTTCAAAATTTGTTTGAAATTAGGCAAACTCAGATGTTGGAAATCAATCAATGCAAGACTTTGATTTGACATTGTTATTTTGCTGCAGGTGTACATAGTTGCATTTTTCAAACTTTGCCAAACGTGCATGTTTCATGAATATCTGTTCGGCAGTGACGAAGTAATTTTAATATGAGAGAGTGTTATTTGACTTGAAATAATAAACTGAATATTCGTAAAGCAATAACTTTACTCGTTGCACTATTTCTACTGCCTTACAAGTGGAAAGCGTGTAAAGGAAAGGATACAAGTTTTATTTAGCAACATAGTATGCCGACTGCTTTAAAGGTGCAACTCTGGTGCCGGTCGTTTGCAGATAAAATAAGCAAGCAGACTGCACGGTATATCATTCCATTGGCCTGATGCCTCGACTGTTGCGCAATCTTCACTCCCATATCGCGGAGCATTGTTGGGCTCACCATCCCTCCAGTTTCTGTACTCCACACCATTAGCGCCATCATGGCACGCCCATGTATCTGATAAACACAGACAATTCCAGAATATGTATGTGGAATTTGATATTTTGTTTTATAAAAGAGACGGAAGATTTTTCAATTGAGATTAAGCGAAGAAAGAGTAATTGATACAATTGACGCACCTTCAACTTGGATATCATTGCAGTCGATCCAAAACCATCGGGACAGGTTCTCCAGCAGGAACTCAGTTTCCTCCTGAGACTGTGGCATGACCAAGACACTTCTCATCTTGATGCACTCCTGTTTTGCCTCAGCCCAAGGTAGTTTCTCGCTGCCTTGTTTGTAGCATTTGTCACCCCACTGGCTCCAAGCAGGAGGACACGCCCCTCTAATGGAGGCCCCACACCTCTCATTACCACCAGTGCATCTGATCATAAGACAAAGGCTTATCAAGCCAATGATGAGACGTTTAGGCAACATCGTTTTCAGATGTTGCCAGACGTACGCCAAGTGATGGCGAAATGAGGATTCTCTTGATATTAAACGTCGGAGCTGCAATGCAGTACACAGTCAATAGTCCTTAATGAAAATTAATGGCGCGTCTGCTGGACACAAAAGACATCTCACGCTCGACATTTTGTTTCGATAGAACCAATTTCAGTAGATTACTTCGCAGCTTATGGAGTATGCAGCGGCATTTCTATCACCATGGCATCTTTAGTGTCTCTCAAATTCAGCGTAGTGACCGTGAAAAACACTAAATTCAAGTTAATTTTATTTTTAATCAAAGAAGCCTCAGCTGTGTTATGCAGTTAACCTGCAATATCCACAATAGCCTTTATCAAGGGCTGGGCATAATTGTTTTTGCTGAGCGCGCTTCGCGTTGGTTTTTGTATGTGATGTACTGAGACTATTTTTGAGACAACACAATGCAGTTGTGTTTTGTTTGGTTCTTCAAAATAAGAAATAGGTTATTGACTCTATGTTTGTATTTTTTTGCCGTATCGTGCATAAGTGCCATCTTCAAGGCAAATAGTTGATTGCACTCGTATAAACCTATAAAATTGACCAAACCGTCGGAAGAAAGTGCCTTAACGGTATACATAAAATTGTTCACTTACAAGTCGATGGTATGACCAAGTATCAAATGATGCCATTTCTGCCAATTTTCAAATTTGCGACTGCTGGAAGATTTCAACATTCTTGTTTTCCCGTTAAATATTCCCTGCCTGAAAGTCACTGTGCGCAACCTTGCATTAGTCCTTTAAAAATTAATAATCAAGGACATAATAATAGGACCTATTGGGAAACCTGCACAATGACAACAAAGCTAAGGTCAATGGATGGCTGCTACACCAGACTGCTTACGTCAGCACTCAACATCAGCTGGACGAGTCACACAACCAGTCAAGACCTATACGGGCAACTGCCGAAACTAACAACTACCATCAAGAGGAGACGGCTCCAGTCTGCAGGACATTACAGAAGACAGTGGCCAGCTTGATTCCCTGGCAGCCAACCCAAGGGAAGCGAAACGTGGGATGACCAATGCCTACATTATGTTGATACACTGTGCCAAGATACCCAGCTACAACCAAGGGAAATTCATAGTTGCATGATAGAAAGAGAATCCTGAAGAGCCATCACTAATGTCCGACGGAAGTCGCATAAGAGTTAGAGTAATATTGGTGTAAAAACTGTTAATTTCGATTGAGTTTCATGACACACGTTTTATAAGAACACTGACAATCTGGTACTGGAGATGTCAAAGAGTCATGTCCCTTAAACGTTTGGTCATTGCATGACGGAGAGTGTTACAACAAACCAATTGAAGAATAATTCGTTCTTTACTCAATCTATCTTTATTATTGCTCAATTACGAAATATCTCCCTTATTCATTTTCTAACAGTTAGTTCATTATACTTCAGTACAGATCTCACGAGGCTGTAATACTTGATGAAACTGCATCGATTACAAAACGAAACACCGTGATGTGAAACTGTAAAGTTCTCGTAATATTATTATTATTTTTTTCAATTTACGAAGAATTAAAAGTCAAGAAGTCAGTCTTAAGATGTCATTTGAAAGTGAATGCATCTCTAGTGCTGGTCTGCATTGATATGACTGCCCTCGCTGCACCTGTCGACAATTTAAAATATTTTGTTTTCTAATTTAGGGCTCTATTGAAATTTGAACGGAAACAATTTAGGACCTGCATGAGACTGTTGAGTCGGTTTTTTTATGAAATCTTCACTTCGTTCTTTCTCTTTCGTACTTGATTCTAAAGTCAGTTTCATTCTTAAAATGAAGAGTCGTTTTGCCGCTATTTAAAGGTGCAACTTTGGTGCCGATCGCATGCAGATGAAGGGAGCAAGAAGCTTGCATGGTGAATCATCCCAGTGGCCTTGTACGACGACTATTGCACAGTCGGCAGCTCCGTGATCATTTGGTTCACCATCACCCCAGTTAGCGTACATGTCAATGTCATTCGTGCACACCCAGGAACCTGTAACAAACACAGAGTATGGCGTAAATGAAATGCAGAGGGGGTCGTTTGGTTTTAGGTTTGTTTTGATGCATTTTATTACAAACGAAAGAACTGACCAAGTTTTTAAACAGTTTAGCAGTCGTACACGAGAATTAACTTGAAATAAACGGAGGAATGGGAAAAGCATATACAATGTACTTTGACGCACCTTCAACTTGGAGATCGTTGCAGTCGATCCAAAACCAGTGGTACACGTTCTTCTGAAGGAAGTCAGTTTCCTCCTGAGACTGTGGCATGACCAAAACACTTCCCATCTTGATGCACTGCTGTTTTGCCTCAGCCCATGGTAGGTTCTGTATGCCTTTTTTGTAGCATTTGTCACCCCACTGGCTCCAAGCAGGAGGACACGCCCCTCTGATGGAGGCCCCGCACTTCGCATAACCACCAGCGCATCTGATCGTAAGACAAAGGCTTATCAAGCCAACGATGAGACGATTAGGCAACATCATTTCCAGATGTCAGGCGTGCGCCCAGTGATGTCGAAATGAGGATTTTCTTGAAACCTCTGAGCCACAATGTAGCATTTGGTCAATATTTGTTCTTTAATGAAGACAAATACGGTGCGCAACTGGATACAAAGAGATTTCACGCTCGACATTTTTACAATGGAATGAATTTCAAAAGTTACTTAGCAACATATGGATGCATGCGGTCGGCATTTCCATCGCCATGTCAACCTCCACTTCTCTCAAATTCATTATACGATGACCTTGACAAAGCCCACAGATCGAGTCAAAGCAAGTTAATTTTATATTTAGCATGAAGGCAGAGCAATGCCATATACAGTTAAGTTGCCATATATCCACTAAGACAATATTCACCAAGGAATGGACACTCAGTTTTTGCGCCATTTGGGTTGTATATTGTTTTTGGTGAATAACGCCAAGTCTTTTTACGAGGATTCTAAATCAACTTGTGTTTTGTTGGGTATTTCAAGTAAACAACGAAGAACAGTTGATATATGCAGAATATTGTTATTGCGGTAATGAAGTTCAAAAGTGGAATCCTAAAGGCTAACAGTTGGTGGCGCTCTTCAAAAGATATAGCATAAAATGACGTCAACTGGTGCTATGGAATGTTTTATTATGAACGTACAAGTTTGTACCGACATTCCCTAATATCAAATAAGGCTACCTCCACGCTTTTCAATTTTCTGACTGCCGGAAAATCTCTTTTTTTTCCCCGATAAATATTTCCTTTTCGAAACGTAAGCAAGCAACTGTATATCCTTTAAAAAAAAAATCGAGGACAAATGGGTGAATACTGATAATCGATTGATTAAAGGTCACTGTCGTACTGGTAGTGGAACTGAATTGAAAAGAACATTCTATCTTAAAAAAAACCTTTTGGTCATTGCCTGACGGAAAAGTATCAACACACCAATTATAGACAAATTCGTTCGTTACTCAATCTATCCGAGTTTATTTATTGCTCACTGCAAAATCTTTCCTTAGCCATTTCCAACTTCCTTTAGTTAACTTCAGTTCGGATCCGACGAGGTTGTAGAGATGTGTAATACTATAAAACTGCATCGATAACAAAACGACATCACGTGATGTCAAACTGTAAAGTACTCATACTATCGCAAACTTTTTTCAATTTGCAAAAAATAAATATAAGGAATTAATTTTAAGGTGTCATTTTGAAAGTTAAGCTCAAGTGCTGGTCTGAAGATACTGAGATGATTTTGTCCTTACGTTACATCATTGCACATGTACAATATAAAAAACTGTTATTCCTTGTAATTTAGCTCTCTATTAAATTGTGTCCATAACTTGTTAATTGAACAGAAATAATTTAGGACCTGCATAAGACTCTTGAGTCGTTTATCATGAAATCTTCACTTCGTTCTTTCTCTTTCGTACTTTCTAAAGCATTTTCAGTTTATGCGAAAGTGGGTTAAATGAAGAGTCGTTTTGCCGCTATTTAAAGGTGCAACTTTGGTGTCGATCGCATGCAGATGAAGGTCGCAAGAAGGTCGCATGGTGAATCATTCCAGTAGCCTTCTTTGACGACTATTGCACAGTCTTCAGCTCCGTGAGAGTCATTCGGTTCACCATCACCCCAGTTAGCGTACATGTCAATGTCATTCTGGCACACCCAGGAATCTGTACCAAACACAGAGTATGGCGTAAATGAAATACAGAGGGGGTCGTTTGGTTTTAGGTTTGTTTTGATGCATTTTATTACAAACGAAAGAACTGACCAAGTTTTTAAACAGTTTAGCAGTCGTACACGAGAATTACCTTGAAATAAACGGAGGAATGGGAAAAGCATATACAATGTACTTTGACGCACCTTCAACTTGGAGATCGTTGCAGTCGATCCAAAACCAGAGGTACACGTTCTTCTGAAGGAAGTAAGTTTCCTCCTGAGACTGTGGCATGACCAAGACACTTCCCATCTTGATGCACTCCTGTTTTGCCTGAGCCCACGGTAGTTTCCCGCTGCCTTTTTTGTAGCATTTGTTACCCCACTGGCTCCAAGCAGGAGGACACGCCCCTCTAATGGAGGCCCCACATCTCTCATTACCACCATCACATCTGATCATAAGACAAAGGCTTATCAAGCCAACGATGAGACGTTTAGGCAACATCATTTTTGATGTTGCCTCTCTTGTGCTACGATGTAGAAATGAAGACGTTATCAGTTCGGCTATGACCCACGTTGGACTTCTCCGTACACTCGACGTAATGCAATGAAGACGTCATCTAACCTGGGCTATGTCAGCTATATTTTTGTACCTCCCTACTGCAACAGCCTATTGCGCTCATCAAGAGACACTGTCAATATTATTATTAACCCTTCCCTTCAAGTTGAGGCTTTTTAATAAGCGTATCAGGGCAATACGTTCACTGACGAAACGCAACAATATCAGCCAAGATATTACCACAGGTTATTATTTCAGTTGATACAGCTATATGAAGCTTCCGCAATAAGCTGCAAAATTCTCCGTCTTTGGACCAGTCATTGTTTACTTCGTATCCAGTGATTGACAGCTTTTCCAACTGAAATGATTTCAATAGTGATTTCACAGTGCAGGTGATCTAATTCGTGTTGGCATTATATCGTTGAAATTTGATGCTCAGCCTTCCATGTCACTTTACTTGATGGCGTGCAACTAATCTTTAGTGTATTGTATCAGTCAAGACATTTCATCTTATGAGACTTGTTGCTTATCAGTTAATGAAGATGGACTCACCAGTATGAAGCCTGCTTCAAACTTTGTCGCAATTACAACTTCTTTCTTTGTATGTGTTATTTCTGCTTCGAGGAGCTAATTAAGCGGTTGACAAAATTTATAAGAGTTCAGATTTCTTGAGTGACTCCAATATATACCATGTCAGACAGTGCAGACGTTGCGAATTTGTAGTATTTAAATTATACCTTAACCGTTTTCTTTATGTAATGGCTAGCGATTTTAAAGTGGAAGTCACGTGAACTACACTACAAACTCCTGCACACACATTTTAGCAAATCGAAGTTGTGGCGGTTTCTTTTGTTATATCTCGTCATTTTTGTAAGTTTACCCTTAAAATAGTAATATTTTGGACAACATTTGTCACCATTGACCTATTCCAGCAACGAGAAAACAAAAACAAAATCCACCCCCCCCCAAAGGAGGATTTTAAAAACGTTTTCAAAGTCAGTGCAAAGGTTTATTCGGTGCCTGCAGTTGCAAGATTTGAATTGCTTATGTAAGTTTACAACGTATCGCGGTGGTAATTATGGTTATTAATGCAGAACTCTAAACACGAACAGTAATAATTTCTCAATACGTATACATATTAGACAAATAAGCGTAATAAAATATTGTATTCGGTGGTGCATAAGATATATTCTACCATTGTGTTCGAGAATCTTTACTTACAATTCTTCCTTATTTATTTAAGATACAGTAGTATTTTGTGCATCGAGGTGAAGAAGATAAATTGCTGATTCTGTACTGTATTCAACACCAAAACATCAATACGCACAACAATCTCTTCTGAGAAGTGTAACTCACATTAAGTCAATGCTCCTATATGCCATTGTTGTTAGGTTGTTTCTAAAAGACAGGTTATTGAAGATATAAACTTTTGACTTAAGATGTTGATTTTCTTCAAGAGAGACTAAACTGTGCCCTGCAGGCTTTTCTGATGAATGCAGAGCAGAATATGTGTAATACATTCAAACTGACGTACAAACGTCTTGCAAGATAGGCCTATTTACATCATTTTGGTCCTTGTGATTGTTGATAATTGTACAATTTTTAAAAATAAAAGTCCAATTAAAAGAGTCTCAGTAATTTGGGTGATGGTTTTCCACTGTAAGTTTCAAAGGTGTAGTTTGGGTGCAGGCTTCGTGCACACTGCGGGTTGTTCCCGTTTGCAGGGGAAGTCATTCCATTGGCCCATGGTTGTCAAGACGACGGCACAATCCTCTCCAGCGTTGCTGTAAGCCTTGGAATTATCTGGTTGACCATGTGCCCAGTTCCTAGAGGTTATGCTCTGACCATTCTGACACTTCCATGAACCTAAAGTATTGTAGAATATAAATCTTTGTGTGAAATGCATCGACGGAATATGAACTCTTTCAACTTTTTCCAATGTCTCAAAGTTCTGGTGCCTATACTTGTAATAGGTGAACAAGGAGGGTTCTCTACCGAATTTACTTCCCACGTACCTTCCCTTTGAAGATCATTGCAGTCAATCCAAAACCGAGGACTAAAGCGGCTCTGAAGGAACTCAGTTTCCTATTGAGACTGTGGCATGACCAAGACACTGCCCATCTTGATGCACTCCTGTTTTGCCTCAGCAAATGTGAACTTTTCAGTGGTACTTCTTTTGTAGCATTTGCCATCCCACTGGCTCCAAGCAGGAGGACACGCCCCTTTGACGGAGGCCACACATTCTTTAGTTGCAGCATGGAGTTGGCTTGTCACACACCAAATAATCAGGATTACGATCAAACTTTTTGATAACATCATATTTTCTTTCAGGAATGAACCAGTTCTGAGTCGAATGATTGATAATTTCCTCTATGACTACAAAGTATAACGGCAGTTATTATTGCGTCGATATTTTGATGCCAGTAGTAAGCGTCATAATTTGTAGACATGTCATTGCATAAGTATCAGTGGAAGTTATACGACCGTCGTCTGTCTGTTACCATAGTAACCGCGTGGAGACTGAGAGAGGACCCAAGCTTAATACCTCACGTTTTGTTACTCAGACTATTTTCATCTCCTAATCCATTTGTATAATGAGTATGGCTATAATTGCGCCGGTTGCTGTCATGGAAACCATGCTTTTATTTGTTTGCATCTACAGGGTGCACGAGTCATAAAGAAATTAACCAAATTAGAAAAAAATATTTCAAATAAAATATGTGGCTCTCTCCATTTCATAAAAAAAATATGATAGGAATAAAGTACATGTTATTGACTAGTAAATGTGAAAATATCACGTAATTTGCATACTCTGCTCCCAATTTATGTCCATTTTAATATATTGATCACAAAATGCAGCTGATGAATACAAATTTAATACAATGAAACATGGACGTTTTCCGACATCCATGAATGAACGAAAACTTGCAAAGGAAAACAGACACAAATTACCCTCAATATTGCAGGGAAAAGAGTCATATTCAAAACACAAAATTAGACATAAGAATGTTTCAGTCTTGATTCAAATGGGGGGGGGGGGCTTCAGATGTAGCTTCTTTTGTAATATCAGGAAACATGAAACCGATATTCCTTATAATATTAATTTTAAACTTTTAAAGAGGAGAATAGGTGCAAGGCACTATTCTTTCCATCATTATCCAGCAAAGACATCCGCATTCCCAGTTGAATTTCATCACTTTTCAACAATTACAATAATATTGGGTTTTGAATAAAAAAAACTGATCGCACTCAGATCGCGCGAAGCTCCGTCCACATAACGCGTAAGATAGAACTGCGCCCTCATGAAGCGAATACGATGAAACGTTCTGATTGGTCAAAAGTTTTCTAAGTGAACAAACTACTGACAAAAGGTGGCGCTTCATAAAGTTTACACAGTACAGCTGGTCGGATCGGATCGATCCCGTGGAAATTTGAATCGAACTGAGTAAGAAACAGCGTCGTGGAAGGTAAATGGATTAATTTCGACCAAATTTGACTTTGCTATAATATGCTAAATGTGTGAATAAAATTGTTATTATTTTTTGAACCTGGATAGTTTTGCTTCGTAACATTTATGAATTGAAATTTTGCCAAGAATGGATGTCAGTTTTGCAACAAGTCAAGGTAAAACTAAAAGTTTGGCCTGCCCGCCTAGGCTAGCGCGATGTAGGCCTAGCTAGGCCTATCTTGACTCTTGGATTTACTGGATTTGTATTGCTGACAAACGTTTAACTTTAACGAAGATGAAGATAATATTCAGTTTCGGTATAAAATGTGTATACGAGCATGTGTATTTATTCAAAAACTATGGTAGACAGAAAATTTCAGACATGTCAGAATATATGACTGACAACTTCACCCCCGTATAAGGCAAAATAAAAAAAAAAACATGTTTAGCGTCCTGCCTCTTTGACAAAAAGGAAGGAGGAAGCCCTTTTTTTTTTTTTTTTTTTTCTTTTCAAAATGGCCGCCCGACACATTTTTCAAGACAACGCGGCTATTTTTCAAGATGGTTACCAGCTTTTTTCAAAATGGCCGCCACTTGGACTCAGGAAATGACATATTGGCTTCTTATGGGCAAGATGCAACAGAAAATGAGACCAAAATGATGTAACTATGCAGAACCGAACATCTCTTCTGCGCAGAGATCGTTAAAATTTATCAATTTTTGTTAAAAAAAAAAAAGAAAAAAAGAAAAAAAAAAGGAGGCGGCCTCTAAAAAGGAAGCGGGCGGGGACGCTAAACATGTTTTTTTTTTACTTCGCCTAATAAGCCTATGCTGGCATGATTAAAAGCCAAAGTAGGCCCTACAAACAATCTATCTAGCCTACATGTTGAAGAAACACATTGAAAGTTTGAGTCAGCATCGTCCGTTTTATGAATCATTTATATTTCAATTAAGTTAAGTTAGGGTGCCTAACTTAGGCCTATATCTGTATAGTAATGAAATGACTTTTAATCACGTATACAATGTGAATTAATGTTTTAGCTCTTTAACCCTAATCTCCGCAGTATTTGAAATGTTGTGTTTTCAAAGGTACAAGACAAACTCTTCATCAATTAAGATGTTCTAGGAGGACAATCTACAATGAGTAACCACGGAGATCCCTGCATTGTGAAGCTGTGCGCTGCTACGAACAACAGTAGCTCCGAGGACATGGCGTCTTCGACGTCCACAACGACCGATGGAGATGACGACCTCCCGACCTTTGAGCACTGGTATTGCACGGGGACCTCCTCCCCAAGAGATGACACAGACCACACCTCCTTGGTGGTGGAAGCATCCAGCTCATCGCACTCTCTAGGTGATTTGCCTTTCGGGGGTGCCGTGATGATGGATCTACCCAATATCCTTGTCCCTTCATCGCAACCCAGTGGCTCTACCGTCCCCCTCCTTGGAATGGAAGATTCCACTGCCAAACTGAGTCCAATGCAAGGACAGTTTGATCAGGATGATTCCAAGGTGCAATGCGAGGGAGGGACGAAAGACAAGAAAAGTGAGGGATCATCTGGTATGGAGCTCAGCGTATCCTCATCAAACCAGCTGGAAATTCTGAACAATTTACAGGTAACTACAGCTGTTATCTTAATCAGGACGACTGTAATGTTGAATGCCTGCTCTGATAAATTAAGTGGATGAACACAATTTGTCTTGAGGTGTCACATGTACCGTACTTGGAATGCACTTACAGTTCAAATTTTGACAGATCATATCTGTTTTTGTTCAGACAAATATTCAGTGAAAAATGGTCGGTAAGTGTCCACAATGTCGGAATGAAATGGACCGTTCCTGTCTGACAATCAAACAGTATGTATTGCTAATTAAATAGCGACTTTGGGTCGGATATGGTAGCCCAAACTTGGTCACAAGCATTGAGAGAAATGTAGACACACCAAAGGCTTAAAATATGGCCAAATCTTTAATGGTCCATTTCACTTAATTATGGGATGTTGCCTTCATTAGTCTGAGCTGGAAGAGACGAGAGCAGCTCTGGAAATGACTGAGAGACAGCTGACACAGAAGATGAATGACAACGATGAGGCGGCCAAAGAGATTGATACCGCCTGGAAGATGGTTAGACAATTGCAGATGGAGAGAACCAAGCCAATGCTACGAGGTCAAAAGGTCAGAGTGAATATAATTCAAATTCATTTGAATTCAACTACAAAGTAATGCCTTTCCATACGCACACTGTATGCCTCAATGGCACACTATTAAGGAATTCTTACCTTCTATTAAAAAAGCTGATATAAAAGTCCAAAATAAAACAGCATAAAAATGTATACTGTCCACAAAAAATAGTGTAGTATTGTGTCACCATTTGTTTGAAGTGATTAGTGAATTTATGAATTTTCCTGCCTTTAATTTTGTGTTTTGGGACCTAATTATAATCTATAAAATGAAAACAAAGTATAGTGTGCGATAGATTCAAATAGATTTTTCTGTTTGACACTTGATATTTTTTTTTTTAAAGAAAAGCATATAGGGCTCGTTCAATGACGGCCATTTCTGTAGGAGAAGTGCAACTGCGTATTTCATGCAATCAAGCGCGCATTGCGCAGAGTTGAAAATGTTCCAAACACGCGTTCTTGTTGCTCGAAATGTGTTCGAAATACGACGCAGCCGATGCGCGTTATGCAAGTTGAGGCACAAATGCGGATGTACATGGATGGTCTGTAGGAAATGACGTCATTTGAACAAGACCTATTAATGTAAGAAAAGTTGTTACACAAGTCTTCTATGGTTCTGAAAGTTACAATGAATTTGGTGATTTAATGTTTTAATAAGTGTTCCCCCTTTTATTTAGCAGAATTCCAAGTTATTACTACACATCCTACATCAAATAGAGCAAGAAGGTGGGCCAGAGGGGGCGTGGCTAAGCCAGGAGGGACTGGAGGGGGCACTCCTCCATCTCTACATTGCTAGGGAAGATGCTATCATGGCAAAGAAGCTTGCTCAGGAACAAGTCCAGGTAAACATCGCGATGCATTTGTATCTTGGCTACACATCATAATGAATGTCAACAATATTACAAATCAAATTTGGAATTGATTTTGTTTCGTAAAGGAAATATCCCAGCAGTATCAGTCGATGCGAGGCAAACTCCAGTGTTTGACAGCTGGCCTACAAGGTTTACTCGGCAAGCCAATGGAGGAGGGGGCACTGACCTTTGACCTGGAGGTCATAGGTCAAGAGGATACCCCTGGCAGAGCGACAGAGCGGGACGAGCTTTGCTTCACTTTGCTCGGTATGCTAATTGATGAACAATTTATAATAACTTCGAATGGAATATTTTGTGTATATTCAAGGCTTTATTTACACATGGCCTTGACTTGTTTCACATTGACAAATGGGAATGTATACTGGAAGAATCTTCCATATTCTTAATTTTACGTCCCTAATTTCAGAGCAACTGAAGAGCAAGTTGCACTCACAGGACTTGCAAGCCACTCGTTGGCAGATGATGACGTCCCAACTACGCCGAGAGTTGGAGCAATCCAGACAACGATGTGAAGCTAAGATGGACACTCTGTGTCAGGTGGAAGACGAGTGTCGGAGGAGGACTGAGGAGGCAGAGTCTGGGAGACTTAAGGAGAGGAAACAAGATCAGTTGATCCAGGCACTCACAGCAAAGGTGAGAGATTGGGGCCAGAACCAATTTGGAAGGGGATGGGGACGGCTGGACTTAGCTAGGAGGCAGTCTTTTTTTCCCTTTTTTTCCCATTTTCTCACAAAACCATAGAGGAAAATGGGATGAGTAGCATCAATTTAAAAACATTTTTCTTTACTCCTTGTCTGGTTAATTTTAAAAACAAGTCTCAAAACATAATGCACACATTCAGAGGACCAAAAAGATTGAAATTAAATTTGTGGTTCATAAAGTTTTCTCTTTTAGTTTATTAACATGAGATATCCATTAAGAGGAGTTTCTCAATAGACCACAGAATTATAATATTAAAGTGAATCTAACACCATGCTTTGCACTTGTAGCAAAGAACCCCAAGTTTCTAAAAATGTGTTCCTTCAAACTGTGCAGATGGCAGAGTGCGACAGAGAGAATGCAACATCTCAGAAAATCCACAGTGAGCTAGAGGGTCGCATCAGCCGACTGTCGGAGCAGCTTCACAGAACTCTCAAAGAGCATGAAGAGAACCTCAAATGCCAGCAAAAGGTCCGAGAAATTCAGTTGTGCTAAAAAAATAATTTCTAATGAATATCAGAAGTCATCACAAGTCAATCTCAAGTCGTTCAGTTAAGTGAAGTGACAGGCTATTCCACTGAACATTGACAAAGGCATCTCTTAGCTTCGACTTCGTAATTATTTATCCCCGGTTCCAATACTTGTGACCTCATGTGTGACTGATTTTTTTTAAAATTTGTCGTTTGACTTGTAATTGACTTGTGATTTGACTTGTGATTTAACTTGTGCTTTGACTTGTGATGGATTTGTGATTGACTTTTAGAGAATAATTATTGTATTAACTAACCTGATATAACTGGTTCAAAATTTGAATACAATTTTTTTTAGAACCCATGACTTATGAGAGAAACGCATAAGTAACAATTGATATGACTAAACAATCTCTCTCATTTTTTATTTTAAATCTAGGTCATTTCGCTGGAGGAGCAGCTTAAAATTGCCAAGACAACCTGCAATGAATTATGGGAACAACAACATGACATTGCCTCTCAGCTTGCTTCTAAGACAACAGAACTTGAACAACTACAAAATAGCTCATCTAATGGGGTGAGAATCAGTCACTCATTGGCCTGAGCCCACTTTAAGAGATTTGGCAATATGATGCCTAAATGGCGATTACTACCCCTGCCAACCAGACCTGTAATTCATTGCACTGAGCCTATACATGTACCTTATAATCTCGCTGGGAGAATATTTCTGGCTAAGTGGTCACAGAAGATGTCACTGTGCTCAGAGACCAAGAATCTTGAGACCAATTCAGAATTTAAAGTACACTTATGCAGCAGCTGTGGGTTCCCCAGTTAGAAACTAATATTCTCATTATATGATTTTTCACTACAAGAGGTCGCAGCATATATTCAAAGTAGTATTCATAAGCTGTATTCATAAATACCTCAGACAGTTTAGCTATTCCTATTGGTCGAGAGCCCATCACGTGGCCGGTCTTAAACGGATGATAAAGACATGGCTGGCTGGTCTTAAACACTTTTACAGTGCCACAATAAAATGTGGACTCCTAAAAATCCAGTGCCTCTTACCGTTTCATTGGTTGAACGTTCACAATCCTCACGTAGGCATGCGCAATACTACAAGCGAGACAGAATTTTATAGTTCTAAATTCAAAACGCAACGCCCCAGGTGCGTTCTGCGTGACATCGCACAGAACATGCTACGCGCGCGTCAATCTCCATAAAAGGGTTGTTTACATCTTACTCGCCAGCTGAACACTCCATTATTTTGCTAGAGGGATGTTTCAAAAAGCATGAAGTGAACTTGTTGAACAAAATCGGGATTTTTTGAACGAATTATTTGATTTTTTTTACGGATAAGGTATTTATGAATGGGAATAAATATGTGCTCGGTCGGTATTTATCACTCTGTTTAATACCGCTTAGAGTCTGGGTGCTGATAATTACCCTCGCCTCCGGCTCGGGTAATTATCAGCACCCAGACTCTAAGCGGTATTAAACGAGTGATAAAAACCTCCGGAGCACACATTTATTCCCTTATTCATATTCATTTATTTACAGACCAATGCTACAGATGGTATGCATGCTGGTTGTTCTCATGACGATCCATCCATAAACTGTGATCAGCCAATCAGTACCAACGCAATGGAGGAGATTCGTGAGCAGTTTGCTAGGCATATGACCCTCGCTGAGGAGCTGGAGACTGAACGACAGAAATCCTACCAACTCAGGAATGCAAGGCTGGCTAGTGATGAGGTAGATTCTGATCTTGTCCCAGACTAAGTCATAAGAGTTGTAGTCAATACGTAACAAGTCAATCCCAAGTCAATTGCAAGTCAAATCACAAATCAATCACAAGTCAATCATAACGCAATCACGAGTCAATCACAAGCCAATCACAATTCAATCACAACTCAATCACAATTCAATCACAACTCAATCACAATTCAATCACAAGTCAATCACAATTGACCTATCGCCGTTTGCGAGTTAGCCACGCCCCTTAGACACCCTTATGGAGTTTTTGTACACTAAGTTTTGTTTGTCTCAGATTTTGCGCGTTCTACGTCCATTTGTATATCATGTAATTGGGCAATATTTCACAAGCTAGGTTGACGCGATTTTAACGCTATTCTAACACGTTAGGTCAATACATTAAGTCAATTACAAGTCAAATCACAATTCAATCACAAGTCAAATCACAATTCAATCACAATTCAATTACAAGTCCATCACAAGTCAATCACAAGTCAATCACAAGTCAATCACAAAGCAATCACAAGTCATTTACAAGTCAGTCACAAGTCAATCACAAGTCCGTCACAAGTCCATCACAAGTCGATCACAAGTCAATCACAATACAATCACAAGTCAATTACAAGTCAAACATAAGGCAATCATATGCCAATCACAAACCAATCACAATACAATCACAAGTCAATTACAAGTCAAACATAAGGCAATCATATGCCAATCACAAACCAATCACAAGTCAATTACAGGTCAATCACAAGCCAATAACTAGTCAATCACATCAATCAATATTCATTTGCAATTACACTTAAAATGTTTTATCCATAATTTCTTGTATTTGTGCAAAAACACCTTCTACATCAGAACAGATATATCAAACTTGCAGCTAGTAAGTCATTGATTCTTGAATGGTTGTACTCGTTGCAGTCAGCATGCTTGAATGTGAGAACGGAGCTATCCAAGGAGCGTGAAGCTTTGCAAGAAGGACAGAAGAAACAGGAGATGGCCCAGCAAAAACTGGAGGAAGAAAAACGATCGCAGGAAGAACGCGTCCAGAAAATGACTGAATCGGTAAGCTGAGATTCTTTTTGTCAAAGGTATGAAGTGATATGGGGGGGGGGGGGGGGAAGAGTCAATATAAGCTTTAGGTAGTGTAGATTCTAAAAATAAAAAAAAAATACATTTCTTTTGCAATTGTGAACATTGCGTTTGTCTGCTAGACAGTCTGCTAAATTATTGTTCAATCCATGGAGATACACTGCGACTTTTCTTACATTTCAAATTTTAATTGGTTTCACGAGAATCACCACACCAATTTGAATGTGTGGGGGGGGGGGAGGTGAGTGGGGGGGGGGAGTAGTTGTGTGGGTGGGGGGGGGAGGGGGTAGAGGCGAACCGGGTCAGTGACACAAATTTGCCAACTGTCAATTAGGTAATCAACATAGTTTTGCAACATCTATTAAACTTGTTTAAAGACTAGACCACATCTTTGATTGCAATTCTCATCCTACAGTTGTTGGAGGTGAGCCAAGTCCGAGGCCATTTGACCTCTGACCTGAGCCAATCCCAGCATGAAGCTGAGAAGTTCAGGAGACAGCTGGTGGCAGCATCCACTTCCCTGGAGTACGAGAAACAAGCCAGAGAGACCATACAAGTGAGTCCTTACACATGAAGCCAACATTTCTTGGCAGACATTGCAGTACTTTACCATCTGATCTCTAACCCTGTAGATGAATGGCCATGATTTAAAAATAGGGGGCCTCAATTACTGGTGGGGGGGGGGGGAAGGGAGTGGGGGGGGGGGGGCTCCGTTCACAAGTAATGTCACTGTATGTTTCTCTCATCATTTCTTGATCCAGGTCAAGTTTGACAAGTCAGAGGAGCAGGTATCCCAGATGCAACACCAGCTGACAACGCTCCAGCGAGATTACCAACTGACCATTCAGAAGTGTGCTGAGGCTCAGAGACAGGTGGCTGTCATCCAATCAGAGCGAGACAAATACAGAGAGGGTGAGTGTAACACCCGTTTCACAACTTGTGTTCTAGAGACATAGAACTAATTATACTGAAGTTGAGATTTAAGTTTAACACTTCAAACAGCTAGGAGTGACTAGACAGAAAGATTGACTGTTGCAGTCATAACTGCAGAGCCTAGTTGATGGTAAAATTAGTAAATCAAGATTTCCTGTCTAAACCCAAAATGTCTTCATGATGACTTGAGTTGCTCTAAATACGTATTGGTTTGGCACAACTCTGTTAAAGCCGATCTGGAATAGGTGTAAGTTCATATTGCTGCCGGAACCACAATGGGAATTTATTCATTTTTATAGAAATGTGGTTATCTTAATCACCAGCCTTTAAAATCTGCCTCACCACTTAATTCAAATTCCAAAATATATCTCATCAGAATACGTGAGGGTTTCTGAGGAATTGAAAAAGACGTCCGAGGCATTGCAGGGCTTGGAGCGCCAGACCTCCGTTACTATGGCAACCCGGGAGCTTGAAGCCAACGCCAAGCTGACCGAGAAGGCCATCTTGAATTCAGACCTGGCCAGGAGATTGGAGACTGTGACCGGCGAATGGAATGAACGGAACGAAAAGATCAAAAGCTTGGAAGAAAAACTGAAAGAGTACGATCAGACATTGGCGGATCTGCGAACAGCAAAAAGGTGACAATGGAATGTTTTTCTAAATCTTCAAAGAGGCTCTCTACAATAAATAGGGCTCTTTAGAAAAATAGACAATAAACAAAATTTGAACTGGAAAGGACTTAAAAATCAAACATTTCTTAACAGCCATTGCAGCATTTTACCAACTGATGATCCTCAACCAGTTTTGGTTAACGAATACTTGAGCTATTTTACCGCATACTTCAAAATTCTTCATCAAATTTTACAACGGCTAAGAGTTATTTTAATATGAATCAAAGGTTTGCAGAAAGAGTTATTTTACATATTTCTTGACATATTTGCACGGAAAATAACACAGTTAATTTTTAAATCAAGCTGTTGGAAAAGTGAGTGTTAATTTCATTTCCTGTAGTTGTTGTGAGCAGTTGCAATCCCACGTTGCTCAACTACAATCTGACTTAGCCACATCCCAGTCAACCCTCCAAGAATTAACAGCTCTGAGACAACAGCAAGAAGCGGATTTAGACACCACACAGGAGGAGCTGAACAGCGCCCTCGCTGGGCAGACTGCACTCACCAAGAAGCTGAAGAAGCAGAAGGTGGGGTCAGAGAGCACCCTCAGGGGTCTGGAAGAGGAGAGGGATGTCCTGACCAATAAGCTCACAGAGGTGAGAACTTAATCATGAATATGCATGAGATGATCTTGCCTGGTGTGTGTGATGTGTTTTGAGTTACAAATCTTTGCTTTAGGGTCATTTTCTCTTGTGCTTTGATATTTTGATGACAAAATCATATTATACACACAACAAAAAAGTATTTTATAAGAGTAAAGTCGTAGTAAAGTCTGTCACAAGCCAATGTGGCCCATCAGGCTGGTATTTTATCTCCGGTTTCAGTGCCATGGCGTTCCACTGAGAATATTTCTATTCCCCCTGGATGGGATGCCAGTCCATCGCAGGTTACTCCCCAGCTAATGCCGGTAACCATTTATACTCCTGGGTGGAGAGAGGCAAGTGGGGTGCAGTGGCTTGCCCAAGGACACAACATATGACCAGTAGCTGGATTCGAACCCCTGACCCTCTGATCATGAGTCACGAACCCTAAACACTTGGCCACACTCCCCAAATGTAGTGCTGTGTATCTTAACTTTAAATATGAAAAATGAGATTAAATTAATATAATAATTGTGGCCGTTTATCAGGCAACCAAGAATCTAGCCAACATACAGCAGCAGTTGAAGGCAGCCTTGGACAGCAAACTGCATCTCATACAGGACAAGCACAAACTGCGCGAAACCTGCAACGCATTGGAAGAACAGAGCAAACTGGACCAAGATCAGCTACAGAGGGCGCTCTGCAAAGCAGACAACCTCACACAGCAATTGGAGGAAGAGACAAAGATCAAGGTATTGCATGGATAGAGATCCTAGGACATATAGTGGTGCCTCGAAACCTCTTGTCTTCTCAGAAATCATACTGAAAAAGTGATTTAATGAACCACAAACAGCAAATATTTCTGAAAAATACCAAAGAAAGTTCATCATAAATTGGCCTCAAAACACATAAAACACCTGCTGAAAGGCTTGAACATGTCTACTACTACCACTACTACTATATAAATTTGTCTGTATTTATTCATTTCCCCAATCCGGCATCTTTACAAGGCTGAACAGTTAAAACCACTCACCGAATATTTTGAATACATGAAGTACAAAGGAAGGGTTAGCGAATGAAATTTACTTTTCATTTCATCACAGAGTGAGTGTCAAGAATGTTTAACTGAAGCAACAACGAGCTTGGCATCGATGAAGATAGAGGTCAAGGAGGAAGGGTTAAAGGTCACGACCCTGTCCACTGAGGTGTATGCTCTGAGGGACACGGCACGTTGTCAGAAGAATCAAATCGTGGAGCTGACTAGCCAGGTTCAAGAACTGCAGGTAGGGACTATGTATCTTAACTGAAATCTGATTAGTTGATAAAACATACATGAATGACACACTGTTTCTGATTGGTCAAAAGTTTTAGTTATGCAAATATCCTGTTAGATCTCAAGTGATAGCCTAAGTGGTTGATTTTAGACAGTTTATGTAGTGACAAAGCTGGTTGTGTTTTAGTTTTAGCTAGACAAAAATCAGTTGTAATGGTTGATTGTCAAAGTATTTAAAGCTTTTAAATAGTGTTAATGAATGAACGGTTTAAATTAGGATGTTAAGCTTCGAGTTAGATTGAATAGTTTATTTCTTTGCTTTTCAAATATTTCTAAAATCGCTTAAAAAACTGGTACAAAGTATTTTCTAAAACTGGAAAAAATTGATTTCCAATCTAAATTTTCTGCATCTCATTTTTACCACTTCTTCTGAGTTTAGTTGGAACTACAATCTGCAATCCACAAACATGATCTCCAGTACAACAAACTGATGTCATCCTCGGAGAAAACAATATCTGAACTCGAGAAAACATGGTAAGTGCAAAATATGCCATCCACAAGTTAAAAAAGGTTACAGTCGAGTGGCAATGAGTGTTTTGAGTTTTTTCTTTAAAATATTTCACAAGCCAAACACTTTAACAGACATATTAATTTGATTTGTTGAATATTGTGTCCAGTACTCCATAAATGTTAACTGTAATGTTAAAATCGGAACCAGGTTTTTGAAATTAAACTCACGCTTTTGAAATAGTTTTTACCAGACGTGGTAAAGAGAACAGCTCTGCACTTGCAAATTCCATCACTTTCTGTAAGTGCTGTATTTAATTTTCCCCTGTATTCCTGATTTTGAGTGAGCTTGTTAAACTATCTTGCTACCTTTCTGAAGCACCATCTAAACAATTAAACCGACTAGAAAATGTTGAATTCACAATGTGAAACATGAAGCTGTTTTGTTTACATTTTGTCCTTCACAGTGCTCCCTGATCACTAACCTTTTTATTTTCTTCTCTTAGTGAAAAACAAGAGGAGCAACTCAAAGATGTTTGTAAAGAGAACAGCAAAATACAGGCAGAACTAAATCTCCTCAAGTAAGTTCATGTATTACAACTCAACTTGCTTTGCCTCAAGAAACTCAGGATGCGGGATCCTGTAGGCGGCTAGTTTTACTATACACCACCTCAAACAGCTAATATTTGTAAACTATCACCCCTTGATGTAGTCAGTATTTGTAAAATATCACCCCTTGAAGCAGTCAATATTTGGAAATATTTCAAAACCATCACTGCTTGAAGCAGTCAATATTTGTAAACTATCACCCCTTGAAGCAGTCAGTAGTTGCAAACTATCACTGCTTGAAGCAGTCAATAGTTGCAAACTATTTTTTAAAGTATCACTGCTTGAAGCAGTCAATAGTTGCGAACTATCACCCCTTAAAGCAGTCAATAGTTGGAAACTACTATCACTGCTTGAGGCAGTCAATATTTTTAAAACTATAACATACCACATTTCATTTCAGTTTCCGTCTAGCAACCATTATCTAATGCAATGTTATTTTCTTCATCCAGCAATGCATTTTCTAAGAAGCGATGTGAATACAACCGGGCCCTCCTTGTGCTCCACAAGGCTGAGATGAAAGAGAAAGAAATGATGAGCGTCATCCATCAGTTGGAAGGACAGTTGGATGTCGAGAAGAACGTCCAAGACCAACTCAACAAGAGGTCAGACAATGGCTCAGATAGGCAAATGACGATAGAAAACTAACTCTACATGATAATTGATTGATTAAAGGGGTTTAAAAAGGGCAAAATGGAAGAAACGATATTTGAAATGGTGATAAACAATCAGTTGGAAACCAGAGTCCTACTTATTCAATCACAAATCTTTTTGATTTTTCAGTTAATCAGAAGGAACTGACAATTGCTTTCATTTTTGTGGGCAGATAGTTGAGAAAATTTCTCCAAGAAAAATGAGCTTGGACCGTCTCATTGTTTTATATCTACAATTTATACAATGTTAAACACGAATATTGTTCATCAATCAACAACCATTTAAGTTTCATTCTGGTGTGAAGTGTACAAGTGATTGCTGATGTATATTGCAATTATTTTGAAACGGTTGTTTCTTGCTCAATCTAGCTGTGAGAGTCACGAAGCTGAGCTGCAGAGACTACGGAAGACAGCGAAGGACAAAAAGCAAAATATGGAAGAGCTGAAAAACACCATGGAATGTAACACAAAGTAAGTGCCTTTCTAATAAGGCCAAAGTTTTATATTATCCACAGATCATGTGAACACAGGACGGACAAACAACGCCTTTTTAATTTAGGAAGAAATTATTCAATGCAAATGGCAGAACCAACCAATAATAATTGAACCAAATCATTATCTTCTGTTGGAAATCAGTCATTTGTTTACTTGTTTGTTTACTTGTTTACTTGTAAGGATTGAGCTGCAGCACATCAAAGCAGAACTCACTCGGGAGATAATCAACAAGATTGAGATCTCGCCACAGAAAGAAAACCAAAGTAATGCAGACAGGTCAAAGGTTAGATTTCAGAGTTCTGATTAAAAAAAAAAATGTTTACAATTTTTATTGTTGTACATGTACTTTATACATTACTTATTCATGCAGATAAATTACACTATCAATATGTTTGTATAAAAAGCATGTTGGAAAATGTTACATACATATTTTATTTACAAAAATCATGATTAAATTCTGATTCCTTCAAATAATGTTAGAGGAAATTGACTAGGTTGACTATTAATTAGTTCATCAGTAGAAGACAAACGCCCAAGTCCTCCTTCCGTTTATTTTTTACTATAAAAACTTGGCAAGGTGTAGCAACTTTATAGGTGGAAATTAAACTAATATTCTGTTTTATCGAGAAAAGGTGATTTAATTTCATACAATATAACTTAAAAACATGCATCACTTTAAAATCATAAAATTGTTCATGCTCAATTTTACAGGAATGTATCCAAGAGCTTGAAGCTCAGGTGTCCAAGTTGGAAGGTCTGCGATCCGTGGACAAGCTCACCATAGCATCACTGACAGAGGATCTGAACAAACTACAAACATTTCTAGCTAAGCAGAAAGGAGCATTGCTCAAACGCAAGTAAGAATATAAAGACTCCATAGCCAAGAGGATACAAGGACAAATCTGCTAAGCATGGAAGAGTTTCCTTAGCAAAATTGTAAATGATTTTTATTGCTCATGTTCCTGAATCCCTGATAACTTTTTGGCCTAATACTTTATTACTTTTAGATTTTGATACAAGAAGAAAACTACATAGAAAAAAAGTGCGAGCAGAATTGCCAACATACCTAACATGTCTGCCGAAGAATTGTGTCCCGCAGTTTACAGAATTTTGTTAATATTGTAGATGACATATTTGTGAACCTCAAATCTCCCGCAAAATGTCAACAGTCATCTTTAAATCCAATGTATCAACCACTTACTACTAGATACCACAAGATACCTATAAAAACATCCAAATATGTGATTTTTTAAAGTAATATCCAGGTGGACAATACAGCCAAGGAAGTACGAGCAATGAAATTTAATCTGACATCTCTCTTGCAAACTCTGAAAATACAGATCCCATGCTAAACCAAGGAAAGATGATATCAAAGCAGCTCTTGCAAAAGCCCATGTGAGGGCGCTGTCTATGAACTTGGCCGACAACTACCCCACTGTACAGTCGCCGCTCTTCGGCAACGCAGAATGGTTTGACACCGGCAAGGCATCGTCACCAAAGAAAAAGCCTAGTTACGGTTACTGGGAGACCAAATCCACGGACTCCATAGCAACCAGTAGCGATGAGTACTCATCTTGAAGTGAACATTAAAACAAACAAATAAACAATCAAACTGAAGCTTAGATCACCAAAGGGCTCTGTTGTCAGAAAATATCCTGTGAAACTATAAAAAGAGGCCTAGCATCGGAGGTCACATCTTTCATGGAATGTCTATGTTCCTCTAAGAGAATTTTTATGAAGTGATCATCTTGAGCTTAAAGGGAATGTACATCATTGGCTTTTGCTGTAATTTTCAGATATGAACTATTTGAGGGGTTAGTATTATAGATCAAATATTGTTACACTGACATTTTTGAAGTTTTGTGTTCGAAAAGGTTGGAAAAACCAAGAAAAACAAAATTGTTCAAGTAGTCTGGTTCCCTGACTCCACAAAAGATAAAATGGATCAATTTATAGATGATGAAAAATTGTAAGGCAAGGGAACCAGTCTAGTTGGCCTGCATCCGTTCATGAACATGTAATCAATAGCAAACAAAATTTGGACTGAAAAAATGGTAAATTTGGAGCAGTAGTTGAAAAATAGTTAGGTTTTTCCAACACTGGTCGGCCGACCACCGTTGGAAATGTATACAAAAATACCATTTTCTTGAAAATGACTTCACACCAGGTGCCATAATTTTACAAGATGCTTGAGACTGTCATTTACCAACATCCTAGTAAGGTATTTCGTAAAAATTTGGTAATTTTATTTTTCGATGTTTGCAAATGTTGTATATTCCCTTTAAACAGAAGCTATCCTATTTTTGGTTTAGGGGAAGAGGGGCTGGCAAATGGTACTTTGTCTCTAACAAAATGGATCCCATTTTTTTCATTTGTAAAAATGTTCTTAAAAAGAGGGGGATGGAACTTTGACCTGTTGTGAAGTGGTGGCACTCTCATAAAACGAAACAAAGACAGATATACCAAAAAACCCACAATTTGCAAAAAGTCAATTTATTGGCGTGAAATTTAGTTTTGTTTTATATTTAAAAAATTGTCATAGAAATTGATATATCAAATTTATTATACATAAGATTATTAAAAACTGTGCAGTGCACTGTGCATTTACACACGAGGGTACTCATGATATGTACACTGAATATTGTATATTAATGACAAAAAAAGTATTTTCTAGTAATTCTATGCAACGAATAACTTGCCCGTTTACAATCATATCAGCCTGGAAGTGTGCAGATGTAATAAAGAATTTTTAGTTAATTTAAAAAAAAAAAGCGCCAAATGAATTCATTTTTCAAGCTGTCCCGATGATTCTGTTAAAATTGATTTTGAATTTAAATGGCCAGTCAAATTGATTTATTTGAAGTGGCTTTTAGCACAAGTTTTTGGAAATTTAATGGCAAGACACTTAAAAACATCAGATTTGCACAGACCCTGGCCTTTTATTAAATCAAGAAAACTCACAAATCAAACACACGCCATGAATCAAAAGATAAACAAATTGATTCATGTAATGTAATGTCCTTGGTAAGACTAAATTCTGTTATTGGTATTAGTTATTAAAAGGCACTTAAAGACAGTTGCACAAATTAAGAGACTTATACACCTGTTAATTAGAATAATGGTTTTGCTTCTATGTTGAAAACATTCTCCACAAGACTTGAAGATTTGGCAGTGCTGTCGACTAATACCCAACAGAACTAATTACAGCAAAGTAGCAGGACATAGGCCACATACACCACAGACAACTTCAATTAGTAATTTCTTTAATTTCTGCAAACAATGCAAATGTGAGTTTTCTTGAGCGCATGCGTGAAAGCCGCTAGATACCTATTACAATCGGTGCTCTGAAATTTTGAGCTTAGTCTTCTCCATCAGTTTGCCAGGGGCACTTTGCCGCCTTCATCTTGCACTTTCAACACTTCGAACACCAAGCCCAGTTATTGCACAGGAGAAAGGTTTGTAGACGAATCAACCTTTTCACTTCAACTTTTGGTTTTGCAGTTCAGTTATTGGAGGTATTTTTAATAAGATTTGTGTTGACTGTTTTGAAATCATCTCTTGTCCTCAAGTCTGGTTGATGATTATCAGTAGGACGATCGTATCATTTGCAGTTGTTGACTGAAATAATCTTCAAATCCAGGATATATTTTAAAAAAATATGTATGAAAGGGATAGTGGTAGATTACATTTTTAATCACTGTGGTTTAGATTAATTTATTTTTATTTTTCCCCCTTCATGACCTAATAAAAATTAATTGGTCTTTTCTGTAGAGGAACTCAATCGATATTAATTAAAAGTGTGCATGTCTGTTTCACAGAAAGGCTAGAATTATTTTTTTTTTGTACTCCCTAGCAATTTCCTTCTCGGAGTCTGCAACAAATTGAAGACATCATGAATATGATTACGGTGATGGTTGCTGCAGCACTTTGTAAGTATCTGTATATGTGTGCTCGAGAGGTTTTAATCACTCATTTAAGACTGCTTAGAGTCTGGGTGCTGATAATTACCCGAGCCGGAGGCAAGGGTAATTATCAGCACCCAGACTCTAAGCAGTCTTTAAAAGAGTGATTAATACCGACCGAGCACATATTTATTCCCATTCATAAATACCTTTTCGGTAAAAAAAAATCAATTAATTCCTTCAAAAAATCCCGATTTTGTTCAACAAGTTCACTCCAGCTTTTTGAAACATCCCTCTAGCAAAATAATGGAGTGTTCAGCTGGCGAGTAAGATGTAAACAACCCTTTTATGGAGATTGACGCGCGCGTGGCACGTTCTGCGCGATGTCGCGCACAACGCACCTGGGGCGTTGCGTTTTGAATTTAGAACTATACAATTCTGACTCGCTTGTAGTGTTGCGCATGCCTACGTGAGGATTGTGAACGTTCAACCAATGAAACGGTAAGAGGCACTGGATTTTTAGGAGTCCACATTTTATGTGACACTGGAAAAGTGTTTAAGACCAGCTAGCCATGTCTTTATCATCCGTTTAAGACCGGCCACGTGACGGGCTCTCGACCAATAGGAATGGCTAAACTGTCTGAGGTATTTATGAATGAAGATTCAAAGCTTTTATTTCTTTTAAATTGCCTTTTCTTTGAATCGTTTTGATTTTTAGTAGTGGTCGATGACTCGTGTAGAAGAAGACTGATAATTTGTCAAAAACAAAACAAGCTCAAACAAACCTGCTTAAAAAAAGTGTTTTAAAAGATTGTTTGAATGAATACTTTGTTCTCTAAATACGACTTTTAAATGAAATAAATATTTACAAAAGGGAATTTTTTCAGTTTTTCTTCGTCATGTATGTCATACTGTAGCAGTTGTAATGTTATTTGAATATTTGGTCCATGTTACATTTCTAGTCATATGTGGAGTTGATAGTCAGTGTTACAACTGCTCTGTCGTCACTACGGGTCAGGAGACGGAGGGACCGCTGGGCTGCAAGGAACCATTCAACAGTGATGGAATACAGACCGTACCGTGCCAAGGCAAATGCAAAGTAAGTACATGTATTGACAAACCTACAACTCAAGCAAACAAACCATTAGTTTAATGGGAGTCACCCATTAAAGGCTTAAGCCACTACATACAAAAGGCAGGTGTTAAGAGATTGGAGGAAATTGGTTTTCAAGTAGTAAGCAAAAAGTGCCACACCTGTGAAAACACAAGTCAACTGAGCTAATGGACCCAAGGGCCAAGATGTTTAATTGATGCCCTTCTGGGTACAAAGAAGCCTTTGAAGATTAACTTTGCTTTATTAATCTTCTGTCAATTTTAAGTGGGAGGTATTTTGTGCAAAAAATGTGTAGAAATGTTGGGATGATTTTCAAGGAAACAGTAGTGGGGTGGGGTCAAAATTAACATTTTCAGTCATATGTGATGACACTGTACAATTCTCACTCGTTTTTCTCCTTCTACAGCACAATGCATTGTCGGGAGTCCCCCCCCCCCTCCCCACGAAAACGACCCCTGAATCAAGCATGATCTAGACTCTGGACCAATTCAATTTTGCAAATGAAAAATAAACAAACAATGCCTTCCTTACACTGTTGACTTATTTCATCACAATATCTCCAGATAACACAGGTGGATGCTGCAGCAGGTGACGGCCTGACAAGTACAACAGTCCTGCGCAGGTGTCACAATCAAGATGAAGGACCATGTGAGGAGCTCAATAACTTGCAAATAGACCAACTGACATGGACCCAAACCTGCTGCATGGGGCCTCTGTGCAACGGTGGTGGGAATGAAGGTGGTCGTGCAAGAGATGAAGGTGGTCATGCAGAAGATGAAGGTGGGGATGCAGGAGATGAAGGTGGTCATGCAGGAGATGAAGGTGGTCATGCAGGAGATGAAGGTGGGGATGCAGGAGATGAAGGTGGTGATGCAGGAGATGAAGGTGGTCATGCAGGAGATGAAGGTGGTCATGCAGGAGATGAAGGTGGTCATGCAGGAGATGAAGGTGGTCATGCAGGAGATGAAGGTGGTCATGCAGGAGATGAAGGTGGTGATGCAGGAGATGAAGGTGGTCATGCAGGAGATGAAGGTGGTCATGCAGGAGATGAAGGTGGCCATGCAGGAGATGAAGGTGGTCATGCAGGAGATGAAGGTGGTCATGCAGGAGATGAAGGTGGGGATGCAGGAGATGAAGGTGGTGATGCAGGAGATGAAGGTGGTGATGCAGGAGATGAAGGTGGTCATGCAGGAGATGAAGGTGGTCATGCAGGAGATGAAGGTGGTCATGCAGGAGATGAAGGTGGTGATGCAGGAGATGAAGGTGGTGATGCAGGAGATGAAGGTGGTGATGCAGGAGATGAAGGTGGTCATGCAGGAGATGAAGGTGGGGATGCAGGAGATGAAGGTGGTGATGCAGGAGATGAAGGTGGTCATGCAGGAGATGAAGGTGGTCATGCAGGAGATGAAGGTGGTCATGCAGGAGATGAAGGTGGTCATGCAGGAGATGAAGGTGGTGATGCAGGAGATGAAGGTGGTGATGCAGGAGATGAAGGTGGTCATGCAGGAGATGAAGGTGGTCATGCAGGAGATGAAGGTGGTGACGCAGGAGATGAAGGTGGTGATGCAGGAGATGAAGGTGGTGATGCAGGAGATGAAGGTGGCCATGCAGGAGATGAAGGTGGTCATGCAGGAGATGAAGGTGGTGATGCAGGAGATGAAGGTGATGATGCAGGAGATGAAGGTGGTGATGCAGGAGATGAGGGTGATGCAGGAGATGAAGGTGGTGATGCAGGAGATGAAGGTGGTGATGCAGGAGATGAAGGTGGTGATGCAGGAGATGAAGGTGGTGATGCAGGAGATGAAGGTGGTGACGCAGGAGATGAAGGTGGTGACGCAGGAGATGAAGGTGGTGATGCAGGAGATGAAGGTGGTGATGCAGGAGATGAAGGTGGTGACGCAGGAGATGAAGGTGGTGATGCAGGAGCTGAAGGTGGCAAGCCAGGAGCTGAAGGTGGTAATGCAGCATCAAAGCTGTTCAGCTTTAACATAGCCTTTATTATTCTTGCACTGTTCTTTACCATTATGTTTTGAACTCCCAAGTCCCTTTTCTTGGACCCCAGAGTTCCTATGTACATATATACCTAACACTACAATTACAGTGTTAAACTAAACGTTGATCATTACGGATCGAGTATCAGCACGATTCCCATTCAATTTTATTCATAAAATGTTTGTATGACATCTACAGTTTTTAATTGATTTCTCATGGTTAACGTATACTCGTTCGGTGGACACATTAATAGTGAAATAATACAAAATTGTCAGTCTAATAAGGGTCAAACAGAGTATTTCAGAAGAACATTCATGTGTTATCGGTTCTGTGCAGTATTAAAGAGATATGAATAGAGTGATTTTAATTCTTTAGTGAATACCTAAAAATAAGGTCATAAAACAGTATATCCCTGTAGCTGTAAGTTCGAATTGTGGTTTGTGCAGATTCTATTCCATTTGAAGAGTCTTTTGATTTTCACAATTACATTTGATAAGGCACCTTGTAGACCATGTCCCTTCACGTCATACCAACAGGCAACTGATGAGCAACTGACTGGCAACTCAAACATTTCAGCATCTTTTGCACGTTACTTTGCCCACGTTACACAGTTTATGTCACCACTTTTGCACCAATCACATTTCAAGAAATACACATGTAGTACAGAACAGAACAGTTCTCTTCCAGTTAGCATAACGTGACCACAACATTTGTAATTAAACGTAACATGACGTTTACGACCTGGAAAGGTAGCGTGACACGCCGTTTTACAAAAATATGGTTTAACATCCAAGGGGGATGGAATAAAAATAACGAGTTCTTATATAGCACTTTTAACCAAGATCAAAGCGCTTTACATGATTATTACCCCTGATCATTGGGCCAAGGAAACATACCAAATACCATCTCAGCTCCCTGGGGGCGTAATTTTTTTTCCTAGGAGGGTTAGGGGCAATGTCATAAATAATTAAGTTTTTCCTTTGAATCATTGCAAGACTTAGGTTCTCGTTCTATTTTCCCTTAATTTAAAATTATCTCAGTGATAAATTTGGAGAAGAAAAATAGCTGATGAAAATGAGCAGCGACGACGTGGATTCGAACCAGGGATCTTTGTATCCATAGCTCATCTCGCTATCCACTAGGTTACTGTGTGGTAGCTCGACGACAACCGTTCTTTAAAATGCTTTAATATATTGTAACTAGTTGAGTAACTAACAACAATGCTGTTGATGTCATTGTCCGTTCTCATGGATAAACATGAATTATTCATGACATTGCCCCTAACCCTCCTAGGAATAAAAATTACGCTCCCTGGGGAGTATACAGCTCGATGCTGCCATTTAGGTGCAAAGCAGCTACAATCACCACAATAACCATCTCACAGGTACCCATTTACTCCTGGGTGGGAAGCAGTGACAAAGTGCCTTGCCCAAGGGCACACACACCATAGCCCCAGGTTGGACTCGAACCCACAACCTGCAGAATTACCTGCAGACCTTAAATTCAATACCCCAGACCAGGACACTCCATGAAGGAAGGGGGGGGGGGTGTGCAACGGGGGCAAAGTATCATTTAAAAAAATTAACCACAGGAGTGAAGACGACCGTTTTGAAATTGATGCTACTCATCCCTTTTCACACTAAGAATTTGTGAAATGTTTACAGGAAAAAAATTCCATTCTTTGGTAGCATAAGAATGAAATATTAGATAGAATGGCTGTCGAACATGACAACAGGCGTCTATATAAACTACACAATGAAAGTACACGCTTGACATCTACGTTACGGTAACTTCAGTTTATTTATCTAATCTCAAAAAAAAAGACACAAAATACCTGTACACAATGGATCTGAAACTTTTGATTCCTTGTTTCATAAATTGATGATCCCAACAAGGGAATTTCAAACACAATTTTAATAATGACATAACAAAGAGACGAAGTAAAGCAACAAAATAATGTACTCCACTACAAAATATGACAAGAAAATAATGCTTTCAAAATAACAGAAATAAGTGTTAACATTCGACACATGCTTTAGAAGCAAAAACAGGTACCTTAACCCTGGTGTTGAAACAGCTGGACAGATTTTAATCGCAACACAATATTATGGAACAGTTGAAATTACTCTAAAGAAAAGACAGTGGTGGAACATTTATGAACAAACAGTGCAGTCTATCAGCTTAGAATATTAACTTTTATGGCATTATGTACAACTCCAACAAGACAACCACAATGGTGATAACATATGGCCATTTTACATTGCATACTGTTTCTGTATTTATTTATTTATTTATTCATGATCATTTTTTTAGCGGGATGTAACTTAAAATAAAATAATCAAAATTGGAACATACAAGATTTCACTGTAACTTGGTTTTCATTGATATGCATGAATTAGAACAAGGAATTTTTAAACTATTAGATAGAATAATCCATCAATTCCCATCCACTGCACATAGACGTTTGTCAGACATTTGATTGTGCAGTTGTGGCCGTGACATCAAACATCACTTGCTGGAGTTGAAGGGATCGGTCTGTTGTCAAAGCTTCTGCGACAATCTCAACTCCTCCAAATTTTTTTTAAAATTTCTTTGATGTCTTGTAGAAAGTAGAAAGCCTTCGGACTGTTTAAAATGGCGGTTGGCCCCGACCACGCGTGAATCGTCCACCTCGACTTCGAGCTGTGAAGAAATGAAAAACAAAATGTTAAGCCTACAAAAAAATAGGATTTCATGATCAGTATGTATTACATGCACTTCCCAAAACATTAAAAAATGCTGCGTCCTTGTTAAAATAATACATGTAATAACATTTGGTGCATGCTTGTTGACCGTTTTCACAAATGCACTGCTAAAATGGCCTCTCAGTGGTATATTTGTGAATAACGCCTGTTATTCTCCAATAGAGTTATGCATTAAGGTCAACGTTGTCAGGGTGACGATTTACTTGCTGTGCCGGTGCCTCTAGGAAAGGACCGTTGTATAAATCGACCTCGACTCCTGATAGCTGTGCCTCCTCTTGACTGTTGAGGGCGCTGTTGCGACTGACTGGAGCTGGCTGAGTCCTGCCACACGATGCGTTTGGGTTTCGGCCGCTCCCCTTGACCTTTCAATCACAATCAGAAAGTGTTAGCGTTTTTTTTTTTTAATTTTTAAATTACAAAATTATAATGATTGGGTTTTAATTGATTACTACTAACAAAAATTCTGAAAACTTTATGAAATATCAAAATATTTTCAAAATCCAGTGTCAAGAACAAGGAGTTATTTTTAAAGAAAATTAAGATAAAAAGATAAAAAGACACAAAGTAATTCAACAAATTAAAGAGAATTACGAGGTTCATTGTATCTTGAGTTAATTCACATTCTCTGTTGTTTAAAAGGTAATGTGAGTTGAAAGTTTATGACCATACACAACTCATGCATTATACACAGAACACAACTGATGCATCTATTAATATTTGGTTCAGTAAAAACTGACGTCGTGACACTGAGTGGTTCGGTACAGGTACAGGCAATGCATGATCTACTCTGAAAGCATCTGCATGGGACTCGTAACAGATGGTGTTTAACAAAGAACCATGTGGTAAAGGGGTGATCAGCACATACATTGTAATTATTACCCTAGTATCCCTACATTTGTTTGTTGCACCCAAACACATATCATTCTGTGCATGGGCTCCGTGCACAAGTACCCCCTCAACGGTAAGAAAGGGAGAGTTGGGGGAGACCACTGGGAGAGACATGCGAACATATTGCTGACTAAACCCGTCCACTGGCTCTTGAAAGTAGTAAAATAGCGCCCTCTTTTTGTTTGCGCACAGAGCCATTTTGGATGATATGTGTTACACTAAGCCTTACCTGCTTCAGCGCTACCACTTTGTTCTGGTCTGTCCCTCGGATCGGCACCCTCAGCACTTGGAACAGCACTGGTTAATTCTTCACCTTGGTCGCTGTAGATAAAGTTAGCCAAAAGGAATTAAGTCATTCTTTAGAATTCAATGCAAACCAGTAGAAACATATCTGGCCATGTTTTCAATTCATCGGTGAAAGTATTGTGCTAGCTGTTGTTGGGATAATCCGTCACGGGCAGTTGCTTTGTACAATAGTATGCACAATGGTTTCTCCATTGAAAAGGGCCTTGTGAGGTACAATCCTCACTTGCCCTGGGACCGATTTCACAAAACTCATCTTATCTTGTGACTCATCTCAGGACTTGAGACGAAGCCCCAATCGCGTTCTAAGATCGATTTCAGTAAACCCATCTTAAGCAAGACGCATCAAAACTACCAATTCGATGGCTGTTTCATGTTTGTTTATACTGTTTGACGAAACAGTCGTTGAAAAGAAATGGGCAAAACCAATTTCCCGCGCTCTTGCGCACAGAACACAAACTTTCACCAGAAAAATTACTCTACTCAATAAATTTCACATGAAAGGTAGTTCTACACAAGATACGATAGAGTCATTCTTGCTCCCCGTTTCAACACTCTATTTAAAAAAGTTGACTAGTTGGCGTATAATTGAATTTTGTAAATAACTTATTATTATTAAACCTCCCCACATATCAGCAATCTTTTCAAATCTGTTTCTAAAGGGGTTTTCCTCCTCGAAACTATAACTCTTATAGGCCAATATTCATCTTTAATGAGAAGCTACAGCAATGATTTCCAGACGATTATTACAAATAAATGCACGCATTATGAGATAAGACTATCCTCAGATGGATCTTAAGTTAAAGACAAGTTCAGCCACATTGCTAAGGAAGTTAGGACGTGTTGAACACGTCTCAAGTTTGGTTAAATCGATCCTAGGACGAGTCGCGAGTTATGATGAGTAACCCTTCCTAAGATTCGTGAATTCACCCCAGGTTCGTCTTTACATGACTGGTCAATGATTTTTTGTTTCATTTACCCCTGGGAATCAGCAGACGCTATGGTGGTTTGTTCCTCGCTACTCGTGTCTGGTCCTGCGGGAGACGACTGCGGTACTTCGCTAGGCAGAGTGTCGGGCTCGTCTTGCTCCCCGACTCCCTGCAGCTGTTGCTGTTGGCTGGCTTCACTGGTGGCTGGCACAGAACGCGAGGTGTCCTGACTAACTGGTGAGGAATCTCGGGTCTGGCTTGAGGGACTCGCTGTCAGAACGGTTGCTGAGAATTGACAAAGAGAAGTGATTTTATAAATAAGACACCTGCCTCTTTGTGGCTGTTACTATGGCTGCTTCATAGGTCTCTTGCCGAAATGACTTATGACAATATATCTGAATTTGGAAGATTGTTTGATCTTTAAGGGGCAGCCAGTCTCTATATTTATGAAATGCAAGGAGGTTTGGTACCGTTTGTTTAATAGTTTTAGTTTTGTCAGTAGGCTTACAAGGTGCGTGAGTTTGCAGGGGTGTCGTTGGCACGCTCCGTCCTCCATCTTCATCTCCTCCTAGAAGGTTGATGCGGGTGTCGTCCAGACCCAGATCTTAAGGACAGAATCAGATGCAAACAGATAACACAATGATTATACTATACCAACTTGACTGCTGGTAAAACTAGCCTCCCGAGTTGATCCGTGGAACACTCTGTTTTTCTAAGACGTTAGATGTATATCTAAGAAGTGATAAGAGTATTTTTTGTATCAATTTTGGTGCCCAAAATGAATTTCCTTACCTCCTTGGGTAGCTAGCTGGGCCAGTGCTGGAGCCATGGAGCGTGATGGTTCAGCATCCGAGCCCCCGAAGTGAAATCTCCCAGGAAGTAGAGGAGAACTGCAACATGTAACCATCAATCACATCAACTTAACACAGGCATCAAATTTTAGTAAAACTCTGCAATTTTACTGAACCAGAAATATGTTTACAAGACAGTGCCAAAATGAGAAATGCCCTATTTAAAATGCCCTGTTTGAAATGAAAGAGATGGCTTTTTGAAGAAGTTTCAAAGCCAAGTAATGTACATGAACATTCTGTTTCAAAAGATATTAAACTATTGCAATGAATATGACTTTTGACTTGGTTAAATTAGAATCGAAAACGGAATATTGGTTGATGATCAGAAGGACGCAAAACCACCAGACCACTGGACTAGTCAATCCATAGAAAGCACTACAGTATGTTCCCCAAAAAAAGCGTCCATCTGACTATTTTTGACATAACTACAAAACCATGAAGTCAATTAAAAAAATGTTTCATCGTGCAGATACTCTTAAGCCTTGGCCTCAACCCCTTACGAGTTTCATTAAATTTCAGTCACGCATCACTAAAACAATTGTCAATTGATCACAACAACCTTTTCAGAAACTGTCAATAAGTTCCTTGCCTTAATCATTTTCAGTACTGTGTTAGTAAGCTGTGTAAAATCCTGCATGTTGTGCAAAGGGCTGCGGTTGGGATTGGAATCATTTGCCTGGCTATCAGTCATCATGGCAAGACATCAGTTGAATGCTCAAGGGCAAATGATTCCAATCCCAAACCACATCGGCCTTTTTTCGCAACATGCAGGATTTTACACAACTTACATAACACAGAATTGAAATTGAATAAGGCAAGAAAATTGGTCACAGTGTCCAAAAATGTTGTTGTGATCAATTGACCATTGTGCAGTGAGGCGTGACTGAAATTAAATGAATCTCATAGAGGTTGAGGCGAAGGATAAGAGGTATCTGCACAATCAACAATTTTGAAAATTGGCTTCATGGTTTTGAAATTATTTTTAAAAAAGTCAGACGGACACTTTCTTTGGGACGTACTGTAGTCGATGCCTTAAAATGTTGCTCCCAATAGTCTCCCCAATGTGGAATGCTAAAGACTTGTGAACAAGTTCATTGGTAGAATCAGGAAGCAAAAATGCCAGGTATCTTGGTCTTACTTGATTGCCTCTGCAAAGCCATCCGTCCTGCGTGGCACGAAGAGGGTAGGCGTGCTTGGCACTTGTCTGTCATCTCCGATGTCATCAAAGGGCCCCCCGGCACCTATGAACATCGGGGCTCTCCCAAGTGATGCAAGACGTTGTCTCGGAACAGTAGCTTGCTGTAAAGAGAAGGAAAGAGGACTCAGATTACGTTTGTGGTTTCACAATGTGACAACAAATCACTTTTGGTGAGTTGGTATGGTTCTGAAAAGAACCGATGGAAACTCAGATGGTATGCTCTGCCTGTCATCAGGAGACTGGGACCGACTATTCAATGACTAGTTGCAAGGCAGTCTATCAGTCATCTAGCATCTATGTCAAATTCAGGGGGAAATTCACCCACAGAATAAGGATATAATGTTTGAGAAGGGATACTCAAAAAATAATTACTAAAAAATCTTTAAAAAACCTAAAATTGTGCCTACTTTTATAAACTGTTAAGGGTTATACTATTAGATCTGTTTATTAAAAATACTGACAAGATTGCCTCAGGATCCACGTTTTTCATGTATGCACATTGTTGTTTATGAGACACTCTATAAAAGAAAAACATGCAGGCTAGTGAAAATGCCCGCAGGCTAGTTAAGTCTGTTTCAGTAGCCCGGCTGGCTCGTGAAAAAAAAAAATTTAGGTCGAATCCTGAAAAAAATTTTTAGGTCGAATCCTGGTTAACATAATGTTGATAGAAACCTTGTCTCTTCTTAATTGCCTTTTCCTTGGGTCATTAAAAATGTAACAACAAATAAAGAATATGAAATCAAACAATATGTATTTTTACCTGGAATGGAATTCTCTCGATCTGCGTCTCTTGACCCTGAGAGGTTGGGACTTGATCTCCAGGGGGCTCCACTCTCAGCTCCGGCATGGGTAAGCGTAACTGTGGATGCTCTTCCATTGGTTGCGCTTGCTCCTGCTGGTCGCTAGACCCAACTTCCATCTCATTCTCTGCTCCTTCGGTCTCCTCGTCCTCTGTGCATCATAAAAACATTTCATTCAGAAACCAAAAATTCATCTCGCAATTATTTTTACTCCTAACAAATTTTCAACTTTGTATGCTTTATTTTAACCAAATAAAACCTACCCTTTTTCCATTTTGGGCATCTGCAATCTTCTAAAAGATGGCTTTAATTTTTGGTTGCTTTTGGGCATAAAAAGATCTACCCTGTTATTAGACTAGTTTCAGACCCTACATTATCAATTTTGATAGGGTGCGGGAACCAGTCTAAAACTGCAATATACAAATGTTTTTGTTGGGATGTAAATTATTCAAAATTTGTAAAATTATTTGTTATTCCATAGCAAAACTGTCAATGTCTCATTCAAAATTGAAAAACTTTCGTACAGCTAGAAAATTAGCACTTTATAAAAAATAAATATTTTTTTTTGGGGGTGAAACTCAAAAATAGCACTGACAGTACATCTTGAATGAGGGAGTCTTACCACTGATTTCCACCACCTCATCATCATCCATGACCTGATCATCTCCAGTGTCTCCTGCATCACCTTCTTCATCTTGCTCATCCATGGAGACAGCTTCTTCTCCTTCATCATCGTCCATTTCCTCATCAATCTCATCCTCCTCCTCTCCATCCTGTCAAAACAAATCCACAAGGAGTCAAAAACTGAAGGAATAAAAGCAGAGTCTAACTGTGTAGCACAGAGTGTGCCAAAAAAGGGCACCATTCAGAAAACAAAGAATTAAAACTGTTCAATGTTTTTTCTTCAATGAAATTATATATTACATTAAAGCCTGACTATTTTTCAATCCACTCGTTTTTACCCCATTCCATTTGGGTCCCTAGATCCAGAAATACAATCACCTAAGTGAAAGGGTGTACATTTTCTACTTGGGCCACACTCACCTGTGATGTCGCCAACTCCAATGCCTATTCAATGTTTAACCCAGATTCAGCATGTCCAGGTGAGAGTGGCCCAAGTAAAATGTACACTCTTTCACGTAATCAATTGTATTTCTGGATCTAGGGACCCAAATGGAATGGGGTAAAAAGAAGTGGATTGAGAAATAGTCAGGCTTTGATGTAATATACAATTTCATCGCAGAAAAAACTTTAACAGTGTTCATGATTTGTTTTCTGAACGTTGCACTTTTTTGCACATTCTGTACAAAGTAGGAGACAAAAATATTAAAAACTCTCTGAGATTGATCATGGTGATGTACTGTGGGATTTTATCTGGCTTTCAAACTTGAACTTCTGAAAAAAAAAGTCTTGGAAACAGTGCTGAACCAATGGAATTTTACAATCGAATAGCATGGTGTTACAATAACAGTTGTAAGGACTTACCCCATACTCGATCTCTCCTTCTACTGGGTACTCATCATCAAAGTCTTCATAGTCTCCTGCTTCTCCTTCCTCATCTGCATCATCGCCGATGTCTTCATCTTCCTCTCCTTGAGACTGCTCATCCTCCTCAGAAACATCCTCCTGCCAAAACAACAACAAATTCTCTGAACTAGAATGTTTTCATTTGAGATTTTGTCATTCCAAATGTTAATTTACAACTATTACATATTCAGTGCCATCCAACTGGAAGAGCATGCAAGAGAAATTCACAAGCTTGCATGGGTAGGACTCGAACCCACAATCTCCTGCTCACTAGTCCAGACGTCAAGATCTTGTAAACCACCTAATCACTGAGCCTGCCTGGGTTGGCTGTCCAATTAGAATCTCACACAGCATTCAGTTCAACATTCATTTGGGAAACCGAGAATACACAAGTAACTCTGACTACAAAGTAGGTTTGGGCAATTATGAATGCAAAAGTCCAACTGACCTCATCGCTATCAACGACGATAACGATATCATCTTCATCTTCTTCATCTGGGTCTTCGACTTCGCCTCGTACATCAAGCCCCTCCTCTTGTTCGTCGTCAACTTCTCCCTCAGTGGGCGGAGCTTCCTCCTCCTCTTGCTGCAATGTATCGCTAGCCAAGGGCTCTTGTGTCGATGCCTGGTCCTGGGTTTCAACTTCATCTTGCTCTGTCTCCTCCAGAGAGGGCGCTTTTACACCGGTGCCCGCTTCGTCTTCGCCAGCGGGAGATGAAGTTGATGACTGTCGGGTGCTTGAAGGAGTTGCCTCTGCTGGGGTCTCGGCTTGGGTGTCGGTAGAAGCTAGGGAGGGCTGATCTGGTTCCTCTACCGCTTGCTGAGGAGAGAGATTTGAATTCATACACTTAATGAACTTGTACATACGTAGTGCTAGGACATAGGAAAGAATGTTGCAACCTGACGCCACTTTTTTCTTCATATATCATCTCAATAATGGTCAGTCATTCCAAAATGAAGTGGTGTCTGGATACTACATTCTTTCCGGACGGATACCAAGTTACCTGATACCAGACCAAAAATGCTGGGTTCTGGGTTCTATTTTTTGGATGTTAGACATTCTGGTAGCTCTATTATGGCTGTGATTGCTCCAAATACGACAGGGCAGGGTTCAATGGGATGGTCTATTTCTGGATGGTCTGTTTACCGGTTGAGGCGTGACTCGCTGACGTTTTTCTGCATGGCCGGTCTCTTCTATTTGAGCTGTCTCAGTGTCATCCTCTGCTGATTCCTCTCGTTGACGTTTGTGACTCAGCTCTGTACGACTGCCCGAGGAGGAACTTGGTTTCTGTGTCTCAGCATCTGAAAATGAACGAGACCAGACGCTGACAGATGAACAAAACAGAGCCAGTTTGTTCAGGGACATTGGTCAACAAGTGGACCATTTTGGATTTGGCCATAAACCACACCCACTTGTGGTTTTATACGTACATTTCTCATGGTGCTTGTCACCAAGTTTGACTGACTTTTTGTGAGAAGCTGACCAACATTGCAAATAAATTTGTCAGTCGCCCCACGAACCGTCGTATCCCGAATTTGGCCAAATTGTCATTAACATTTTTATTTCATTGCAGTGCTCATCCTCACAAAGTTTTATTCCGATCTGAGTTCTAATTAACTTAGAAGGCTAATTAGACTGTGCAGCGTATCTCTAAGAAATCACAAACGTTTCACCCCGAAGTTTAGGCCACTCAGCACGCTAAATCCAATAGCGCTGTGACGTAACTAAACAGCACCAGCATGAAAAGTGTAAATTCATTGTATTCTCGTATCTGCCACGTGGCCACTATTACGTGCGTTGTATGAAATACAATAACGTAAGTTTTACAAAGAGACATGTATCTTGGGAACTGAATATCTTAAAAACTAAGCAACTCAGAAGCAAACAGATTGCATACGATGAAGTTTAAACTCAAATTTTTTAACTGAAACAAAACTGATTGAATTCTTACACTGGAAGAATAAGGAATGAGCCTACCGAAATATGACCACCTTTAATTAATTTTTTTTTCTCAAAACACCAAAAATTGCGATACAACGGTTCATGGTGCAACTGATGAATTAGTCAATGTGCACTGCGTCCTGAAGTCCCCGAAATGTTCATGTTTTGGATTGTTTACTATCCTATTTCCAACATCTGGTTGGAAGGAAACCAACCTAATGTCTTGTCGTTCCTGAGAAAGGATGAAAAAACCTGGTTGTTTACATTGGACACGACGAGGAACACATACATTTCTCCTGTCGTTTTCAGTTAATCTACAATACACGTTGTGTTACATAAATTACACACAGCACCAATGCACAAATATGGTTTCTTACACATCTGCAAAAGGCGAACGCTTTATGGCTGGAATCACAACTAGCATGAACAGCCTGACTTTTGGGGGTCACAAAAATGGACCCGAAAGTCGTTCTCGCACGCATAACACAAGAATAACACAAAAACGCCCAGTTTTTAAAGGATAGATGTGTGGATGTTTATATCCTACTTTTAAATGTTCTTTCAAGCAGGACAAGCAGGAAGGATCAATTTCCTCCAGTAAAGAAAGTAAAGAATCTCACCTTCTCTCTCTGATTGCTCACTGGGAGTCTGCACCTCCGCCAGGCTCTCCTCGTCAGGCTGCAAGGCTTCCGTGACTGCCTCTGTGACGGGTTCAGTCACCGGTTCCGCCACCTGTTCTACCACAGGCTCAACGACAGGTGCAATTCTGGGTTCTGCCCTCACCTCCTGTACATTATCAGCGCGAACAACCTCCTGCTGTTGCATGGGTTCTAGCCTCTCCTCCTGTGCCCCATCCATTCTGGTATCTGGCACCTGGTGCTGGTAGTGGGGTACGGACGTGTGAGGGGCTTGTTGGGTTGGGGTGACTGCCTGGATTGGTGTGGTTGAAGCTATGGAAATGACGATAGGTGTCTCTACAGAGAGGGGTTCTTGAACTGCTGTACAGGCAAATAAATCAGAGCAAAATATGAACAATACTGTAAATGTAATTATTTTGAAATTACAGCAGCTCTTACATAAGCTTATTAAGCATGGATTCTCATTATAAACATTGCAAAAAAAGAAACTCCACACTCATTGGAGGGGTCATAATTTTGAATCTGATCGTCTTATGATGATGTCATTTGTGTAGACCTTTGGGGAATGTTGTTGGCTACATTTTGATACCCCGTTTGCTAGCAAAGACTGTAAATCATCCAAGATTGACAACGGTTTATGAAAAATGATGCAGTTTGAAAAGTTGCAAATTTAAAGATTACGCGTGCCCATAATTGGCCCCTATCGACTGCACAGTGCCCAAACAAAGCGCGTTAATTCAATTCGCATGCTCCCATGCATACAAGCACTATGCGATCGCTATACCCTGCCGTTTATTTCGGATAGTGTAACATATTCACGCGGCAATTTCCACTCGAGTACTCCTTAACTTCGCAACTTTTCAAACTGCATCATTTTTCATAAACCGTTGTCAATGTTGGACAATAGTCTTTGGTAGCAAATGGGTATCAAAATGTAGCTGACAACATTCTCCAAACGTCTATATAAATGACATTATTATAAGATGATCAGATTTAAAATTATGACCCCTCCAATGAGTGTGGACTTTGTTTTTTGCGGTGTTTATAAGCTCCGCATTAGTAAGTTTTACCGAGTAAAAACAAAACGTATTCTGGACTGTCTTACCTTGTTGCCTGTCAGTCTCCATGACAACGGTACTAGCCTCGCTCTGGGTCTGAGGCATGACTGTTGCCATGGGTGTTGCCGAGGCGCTAGACAGAGCACTAGTTACCGGGGTAACAGGGATGGGACGGACGCTGGCAGTCACCCGCAGACTGGAGGGGACGGAGGTCTTGGTGACTGGCTGGGCTGGGGAGGAGATGGGTTTAATGTTGGCTGTGGGTGGCGGCTCTTCACTTCTGGTACTATGGGCAAAAAAGTCAATGCTGTGTTAATAACAAGGTCTGATCAGGGACCATTTTGGTCGACTAGCTGTTACTGTGTGACGTAACTTATGCCTACTCCCTAATGGTAATGAACAAATGTCTTTAGCAAATCAATGGTCAAAACACCATATGTGTCATGGCCTAGCGGTTAAGAGCACCGGACTCATGCTCTGGTGTTTCATAGGCAACAGTGACGTGGGTTCGAGCCCGCCGGCGGACACTTGTGCCCTTAAGCAAGGCACTTAACCATTATTGCTTCGTCCTTCGGATGGGACGTAAAGCCGTAGGTCCCATGTGTTGTGTAATCCAATGCACGTAAAAGAACCCAGTGACACTTCGCTAAGAAAAGGGGTTTGCCCCGGTGTTTCTGGCCTCCTGCATAAACTCCCACGCAGAGTATTTAATAAAAGGACCAACCAACAACCAACCAAGAACATCATCATGAAATGCCTGGTCTTGTCTCCCTGCTGTGAATTATAATGTACGTGGCTATTGGTAATCAGCGATACGACTGACCATTGAAGTCAATGTACAAAATGACTCATTTTAAGTACATAAATGGCACTTTTATAACTGCTTTGCCTCTGCTGTATAATGTAACGACAAGGAAAGGGGAGTTGTACCTGGGTCGTTCGGCTCCCATTGGCTGCTGAGGAGCCAGATGCTTGATCTGTAGCTGCTTCTGCTGCTCCTCAACCTGTCGCTCTAACTCCTGGACCTACCAAAGTAAACGATTAAATAGTTGACAACGTTGGACAAAGAAAGAGAATGTCAAGCTATACTATTATATGAGACAAAAGTAGTAATCCATCGGTCAGGTAACAGGACAAAAAAGGATAAATAATCACAAAGGAATGCCCTTGTTACACACAAGAAGCAAAGAATTGGGGGAGAGCATTTTATTATGTGACAACATTTTTTAATTCACCATGCAGCAAAATTGTCCAGTCATTTTGCTCTTGTGGTGTATTTGTTGCAGTGAAAATATATAATGAGGAACTATCTTGTTGGAACTACAGGGTGGCGCAAAAAGAAGGAAACCCACTTTTGACAGGAAGTTTAACCTACTTGCTTAACTTATTTGAGCTTTAAAGATCAATATTTTAATACCATTAAATTATTTTTTTTTTAAATATGCTCAACAAGTAGGTGAAATTGCTGTCAAAAGTGGGTTTCCTTCTTTTTGCACCACCCTATATAGGCTCTGTTGTAGGTGCTGCTATTGGTTGACCATAATTTTAAAACAGAGAATATCATGTATCAGTTTAAAAAAAAGAAAATAAAGACTGAAGAAAAAACTAGTTACCTTGGTTTGGAGCTCAGTCTTTTGCCGCTGCTGTTTCTGTTGTTCCTCTAATTGGATTGTTTGAAGCTTCTCCTGCAAGTGTTTCAAACAACCATGATTGGGTCAACGTTTCATTATGGCTCATCTAACAGGTGAATTCTAACAGGTGAATTTGAACAACAGGTGATCCAAATTAATTGATTGCTTGAATGAAATGATGTCATCCATTACTTAAAGGGGTACAATTAAGGTATCAGTCAGTCAGAAGCAACTACACCGGCAGTGTTCAAAATCATCGTTTCAAGTGACTAATTCATAATTTGGGATTACCAATTCTGTTTAGATCATCCTCTCCAACAATGTAAAAGAGGAACATGTTTGACATTCTAAACGGACCTGGTTTTCTTTGGATTGTTTCAGGTCTTTCTCCAGTTGTTCCACTTTCTCCTGGAGTTGTTTCTTCTCAGCTTCCATCTGTGCCTCACTCTGTGTCTGTAAGGACTTGATGGCCGACAGCTCCCCCTTCATCTCATCCACGGTGGACTGCAGTTTGGTCTTCTCCTCATTCGCCTTGTTGCGCTCCGCTGAGGAACCACAACCAAACACATTCCAAACTCAGTAATTTCAGTGCATTATCTAATTTCTCTCTACAAGTAACAAAAAGACTACAAATTTCAGAACATAATTTGATTTTTGAGCTTGAAAGTTTGTTTCCAGTCTCGTTATTATATCAAGTAAATCCTTTTTGGGACTTGAGTTTCAGAGCTCGTATCAGGAGCTTGCGACACCATAACGGTGTCCTTATCAACTGGTGTTGTTAAATTTTCGACAGCAACCAAGACTACGCTTGCCTAGATCATCCAAAGATACAGGTCTTACATAAATTACCAAATAAACCAGAAATAGAAGATGACTGCGTTCATTTTGCCAATTCAATAGTATAATAATTCAAATTGATTAGTATAACAAGTCAACTACACTTAAGGATATACAGATTCTCGGCTTCGTCTCCGTCTTCAGCTTTTGGATCTAACTTTATAACTTTAGTCACCTGATCTGACAGACTTTAGGACAATATTGGTTCATTTTCAGTTACAGAGACTCTACCACACCTGGCAGTTCAAATGTAGCAGGATTCATATGAATCTCAGGATGGAAATGAAGACAAAGAGGGAGACAAAGCTTCAGTTTCACAACCCCCCCCCCCCCCCCCCCCCGAGTCTGAGAAACTTGACTTACTGTTGAATTGGGCTAGTTTCTGCCTCACCAGTTTCTTGGATTTCTCTTCACGCTCATCTCTTTCACTTAGTTGAGTCTGTTCATGGGGACAACAAACAACACATCTGATAAGCTGTAATGTGGACACTGGAAATATTGCTTTAATGCAGAGAGTTGAATTTGAGTCAATCACAAGTCAAGTCAGAGTTTCATCACAAATAATGGGATGAACAAAGAGAGATACCCTGGCCTTAGCTCATTATGACTAGCTTGTAACTTACTTGACACTGGATCACTTGTAACAACTTGATTACACTTTTTTTTGAAGGTTCTGTTCTGATCATCTGTTCCATAAAATGTTTAAAAAAATTACTCAAAATGGATTAAAAATGAGACACAACTTTACCTTTGTCTTCTCTTCTGCCTCTTTCAACGATTTGTTTTCCTGTTAAAAAAAAACATCCATAATATCTCAGAATATGAAATATTTCTGCGGTTAATACACAAACGTCAATGATTGCTGAAGACTCTCTTAAAATTATGTTTCTGCCAAGTAAAAAATTAATACTAATTATGAGTCTAAGTGCGTGAGACACAAGAAGAAGCACCGTTATGGAATTCTTGGTTTCATTCCAGGATTACAATACTTGACTGACCTCTGTTAGTTTGGCCATGGCTTCTTCTAACTCTTTGATCTTGATATCTCTTTCTGCGTTGGGCGCGCCTTGTTGTTCCTTCTCTGCGTCCACTTTGGCCTGCAGATCCTCAAACTGGGACTTGTAGCGACGACCGATCTTCTTAACCTGGGGATAAAGCAACATTGATGTCCATCACACTCCAGCATGCCTTGTATTCAAGATTGTGTCCACATTGTGATGTGTACTGTGTTCTTTTTTTCTTGATGTTTGTAGTTCTGTGTCCAATCGTTTGGCAGCATATTTTATTTGCTTCTTTGTGTTACCAGCGTCAGCATCACCTACAAGTCCTAATATTTCATCTTCTGTTAGAACAAACGGTGTTTCAGTCTCGCGTAACGTCTGCATTTTGGAAAATAGATTCTGCACCAAGATTATCACGATATGCAATGTATCCTAACACCTGTAGCGTCTGTAAGAATATCACCAGTGCTTGAGTGCATACCTGTTGTATTGTATTCTTCTTGTCGTTAATATCATTCTCCTTGGCCGTGTTATCCATTTTCAATGTGTTGATCTCCTCACTAAATCATTTCAAGGAGACAAAATAAAACAAATTTAAATTTTCATCCATTTAGCAGGTTATCAGAAACAAACAAAAAACTCCTTAACTTCCAATTGGAAATTGACTAAACAAGAAAGTGTAAAGATCTGATGTTTCAAGCCCAAAGAAAGATCTTGTCAAACAAAATGTGGGATGACTTATAATTCTGCTAATATGTCACTTTAAAAAACAAACAAAATTGGGCTTGCCTAATGGAGGTGGAGCAGACATTCTAACTTTTGGACATTACTTATACTCAGTGGCTCAGTCAGTCAGGTAGCGACTCAGTCAATCAGTCAATGAATGTCAGTGACTCAATCGGTCAGTGGGGGAATCAGTCCGTCAGTCAGTGGGGGGGGGGGGGGGGGGGAGGGGGGGGGAGCCAGCCAGTGACTCGGGGAGTCAGCCAGTGACTCAGTGGGGGAGTCGGGGAGTCAGTCAGTCAAAGACTCAGTCGCTCAGCTGGCCCTTCAGATCCACAAAAATATCTAAAATAAAAGAGGACTTCATATATTTACTGACATTTCCTCAATAAGTTTAAATGGTTAATACTTACTTCAGTTTGCTTTGCTCTAACTTCAGTTCAGACCTGAAAAAGTAAAATCACAAACAGTCAGAATGGTACTAGCATAGAGAAAGAATTTCTCTTCAAATGGTAAAAAGTCCTATCACATCTACTGAAATTAAAGTACGCCCTTCACTTTAACATCATTCATGTTCCACACATTTGGAGCCACCTTTTAACCTTAACTAACTATCTATTTCCCACACCATAGATTGTGTAGTGAAACAAAATGTAGAAGGATTGGGGCAAAACTTACTGCATACTGGCAAAGTCAGTGGTCATCTTGCTGATCTCATTCCTGGGGGGAAACAACACAAGTATATAATTTAGCCATTTAAAGGGTGATTAACTACTAACGAAACATACACTCCCAACTTTTGAGTACACAATATTCACAGTTAAAATACAAATCCGTTTTAATAACTGAGGGAACATTCATTTCCAAATATGATCACAAATTTAGATGTAGGAGACTTTTTAAGAAATAATAATAACAATTTTGGGGTTAATCATCCTTATTCGAAGCTGAGAAGCTGAATTGCAAAAGAAGTGGCTACGACGTGGTCTATCCGAAACATGTAAAGGCTCCTTAGGCAGCCGCCATACGACCCATGTGTGACCACGGAGCACAGCCAGGGATCAAAAGTGTTGATTTTTGCGAAGGGAGGAAAACTGGAGAGCCCCGAGAAAAAAACCCCTCATGGCACAGGAGATAAACAACAAACAACTCTACTCGCATATGGTCCGAGCCAGGAATCGAACCCAGGCCACATTGGTGAAAGGCGAGTGCTAAACGCTGCATGTGTGGGGTTTTTTTTTTAAAAATTTTAGCACGGGGCACATTTTCAAAGTAACATCATATCTTCATTTCCTTCAAGTAAATGCAATATTAAAAGGTTTCAAATCATTTGATACAACTGTCTAGAAGATTTACAATTTGACTCTTCAACTAGAAGAAAACTAGTAATTAATTTGTACAACAATCTACTTACTTTGCGGCTGAAAGCTGTGCATTTAGTCTTGAGAGCTCAGCTCTACACACACACAAATTAAAATAAACAAATATTTGAGAAATCCTGTTGAGTTTTAAAAATAGTATGTTGCTCACAATTTTTTGGACATTAGGATTCAAGTCAAAGAAAAAAAATTGTGAGCAAGTTTAGGATTTTGGACTAATTAATTTCAAATCGATTAAATTTTCTTAAGACACTGTGGTTGATTTTCAGCATCTATATAATGTAGCTATTTTTTTCTTCTTCAAATTATTTTTATATTAAGCACTTTCTTACTTGTGTCTGAGGTTTTCTTCCCGTAGGCTGCCTATAGTCTTCTTGTTTGCGTCTTTCTCAGCACTGAAAAATTCAGAAAAACAATTAAGGAAATTATCAACAATTTGCTGGAAGATAATGTATCTTGTTGAGGATAGATACTTATGCGATATAAATAAATAAGATTGTAATCTGTTTACATTAATCTCTTCTGCTCTTCTGGGTCGGCCCTGTTGCACTGCTCGATGAGATGATTGGTGCGTTGCTTCCATCGGGTGACTTCAATGGTCAGGCCAATCTTGTCGGTGTTCAGAGCGTCTCGTTTAGCCTCCAGATCTCGATTCTGATCTTGAAGCGGCTGGATGTCATTCTCCAACTGGCCAACCTGACAAACAAATCAAACATTCACTACAATCAGTTACCGATTTGGAGCACTGAGGTCAAAACGGATTATGTGTTCTTGGGCAAGACAGTTTACTGTAATTGTCTTCCTCCACTGAGGGTTATATATGTTACAGTGAGGGTAGAGAATCGAGGTACTGTAGCAAAATGGTGTCATGACCCGATGAATAGGAGTAATTGTGAAAAGTGAGGTTTGTAGTTTGCTACACAACCCACCTTTGCCTCTAGTTGTTGCACCTGTTGATCCAGCCTGTCTTTCTCTTCTCTCAGCATCCTGTTGCTGTCTGTCAGGGCATTCAGTGTCTCCACCTTCTTTAGGAGCTCCTGGTGCTTAGCTGTTGTCTGTGCCATCACCTGGATATGACAATATAAATTTTAAAGAGTGAATCAGTTGGTGGGATGGTAGCTTGGTGTAGGTTGGGTCCAGTTGGGTCGGGTCCTGGTCTGAGTTGGGGTCTGGGATGGGTTGGGTTGGGTTGGGTTGGGTTGGGTTGGGGCAAGTCGAGGTCGGGTTGGGTCAGGATTGGGTTGGGTTGAGTTGAGTTGATTTGGGTTGGGGTTGTGTTGGGTTGGGTCAGGGTGGGGTCGAGTTGAGTCAGGGTTGGGTCAGGGTTGAGTCGAGCTGGGTCCGGGTTGGGTCGAGCTGGGTCAGGGTAGGGTTGATTCAGGTCAGGGTTGGGTTGGGTCAGGTTAGGTCGAGTTGGGTCAGGTTGGGTTATACGCAGGTCAAGTTGGGTCCAGTCGGGTTGGGCTGGGTCAGGTAGGGTCAAGTCAGGTCTGGTCCGTGTAAGGTGAGGGTTGGTTCACATCTGGGTCAGGTCAGGGTAGGGTCGGGTCAGGTGGGGTTGAGGTTGTGTCAGGGTTGAGGTCGGATCAGGTTGGGTCATTCAGGTCAGGTCAGATTGGGTCAGGTCATTCAGAGGACAATAATCTGGCCCTTCAGTTGCAGAAAAGACACATCTTCAAGACGGCCTAGTTTGTCTACGTACCTGAGTCCTCTCCCTCTCTCCAGTCAAGTTACGATGGGCCTCTTCATACTGTCGCTCAAGATGCTCGCATCTCTGCTTGAGACGAAGGGTTTCTGACTGAGCCAGCTCTGAACGGGTCTCGGCAATCTCCTTCTCACGACGCAAGAATCTGTCAAACAAAACTTAGTTATATGTTATTGCTGTATACTAGTACTGTACTACCAAGTCAAAAAATTCAACTATGTGCACCAAGTCCGTTATATGCTCCTAACATCTCTACAAAGACATGAGTAGACTAGACAAGCGTCACATGTTCTACAGGCAGAAATACCAGCCTTACTTGATAACTTCTAGTAGTTGTTCTGATGATTTGTTCTCGTCGGGTACACGCACGTTGCCATCGACAGAATCCCTCCGCTGGGGACTTCTCATCATACGACCGCTCAACTAAAAAAAAAAAAAACCAACAATTTTAAATAAAATGCAACATGATGACCATAATAAAACAAAACATTTTGACCTGAATTTGTGATCAATCAATAACGCACATTACTATTGGGAAAAGATAAAAATCTAAGTGTGTGACGAAACATGTTTCTCTATTCTGCCAGTTGAACATGAATTAAATTTTTATTAAACCTTCTACTACTTAAGAGGTCACCATTGGTCAAAAGTTTCTTCCTCACCTCCTGGCCTACTGTGTACAAACCAATGGGGGTCTTGACCAATATTGACCGAAGTAATAACCAGGCTGACAATGCATGTTTCCATAGCAGGGTTAATGCAGGCAATAAAGTTGAAAATGAAATTTTGACCTAAACTTTTGGTGATACGATCCTGCACACACATACTGAAATTTGTATTTTTGTGGAGACATTTCTTTGTTCTCGTGTACTTAAGTTTTTGAGTTTGAAAGTGAAGTTTCAAAATGCTCTTATTTTAACCATAATTAATTTCCTTAGTTGAAATTCGGACTTAATATCCCTTTCCTAAAACTCTTCCATTTGCGACAGATCAACCCACCTTGGAAATTCCTAGTTTTTGAGTAAAATCCATATATCAATTTCGTGAAAACCTTGTGGAGTCGTATTCATCTATATAAATTGCCCTGTAGAGACGTTTACATTTTTTTGTTCCCTATTGTGTGCACGTCTCCAGAGGGCACGGTGTATCAGATCATTACTACTGGGTAAAGATAAACACATGAGTCTGTGACTAAACTAGTTGGTAATAAAAACTGATCATGGCCTACCTCTTCCAGTTGCTGGTGTAGCAGCATGTTTTGATGGTTGAGTTCCTGGCAGGTTGTTACTCGTTGTTGCAGCTCGTTGGCCTGGATGCGTGACTGCTCCTCCCATCCGACCTGAATAGACAAACACACACAAGCCTCTTTGTAAACACCAGCAATTGTGGACCCCTATTGTCCCTATTCCTCATTCCTTTGTTTGTACTCTTGCAACAGCTCTCATTGGTTTTGTACACGACTTTCAATCGTGGACTATCGGTCAATCGTGGATGTACTGTTTGTGCCCTAACCATTTAGTCCCTAGTCCACGATGCCGGCGTTTACATACTCACCCGTTTGTTTATGGTGTAAATCGAGGATTTTCTATTGTTTCTCTTATGTTTCCTTTATTTATACTCTAACATTTTTGCAACAGCTGTCATTGGTTTTGTACACATTTTCGAATCGAGGTCGTCCTCGATTTGGTTCCTGTCCTCCATTCATCAATGATGTTGCACCTGTGTGTCCTCGATTTGCACCATAAACAAGGGCACAAAGGGAGAGAGAACGGATGTCAGTATCCACTTGTCTTGTCTAATTTTTTGTTTATAACCACTTAACAAAATATTTGATAAAGAAAGGTGCAGTGTATCATTCTTGGAGATCAAGGCTTTTATTCTGAAGCAGGATACTGCTTGCCAACATAACACAGTCAAGCAGAAGATGAATTTCATGTCTGGACATTGAAACTTTCGTCGGTATTTTCATGCTGTTCATTTTCCATTTATTGTTATTATTTCTCACGTCGGAACACAAACAGACACAAAATACAATACAAACATTTTGGGTAACAGGCCCGTGTAACAAAGACTATAAAAACAAACAAACAAACAAACAAGCAAGCAATATTGATAACACCCCTGAAGGATTGCTATCTGTTGGCTGTCCTAAAATGCTGTCAAGTACAAAGAAAAACAATTAACGTGCATGTATAGAATACCCAGTCCCATCGAATATATTGCTATAAGCAAAAAAACAAAACAAACAAACAATTAGATCAAGACAATTCAAGACTGGGATATCAAATCTACGATACAAACACTTGGCAACAGCAATTAACCTATTGCGGTAGAATCGCGTCAACGCGGCTTGTGAAATATTGTCCGATTACATGATATACAAATGGACACGGAACGCGCAAAATCTGAGACAAACAAAACTTAACATACAAAATTCTGTAGGGTTGTCTAAGGGGCATGGCTAACTCGCAAACGGCGATAGGTCAATTGACAATTAGAACAACAAAAACTAAATTTACACATTAAACATTTTACAAGGTGATTAAGTTTTACCACTAGTCCAAAGCTACAAGTATTAAATTGAAATATTGTTTCTTTTAACCCTCTTTCACACAAGGATTCAGTAAAAATATTCACAATTTTGTGTTGGGGGGGGGGGTTAATTAGGGGTAGGGACAGAGTTATGAATAATGCTTTTTTACCTTTGATGAGCTCAGTGTTTCTTCAGCCTTCCTAGCTGCTTCCTCTGCCTCTGCTAATCGCGTGTTGAGACCTTCCAACTGTGGATGCAAACAAAAACACAGCAGCATTTAGTTTTGCATAAAGATATTGAAACTTGAAGTAGTGACCTCCAGATTAACTCTACTCATTCTCCAATTTGTCAAGTTTTAGCTGCGGGAAAGCAGCTCTACAAGTACTCACTTATCTCTGTTGGTTGGTTGGGTGGGTGGTTAGTAACAAACTTCAACGAATGCCTTGTTTGGCAATCAATCACTCTGTCCCTTAGGCCCTCGCAACAACATGTGCTTCAGGTCTCCACTGACCAGCCACCAATTTATTGCAGTCGTGGAAAATTGGGTCACGAGGTCACACATTTCGCATTGGGGCTAGCACTGCACTGCACACAAATTGGGTGTTCCACATGTTATAAAACGCTCCATGCACCAACTGACATTCCACAAAATAATGGGAATCCTTTTCAATTGACAGTCACGACCACATGAGTAGTTGTGCATTATAAGAACAGACTTTTACATCATGTACATGACTTATAGGCTACAGCAGGTCTACAGTTAAGCCGTAGCTTCTGAGATCGTTTCAAGCTTGTTTGTTACATTACCTGATCTTTCACTGTCACCAGCTGCTGGACATCTGCTGCGTGAAGCAGAAACTCTCGCTCATACTTGTCCTGAGCCTAAGACGGAACAAATACAGCAGTACATTACCACTAACCACGGGCCTTATTCATGAGTAAGCCTTATTGGATTGAGAATGAGGTAAAATCTTCATTTTTGGAACTTGTGTAGAGAAATGAAAGCAACAAAGTTACAAATTAATACCAGTCTGCTCTGATGAATAATTGGAAATTTTGTGATTAAACATACCCTAATGTTTTAAGCCACATTTAAAAAAAAAAATGCAAGTGAGGCTATAGTGAATAAGTAGTCTGGCACCATCCCATTCAACAGTTCACAATTTATGATATACATTCAGGGAACATGACAAAAAAATGGCCAACTTGTACATAAGGCCCAGCAAGATGCAACACAGCGCAACACGTGAACAAGTCTGTGAGACGTTGTTGCATTAGGCCATCATCTTCAGTTCAATAACTGCTGATTAAGTAGTTAATGAAGGGAGATACAGATTCTTGAATTAAAGATTATTGCATTTGTGACCTGTTCTGTCAAAATCAGACTTTTCTGGGCATAAGGTCAAAAATGAGATTTTTGCATATTGTTAAAATACGTTCTGTTTCCTTTTAATAGGTGGTTTAATTTTTGAAACCGGTCATTCCTGGGCAGAGCTATGCTATTTTGAAGTTCATTGGGTCGAAAAGTAGAAAACAGAGAAAATGGACACGAACGTCACAAAACAGACATTTCTTTAACTGATATACCTTATCAAATCATCAAAAATACTATAATTAGAGATCAAATTAGGGTTTCAAACTTTTATAGTATATTTTAGACATGCTCAGGATTACAAATATGCAAAAATTAGAAAATGGGGAAAAAAATCACCCCCACAGCGTTTTTTTGGCCCTATCTCAATTTCAACCTCTGCCCAGAAGCGTCTGCTTTTGACAGAACAGGTCACATTATTTTGTCCTTAAATTTCTGAGGAACGGACTGAACAAGAAACAAATTGTCTCACCTCCTTGGCCAGTTTGGCCTGCACCTGATTGTCTTGTCTGGCCGTGGCCTCGTTAGTCTCTGCTTCAGACTTCCGCTGGACTGCCAAGGTCAGCTCCTCTTGAACATGAAGGAGATTGCGACGCAGTTCACTGGTCTGTCAAGAGAGGACAAAAGTTACAGTCTTGTTGTTGAGACTATCACAAGTCTAGACACAAGTAAATCAGAAGTCCATTCGTAACTCTGGTCGCAAGCAGCAGGGAATGAACAATAAGAAAAGGAATGTCTTTGTCACAAATATTTGAATACCATGTTACTTGATGACTTATTATGAATTTGATTAGATGACTTGTGATGACTTTGACAGACTTGTGATTGTCTTGACTTCAACAATGCTTGGCTGCATCTCTAAATTCCCCATTTTACAGCTCAGATAAGTGTTACTTTAATTTCCTGCAGAAAGTTTCTTAGCTGTTTGCTTGGTTCTTCTTTTTACCTGAGACGCAACAGCCTCGCTCAGTTCCTCTTTCTCGCTGCGCATTTCGTCTCGCTCTTTCACCAACTCAATGACTTGCTTCTCAAGTTGCTCTCGAGCTGCCATGAGACAAAAGAGAAAAAAGAAAAGTAGCACATTTAAGCAAGAAACACAAATTAATTAACATTATCAATGTTGCTACATTTACTTTGATTCAATGTTCCCTTATGCTTGGTTATTTTTTCTCAATTGAAGATTTCTGAAACCCCAAAAATATCAAAACTAAATTCAAAGTAATTTTATCCAGTAATTTATGAATGGGATTTTGATATCCAGTTTGATGTTTAATGTTCATAAAAATGAAGACCCATTACGTACAGTCAGGTCACTTTTTTTTTTTACAGAAAATTTGTATAAGTTTGAATGCCTGGCATCCATACCTTGTGTTGTCTCCTCCATACGTTTCTCCATGTTATCCTTGTATGTCTGAGCAGCCAGGCTCTGTTCCTTCAGGCTAGTCTCAATGGCAGCGCTGATGGACTTGTATTGCTCTAGATGCTTCTTAGACTTCTCAATCTGGTCCTTCAGAACTAAAACATGAGATAAAAATATATCAATAACCCCATAGAATCACCTGCACCCAATGTGGCCAAGAAGAGACGATTTGCTGACAGATTCAACGGCACATCCAAAACATCAGGCTACCTACTGCGGTAGCGCAACATTCTCTATTTAAGCCCCACCATTGATGACATGAGTGACTGCATCCTGGATGCCAAGTGGGCCGAGCATATCATCTTCCAGCTCGGTACGCTGTCTCCTCGTGGTATCACATGGAATTTACTGCATTCTATCCGCCTGATAGGGCAGTTGCTGCACAGCCCTGAAGGGCAGACTGTCCAAAAATGTGGCTCTTTTCATCAGTGTGCACTGTTGTATCTTTCTTATATTCAATAACCCCATAGATCCAGAATCATTTTGTAAACCACACCCCTAATACACAATCACATGGGTTCCATAGTCGAATGTGCATGCATATTTGCACCTTGCAAGAATCCGAGAATTTGTATAAAACTAGCAGCTGGAACATATTGTGATGGTCAAATGACCACTCAGAATTTAACTCTCATTCATGAATATGTACGACATATGGTAATATCAACTAACCTTTGACCTGATCCTCAGCCATTCGGAGCTTAGTCTTCAACTCTCGGACCTCTTCATCATTGCTAGACACAACAACAGTCTGCTGAGACTGAGACGCTAGAGCTGTGAACACATTAGAAAGGGAAATAGACAAATGAGGACTGCTACAAGTCTAACGTATATAAAATTGCAGAGCATTGATTTTCTCAAATCCAAAACAATCTGCTGTGACCAAGACGTTAGAGCTGTCAACACATGAGAAAAGGCAAATATACAAAATGGGGATTGCCACAACTTTAATGATTGCAAATTGCTGACATTTGAGTTTCCTCAATGTTACTGTGATCATAGAGTAGCACCCAGGCTGTGATACCTTCAAAGCAATAGTTTTTTTTTTTTTTTTAATTTGTGAAGCGCTTTAAGACATTTAGTGAAAAGCGCTATATAAGTGTCATTATTATTATTATTATTATTATAATTTTTTAATATGAATTTATGAAAACCTTACCTTCATTTTTGTCCTTAAGAGCACTCTCATACTTGATCTGAGCTGATACCAGCTGAGCCTCCACAGACGAACACTGAAAGAAAAAAGTTTAAGTCCTCATAAATATTCATGATCATACATATTCATGACTCAGCTCTGCTTTGAATTCAGCTGACCAAAAAAGTAACCTCTCTAACCCATAGCTCTAGCGAAACGAAATACAGTCGAGTCTCGTTAATACAAACTCGTTCGATCAGAATTTTGTATTAAGAGGAACATCAGTCCCATTCATTGTGCACATACATGCACAGTCAGGACCAAGGCTTTATGTTTGTTATAACCAGAATTTTGTATGAACAGGGTTTGTACTAACGAGACTCGACTGTAGCCCATCCCCAATCCCAATCAGAGCACAATAGTCTGGCCCCTCAGGTCCAGCCAGAGGTTCCACAATGGGTGAGTCTAGGTACCTGTTCCTTCATGTTCTGAAGGTCAGCCTTGGTCTTGTTCAGGCTTTCTCTGGTCTTCTGATGATTATCCAGCTCGTGGTTCAACTGCCGTTGGAGGCTCTGCACCCGACCCTAACAAAAAAAATAAATAAAACACAGGACATGCATTGCTGTTTTGTCAATCAGGTCAACCTATGCTAAATAGTAAATCTAGCCGTCAAAATACTAATGACTAGTAAGGGATCAGATGGAACTTTCTTACCAAACTGAGGTGGAATTCTATTGTGAGAGAGACAATGAGGTCTGAAGTTGGCTAGATCGCCTTGGGTAAGATCGAAGGGGTTATGAAATAGTTCACTATACACCCTTTGTTTGAGATGCAAAATTGTTCCTGACAAAGGAATCCACTACGTTACCTCCCATGTCTTGAGTACCACACGATGCTGGTCATTTTCTCCTTCTAGTCTTCGTCTCAACTGATTCAACTCACGCTCCATCGCTTCCATCTGATTGGACAATCGGGCCTTGCTTTCAAACTCTGACCTCTCCAAGTTATTCTATGATGAAGACAAGAAAAAACACCTTAAGATGTAACAGAAAACAGCACTTGAAATTTTGAGTCCTCAAGTTCTCCGCACCATGCATGGTAACAACTGAAGAGCCTTGCTCTCCACTTTGCTAAACTTTTGAGTCTGACTCAAGCTATCCAATGACAATGGCCTACTTGTAATTGACTTGTGATCTGACTTGCGAATGGACTTGTGAGTAACTTTGATAGACTTGTGACTGACTTGTGATGGCTAGTGATTGACTTGCGACTGACTTGTGATTGACTTGTGACTGACTTGTGATGGCTAGTGATTGACTTGTGATGGACTTGTGATGACTTGTGATTGACTTGTGATTGACTTGTGATCTGACTTGTGAGAGACTTGTGATGGACTTGTGATGACTTGTGACTGACTTGTGATCTGACTTGCGATGGACTTGTGATGGACTTGTGACTGACTTGTGATCTGACTTGTGATGAACTAGTGATGGACTTGTGACTGACTTGTAATCTGACTTGTGATGGACTAGTGATGGACTTGTGACAGACTTGTGTTCTGACTTATGATGGCTTTGTGATGGACTTGCGATGGACTTGTGATGGACTTGTGATGGACTTGTGATGGACTTGTGTTCTGACTTATGATGGCTTGTGATCTGACTTGCAATGAAACTGTGACTGACTTGTGACTGACTTGTGATTGACTTGTGACTGACTTGTGACTGACTTGTGATTGACTTGTGATTGACTTGCTATGGACTTGCGATTGACTTGTGACTGACTTGTGACGGACTTGTGATGGACTTGTGATTGACTTGTGATGGACTTGTGATGGACTTGTGATTGACTTGTGACCGACTTGTGACTGACTTGTGACTGACTTGACTACCACTCTACCCACCTGTATGGTTTCTAAGTTTGTCAGCAGCAAGGTCTGGCCGCGGTGCTCTCTCTGCATGCTTTCCTTCTCCTGTGTTAGTCTGGCCTCCACTCCCTTCAGCAATTCCCGCTCAACCTTCAGATTGTCACAAGCAACTTCTGCTCTCGTTAGTTTCTCATTGGCAGCCATCAGGTCCTGATTGGTGAACAAATGCAAACAGTTTAGAATGGGTAACGATGCGCTGTGTTGTAGTAGAAGTGGTTGTGATGGACCACAAGTTACAACAAATTAATAAGACTAAATTGAGAGAACATTTCAGCACCAACCTGTGTGAGGGTGTTGATCCTCTGCTGATTTTTCACCATTTCAGCCGAGTATTTCTGGCTCTTGTCGCGATGAGACGCAATCTCCTTCTTGTAACCATCAACGTTGGACTGCAGGATTTTGTAGCGTTCACCGGCAAAGTCAAGCTGTGAAGGTTGTATTGAATGACACATGATTAGAACTACTGCCTCAATACGCATTTAAATGCACCATATTATGCTTTGTGGGATACCCTAAGTGCTATACTTGTCGGAAATGGAAGCAAAGTTTAAATAATGGGAAATATTTGTATAACAAAACAAAATAAACCCCAACTCTGAAGCACTTTTGCTGAGAATTTTACTGAATCCTCCAAAACATCCTCCAATGTGCAGGAAGAAGCAGAACATTTTTTTCTTCACTTTTTAACTTTCAAGGGACAGGGCTCTACCATCCTCCAAATTCTCACAGGGGACTTTTAAGGACATGAGAGAGTAAAGGTTAAGGGGCTGTACAGTTTGACCTTTGACATGGGTCATTACCTGTGAGGTCAGCTGGGCGTTCTGTACTCTGAAGTCGGAGACATCTTTTCTCATTGTCTCAAGCTGCTCGTTCAAAAGCCTGTCAATTATTCCGAGAAAATAATCTTACTTTCACTAGCTCAAAAGGAATATACTACGTCACAATCTCAACACTTAGAAGTCTATGGGAAATGCTTCAGTCCCTGAGTTGCATGTAACAACAAATACTTTTTGGACTGAGAATGCACCGACAAAACATTTGTTTTGAAATATCTGGTTGCTTTTCCACACAGTATTTTCTGTATTTAGTTTAGACTGCCATGAGTGAAAGCCAGTGCAATATTTTACCTGCACGGCTGCAATTCAGATTTGATAATTCTGATAATTTTCGCATGCGTGCAAATTTAAGAGGATCATTGTACAAAAGGCTTGAATCTGAGGTAACTATGAAATCCTGAAAACTTTGGAACACATTGCATTTTACAGCAATTTCCACGGTCCAACGTATACATCTTTACGATTACAAAAACAATTCAAAACTGCACAACATATTATCATTCCTCTGTCAGATTTTTGTACATTTTATCTGCTGTATTTATGACAATGTACAAAATTGCAAATGTGCCACAGACATTATCATGTTGCGGCCATCTTAATTTTCCCATTCAAGTCAAAGTAACCAAAGCGAGGCTGGAAGGAAAAATAGTCTGGTTCCTTTTTGCACAAAAAACATTATCATTCAGTACTGTTAATGGATACAGGGAACATGACTGAAATGGTGGCATAATAACGGTCTGTTAAATCAATGAAGTGGCTTATTGTATTTACTTTTCATTTTGAGCCTTTTCCTTTCTGTAAGTCTCAAACTCCTCTTGTAGTGTCTTGAGTGCTTGCCTAGCCATATCCTTAGCCTCAGCGACTGGTGCACTGTCTGACTTGGTGATTGGTTGTGTGTCTGGGGTAGTCACAGCCGCGGGAGCAAGGGCAGGGGAGGCTAGAGGGCTGACAGACATTATCAACGACATCTAGACGCATGGAACAAAAACAAATCAGATATTCCATTAGCAATATATCTGAGAACCCGAAAGAAAAAAGTTAACACCACACCCACAGATTCTAACTATGGATTGGCCGAGAGTATGTGGCATTTGCTATTTTTACTACCTTGCCTGGCTAAAAACACTATATAACGGTGCCTTTGATTGCATAGGTGCACGCGTGCATTGTTTGCATTTTGGTTTGGGGTATCAGGTTTGATAATTCACCTTTTTGAATTACAAACTAATATGCAAGTAGCCACGCCAAATGTGGATCTTTCCATGGTTTTACGCACAAAAAAAATGAATGCGCCCAGCAGGCGTCACTACATACTTGTGATTCAGCTTTCTACTAACTTAACATAGCTCACTGGTCTCTGGACCCAATTACATGAGTTTTCTGCTAACAAGCCTCTGTCTAATTTGGGCGATACACAATGCAGTGCGCCACCAAGAGTTTGCCACGGAGAGTCCACTTTTCAAGTTTACGGTCGACAAAACATGGCCCATTTGAATGAGTGTCGGTAGACAACTTGAGCTAATATGTCAAAGATTGGTGCTTAGCGTTCTGCCGCCTTACAAAAAACACCATATTGATAACAAGAAAAGAAATGGGCAAACAGATCCTCGAATCATACGCTTCAACGAAACCACTGACCGGAAAAACTAACAATTTCAAATGTCCCACGCTGCGAATTTGTCGACCATCTCCCACAATGCACTGGGAAAAATGAACTCTCCGTGGCAAACTCTTGGTGGCACACTGCATTGTTAATCGCCCGAATTCACTGATGCCAGTAAGCACAGCAAAAGGCACGTTAACTTCAGAGGAAAAATTTGAGTTGTTAAGATAGCACACCCAAGCCATGAAAAAGGTAAAATTATTTTGTTCAGTTGTAGCCAGCTTTTCTGATAAGCAACCCCTGGTGACATATAAAGACTTGTCTGTCTTGACTGACCGGTGGAGGTGTGGTTCCACTCTGCTGTAGTAGGACTCTGTACATGTCTCTCTGTCTGACGATAGCCTCAACCATTTCTGTCTGCCTTGCTCTGGCTTCTCTCATCTCCTGGATGTCTTGTGAGGCGGCGTCCAGTTGCTGCTTCAGCCCTGCAGTCCTGTAACCGAGCAAGATTCAGTATGATCAGTTATCATTTATCAATTAGTGTGCTGTGTGTGTGTGTGTTAACGCATTAGAACCTGTGGTCAAATAGTGACTCATGTGCCATGGTACATGGGTTCGAATCCTGAAGGGGAACATGGTGCTTGTGTTTTTGGGCAAGACACTTGACTACAATTGCCTTTCTCTTCCCAGGAGTATAAATGGGTACCTGTGAGGGTAGAGACCAGAATGCGCTGATCTCGAGCTGCTGCAAAAACTGGTCTCATGGCCTGATGATCAGGGGTAATATTTGTGAAGCGCTTTGCAACCTCTGGTATAAAAAGCTATCCAGGGTGGTCCAAAAAAACCGGAACGACATACTTCCACTACCTTGAGACTCAAACCACCTGCACCAATGGATGGAGAATCCTTTTAGAAGAATTATACCAAAATATCCCGAATCGGTCCAGTAGTTTTGCTGTAGAGCCTATTCTGTGAAGGATACTTCTTAAGTGTGGGTTAATTAAATAACAATCCCTCCATCAAATACGATGTAATTAAAATCCCGGGCGCGGTTTAGTAATTCATCGGGACAAAAATGACCCCCACCTTGCTGCACAAAATAGGCTCTAGAACAAAAACTACTGGACCTAATCAGGCGATCTTGGTTTTATTTTTCTTCTAAATAGATTCTCCATGCATTGGTATATGTGGTTTGAGTCTCAGTGTAGTGGAAGTATGAGGTTTAATTTTTTGGAAACCCTGTATAAGGACCATATTATTGATATTATATCGCACTAATTCCCCAATGAAGCCATAAAACGATGTGCTTGGGCAGTTCTTGGCACCCGCAAGGCCAATAAATGGGCTAAATCCGGCATGTTGTGTAGATCAGATAATAGAATTTAGTGGACTCTAGGGACAGCCTTACTAGGCTTGCCGTGTCATGTTTACTAACAGAGTCAACTGTACCACTCAAATCCCTTCTCAAGAACAGACTTACTTGCTCTCAACGGTCAGTTGTTCTTCCTGTTCTTTCTTGTTGCTGAGTTCTCGTAGCGAGGCCAGGAGTTTCTCATTCTGCGCCTGCAACTCTTCTATGCTTCTGTAGGAATTGAGACACGTACGGAAGACTAGTCAGATTAGTCAAACTATCTGGGAATACGATTGATTCGGGACTTGCAAGAAATCTGTTTGGTCACGTATGTTTCTTGGTATCTCTTCAACTGCCGCAGCATTTCACATGACAAGCTTTCCACTCGCCATGGAGTCACATGTATCCATGTCAAGCCATGGAATCTTATCAGAAAATAATGGCAACTCGCACAGCATTCAAGCAAATGATCATGAGTGAGATATGCTTAGAATTTGTTTAAATAGCAGTGCCAAGGTTCCCGAAACTGGATGTAATCAAGTTCATAGCACCCTTTACCACCATGGCAAATTCGGGCGATTCACAATGCAGTGCGCCACCAAAAGTTTGCCACGGAGAGTCCATTTGTCAAGTTTATGGTCGACAAAACATGGCCTATTTGAACGAGTGTCAGTGAACAACTTGAGCTAATTTGTTATAGGTTGCATAGCATTCTGCCACCTTACAAAGAACACACCATATTTATAAAAAGAAAAGAAATGGCAAATAGATCGTCGAATCACACGCTTACAAAACTACTGACCGAAAAACTAACAATTTCAAATGTTCCGTGCTGCGACTTTGTCGACTATCTCCTACAACGTACTGAGAAAAATGAACTCTCTGTGGCACACTGCATTGTGAATCGCCCGAATTGACTGTGTTGATAGAGATCTGGACCAGCTGAATTGGGAACAAAATCCAAATCCAGTATTGAATCAAAACTGAGCCTTGGCCTTAGCCTTTGTCTTAGACTTTGTCTGAGTCTCTGTTTTAGCCTTTGTCTTAGCCTTAGCCTTACCTGAAGGAGACAAGGTGTTCACTGATGACATTGGAGGAACTGGAGACATCAGGGGAAGAGACGTTGGGCTCATGCCTGATGGGTCCTCCTTTGGCCTCATGGACCTCCTTCAGTAACACCCGAACCTACCGACACACAAGAAGTCACATATCACCAAAGGAAATGCATTTTGAATTTGTTTACCTAGTCTTTGCTATTTTCGACTTCCACCCAAAATCTGTTTATTTTTAAATAGCAATTTTTCAAGCGATACAAAAGTTTGTCACTTTTGAATGAGATATCAAACAGGAAAAATAAATCAGCCAACATTTAGTTATTGAATGATTACTTTACAAATTTCAACTTCCCAGAACATAAAATCTATCAAAGAATGGAGGGGCCCAAGTTTCTTGCCAAAGGAAATCTGTCACCATGAGGGATCTGCAAACCTACCTGTTGGCCTAGGTCTGTGCACTGTTGCTTGAGTCGAATGATCTCCCTGGCTGACATGCTTGCTCGACGCTCTGCCTCGTCAGCAGCTATACGCAACTGTTCACACTCCTATAGAGAGTCAAATTAATTTCAATGCATGAGGTACAATCTCAGTCATTCCAGTAATCTTCAATCACCATCTTCAAGACTTGTATCAGACTTCCAGGCATGCAACTAGAAATGTAGAAAAAATGAGGAAGGTCCAAACCACGCAAGACTTTGTACAGTATTTTTCAATTTGTAATGGCATTCATGAGAAGTAAAAAAATGAGGAAATCAGCGGATCTGAGGAAAAGTTGCATGCCTGGACTTCTCATGAAGTTTGCTACCCCTATCTGGGGTGGTACAGGAGTTACATCAGATTTCCAGGCAGGTTGGCGTAGCCAAGGGAGTCAGGTTGGCGTAGCGGTGCTTTCCTCGCCTTCCACCGCTGTGACCCGTGTTCGGATCAAGCCTGGGCCAATATGTGGATTGGGTTTTCAGTCCCTACCTGATTCCGTGGGTTTTTCCCAGAATATCTTCTGGGCTTTTCCTCCCACCTCTAAAACTAATTTCTTCTCATTGTCTTCTCTCTAAGTTGGTGTGATGTTTCCCCTGGGATGCTTTACCGACTATAATGATACAGATACAGATACATTGAAGCTGAGGCAGATAATAGGACAGGGCATTCGGTCTGCTTGAGACTAATGATCCTCTGAACATAGGAGGAAAGTTGCATCACTGTCTTCTGGAGACATTTCTTTAGGCAACCTTCTGTTGAACCGTCTAATATTTTACCCCAAACTTACGAGCTACAAGACTGCACACAAGTGGCCACGTGTACCGTGTTGTGATCCCTAAATCAAAACCAGCCTTCAGCTCAACTGAAGTTAGCTATGGTTCATCATCATTGAACCTGTGTTTTACAGATATACTTCAATAAATTCAGTCACTCCTTTTCCCCAATGTTCCGTAGGCATACTCACAACCAGGTTTGCATCCAGTCGTGCTGACAGCTGATTAGTTGTCTGCAATGCCTTCTCGTAGTCATCACGCTGTTTCTGCATAATGGGGGCTTTCTCTTCAATTTCCTACACAAGAATCAATCAATCAGCAATTATTCACATTAAAATTGACTAAAGTGTTGAGTTAAGCTACTTCAAGTTTGACTGCAAGACTGCAAGCCACATTTGCCTTCTTTATCATGCTGAAAACTTCTCATTTTTCTGAAGAGTGCTGTCTGTGGTTTGACAGAGTCTGATTCTTATTCTTCAAGATGTTTTACTCTTAGCAAAAAAACATCCGTGCTTACTGTAGCAGAAATTTCTGTACTTTACGGTTAGCAGATTTCATGGGTTAGCAAAGGATTTTGGCTTATGTGCATGAATACATCCTGAAATTAGAGATTCTGTGCTTACAGGGTTAGAACATAATTTGTGCACTTAGCGGCAATTTAAAATTGGTCCCTGCTTACCACTAGGATCTGATCAAGGTAGGAGTTGAGCCGTTGGTTCTCCGCCTTCTCCACTTCCAGTTCATCGGAGGACTTGACATATTCACTGTACATCTGTGTCATCAGAGAAACAACACACTCATAGTGATACGCTAGTCTGGTTTAAAGTTATCTAACCTGTGCTTAATAGGATTAAACGCAGGATGATTTATTAAAACAAATGGTTTTAATCAGTTATCGCCTGCAAGTCAGATTACATTGTATTGTTAACCTGGTTTGAATACCCGAGTCAGGGTAAATCCAGATTTTAGGAAGCTGCTGGCTGCTGCCTCATGTTTTGTTTCATAGTTAATGCTAACTAGTCTGGTTAAATATAACCTGGTTTGAATATTTGAGTCAGTGTTAATCCAGATTTTATGACATAGCTGGCTGCTGCCCCATATCTGGATTGATTCAGGTAATGCTAACTAGTCAGGTTACATAACCTGGTTTGAATACCTGGGTTACAGTTATTCCAGATTTCAGGAAGCTGCTGGCCACTCCGTCATATCTGGTTTTACTCAGTTAATGCTTACTAGTCAGGTTACATAACCTGGTTTGAGTACCTGAGTCAGGGTTAATCCAGATTTTAGGAAGCTGCTGGCTGCTTCCCCATATCTGGTTTTAATCAGGTACTGCTAACTTGTTAGGTTACATAACCTGGTTTGAATACCTGAGTCAGGTTTAATCCAGATTTTAGGAAGCAGTTGGCTGCTTCCCCATATCTGGTTTCAATCAGGTACTGCTAACTTGTCAGGTTACATAACCTGGTTTGAATACCTGAGTCAGGTTTAATCCAGATTTTAGGAAGCTGCTGGCTGCTGCCCCATATCTGGTTTTAATCAGGTACTGCTAACTAGTCAGGCTCATAACCTGGTTGAGTACCTGAGTCAGGGTTAATCCAGATTTCAGGAAACTGCTGGCTGCTTCCCCATATCTGGTTTTAATCAGGTACTGCTAACTAGTCAGGTTGCATAACCTGGTTTGAATACCTGAGTCAGGGTTAATCCAGATTTCAGGAAGCTGCTGGCTGCTGCCCCATATCTGGTTTTAATCAGGTAATGCTAGCTAGTCAGGTTGCATAACCTGGTTTGAATACCTGAGTCTGTGTTAATCCCAATTTTAGGAAGCTGTTGGCTGCTGCCCCATATCTGGTTTTAATCAGGTAATGCTTACTAGTCAGGTTACATAACCTGGTTTGAATACCTGAGTCAGGGTTAATCCAGATTTCAGGAAGCTACTGGCGGCTGCTGCAGTCGGTGAGAGGCTGTTCAATTCCTCATCAGACATCTTCATCACTACTCCCTTCTTCCTGGCAGCATTCAAGAGATCATTGGCATCCTCCAACTCCTTCTCCATCTTAGCCATCTTCTCATCTTCAGAAGATCACAAAAGAGAAACAGAAGTTGGGAGAGGCATGCAGCATTGATCTTGGACCACCAGCATATCAAAATCATCAAATATAACCAATTGTATACAATACATCGCACAGACTCAATAAATAAATGCAGATCATTGCAAACATGCAGATTGCATGAATACAAGGTCTCATGTTTAAAATTTGGATTCCGTTTAAAGATATGTCAAAAAATTGGTGAACAGATTCTGAATTTTTTTTTCATTTGAAATTTAAACATGTAAATGTCACATCCTTTATTGCAAACAGGCAGATGGCATGAAACACAGGCATATTTTCAAAACGTTTGTAGAAATTTGCGAACACTTTTACAATTTATGCATTTGAACTTTAAATGTTTAAATGTTAGGGAATTGTGGGCTACAGTTAGGGCTCGTGACTCATGATCAGAGGGTCAGGGGTTCAAATCCAGCTGCTGGCCATATGTTGTGTCCTTGGGCAAGCCACTTCACCCCACTCGCCTCTCTCCACCCAGGAGTATAAATGGGTACCGGCATTAGCTGGGAGTAACCTGCGATGGACTGGCATCCCATCCAGGGGGAGTAGAAATATTCTCAGTCATTTCATGCTACTGAAACTGGAGATAAACGCCGGCCTGATGGGCCATATTGGCTCGGGACAGACTTGACTTTTAAACACCTACTTAGTTCAGTCTCCTTGGCTGAATACCCGGTCTCCATCTCCTGTAGCTGTGTCTTGAGCTCACCCTGGGAGGTACTGGCCTGGCCAAGTAACTTCTGCAGTTCCTCCACAGCGGTGATCAGTTCCCGCACCTTCCCCTGGGCTTCCTCAGCGCTTTTCTGCAGGATTCAAATCATTTTCCAAAAAGGATCATTTACATTTATCCCAAAAGTAAAACACCAAATTATTGTCCAAAACTTTCTTGAATTCAAGATTGTCCTGGTATTAAGCACCCAGTGAAGGTACTCTGTCTGGCTTGCTGTCATTTTGAAGAAATCAACAAATGTAGGTGATTCCAATGATCACTCAATTGACTGATTTTTTTAAATAAAGAGTGTTGACAAAAACGTGGTTCGTGATCAAATGTTGTGCATGGTTTTTCAGTTTTCTCAAAAAGTGTAATATCCACTGAGCTGAAACTTTAACAGGTTAGGTTTTGAATATTCTTCTTTGAATTTTGAGTGGTGTTATTATTGGAAACAAACAAAATGCATGTAAAGCAAATGATCCTATATGCATTTAACCCTTCTGCTGTATGAACAGTCACAGACAGTCAAAGATTTTGGTCTAGTCACCAACAGTCATATCCATTTTATGCAAGCACTGTAACTAGTCAAATTCAATCAACATACGAAAGTAGGTAACTGGTATGTACAGCTGGCTTATCAATCACATAGTCAAGGCAAAGCTGTATCAAGTTACATTAACAGTCACAGCCAGTCAATCCTATATAAGCACAGGATTTCTTTCTGCTAAAGACAAAATACTTGATTGAGTTTGACGCCCGAGATGGCTGTGTCTAACTTGTCAATTTGATCAAAAATCCATTGCTTAGGTTGAGTGTTTTATTTGTTATCATACAACCTACCTCATAGAGACTTGTCAGCTTGCCTTGGGCTTGGAGTTCTCCGTGGAACTGCTCTTCACTCTTAGCATACGCTTCGTTATTCTAAGCAGGAAGATCAAGAACTACAGTTTAAGAAATCTATATAATTTTATCCACTTATGGAAATTTCATTACATTAAGTTTCGACATACTTACATGGAACTTTAACTTTTAGAAATTAAGGCAAATAATTTTGTACTCAATGAGTTAAAAATGACAAAAAAACACAAAAAAGATATGTTAAACAAGTAAATTCTTCTGACCTCTTTCATCTTTGTGATCAGCTCCTCAATCCTGGTCTCTTGGTCTTTGTTGGTCGTCTTGAACGTCTCCACAGATTCCTGGAGATGTGTGATCTCATCCAGTCGTTCATTCAGCTGGCCTTGCAGCTCCAAAATCTGATTGGACTGGATGGGGTTAATTGAAAGTAACAGGTAAGTAATGTCAGTCTCAAGGCAATATGGCTCATCAGGCTGGCTCTTATCTTCGGTTTCCTTGGCATTAAACAACTGACAATATTGCTATTCTGACTGGATAATAAGCTAGTTCGTCAGGCTACTGCCCAGCTAATGCCGGTACCCATATATACTCCTGGGTGGAGAGAGGCAAGTGAGAGTCAAGTGGCTTGCCCAAGGACACAACTTCTCGCCAGCAGCAGGGTTTGAAGCTGTAACCCTCTGATCACGAGTCACAAGCAACTGCAGATTAAAAGAAGTTTGCAGAGACACTATGAGAAGCAACTAGCTCTCAAAAGAGTGGTTGTAAAAGTACCAGCGGTTTTACACCTAGCTCAACTTTTCTATCAGTGTGCCCTTACCACTACTGGGAGAAAGCCTAATACCAACTTTAAATTCAACATTTAGACAACCAATACAGGTTCATGATGTATGCATGGAGAAACTCACCTTTTCTTTTCTCAGAACCAAGAGCTCATCTGAGTTTGCTTTGAGTTGTTGAGTGAGCCACTCATTCTGTGAGCTGAGATGAGTCTTCTCCTGCTCCAGGCGCTTCTCTCGGTACTAGACAAGACAATAAACAGGGGAGGAAAAAAAAGAAAAGAATTGAATAAACCCAGTTCCTACTTATTCTAAAGTTAATATGAAGCCAAGTTAACATCAAAAACATGTTCTTGAGTAATCTGTTTGAAAATCTGCAGAGGCCAACTTTTACTTTTAACACCTTTTTTTGTAATGGGTTTTCCCCTTTGGCGACGTATGTTATATACACTCAATACTTAGTGTTGTCTGAAGGCTTACTGGGGAAAATTCACAACACTGAGTGTACAGTCTTTATAAAATACTTTGGCAAAGCGCAAAACCCGATATAACAAACCTACCACCACATCCACACAAGATGCAACTTCACACTTCATCAATTCGCTTTTGCTACTTAAGTATTGACTTTTTTAGAGTTTAGGCACTCTCCTGAAGACGGTCAGAGCATACTGATCGGAACATCGAGTTTACACCTCTGGTTCTTTTCAGAACTATTCTCTTAGTTGAGAAATTATTCGCACATGGTGTTTCCGCAAACCTTTCATTATTTAGTATCTCCACCATGCAAAGCCTCAAACCTAAGTCTCCCTAAAATTCCATCTAATAAAAAGTTTCAATATCACAAATTTGCTTAAAATTGCTTTTGCAAACATTGTAAATGGTTTGGAAACATCCTATGTCCTATCATAATGGGGTCTGAAGACTTTGGTTGTCTTTTGGGGGAGTAGGAAAATGATGCAAATACCTTGACAGACATATCCTGGTTCTGTAGCTCGTCAATTTTGACCTGCAAGTTGCACTTTGCCACGTTGGCTTCAGCCAGCTTACCAGACATGGTCTTCCAGTCATCTACAAAGAGTTTGATCAAATCATACATGTATGAGATCAAAATGAAATTTTGTATGCCAATCCTATTGAAAAAAAGGCTCAATAATGTTTTCAAAATGGCAAGCACTGTGCACTAAATATCTCAGAACGGGTGACACTGATGACAAGACATGTACCAGGTCAGGGGGGAGATTTGAGAAAATAAAGTCCACAAACAATATTTGACGGAGGGCGACCCATGGTCCCAGAGCATCAGAGGTCAGATGTGTCCTCAATATTAAAACCTTTGATCTAAACACTTAAAAACAGTGATGAGGACTTCTCATTTATGTTTTTTTTTCTTAAATCCACCGATGTGGGGAAAATATGAAAGAATCTAGCCCCTGATGTACACATTAGAAGTCTTGATTATCATCAATATCACAATTGTTACATTTGGAGCACGTGAGGTTTATGTTGGGAATGCTGTCTGCTGTCAAGAACAAAGACAGGCTCTCACCATTGAGTCGGCTAATTTCTTGGTTCTTGCGTTCCAACACTTTTAGCAGTTCCCCCTTCTCATACTCAAGAACTTCCAGACTGCGGCTCAGCTGCTTGTAGCTGAGATTGCTGCCCTCGCTTGAGTCACGCACTTCAGACAATTCTTCTTTACTTCGACGCAGCTGTTCCTCTATACGGAGACACATAAGATTCACAGTAAGCGGCTGACGTAGGATTCGAAGGAGCGAAGTGTGGTGGCCCAGTGGTGAGTTTTCTAACTCAGGATCAGAGGGTCAGGGGTTCGATTCCTGTTGCTGGCCCTATGTGGTGTCATTAGGCAAGCCATTGCACCCCTCAAAAGGAACAAAAGGATTCTTTGCACCGCAAGAACTGAATGTATTCACACATATTTATCAGATCTACAGGCCAAGGGTTATGTGTGCTGAGTAACCTTTGAGGTTTATAAATGGTCTAATTTAGGGGAAGGTTTGTGAAGATGAAGACCAGTCTTACCTAGTCTGGTATTGGAAGCCTTGAGCTCATCAATACTGCCGAGTGATGACTCCAACTTGCTACTGGATGCTATCAGTTGCTTCTCTAACTCAAAGTAGCGTTGCTCTGTCGATTGAAAAAGAAGACAAGACAACTTCAACAACCCGGACAATATGCCCATAATGCAACGCAATAAACCTTTGCCAGACTTTAGTTACTCACATGCGTCAGGGCTCAATTTACCCGGGTGCACGCATGCACCAGTGCATGTAGATTTTTGCTTGTGCACGTAGCTTTTTTACTGAGCATGCACGTTGTGCATGTAACTTTTTTAGCCACCAAAATACTCATTTCATGCATATATTTACCAATGAGTGAGAATAAGAATGTTTGTTGCATACTTGACCAGATAGTGTACAAACGTGTTATTTCTTTTAAAAATCCATAAATTATTACTCGCAGCAGATTCAGAGTACGAGGTAAAACTTGGCAAGATCTCAACCTCCTGCAACCTCCTCCGATGCATGTGATTTACCACGTGATACACGCTGCGGATAATTTGGTATCGCACTGACGTTATTGGCCAATCGGACGTCGCCTATCATATATGTGCCACATGAAGCAGACGGGTAGCTCGGAGGGCTCCGATAATTTTGCACGCAAATGACCCTGGGTACTTGTCCGACTTGTCCAGGGTCATTTGTCAGGGTCACTTGTCAGGTTAAAATTTAATTTCTACACGTTCGTATGGGTCTTTTCATCGATGGCAAATTTCATCGAAATGACACATCCTGAACACGCGGGAAAGCAAATTTAGATTTCTAGGTGAATACTCAACATATGCACGAAATTATGTATGGCGGATCGATTTCGCCATGTTCGAAATGCCACAACAGCGTGGCGTTATATACAACGCCACTAGATAGAGTAAAAAAGGCTATGTACTGTTCTGTCTGTCGAAAGTTTGATAAATCAAAGAGAAAGAATGCCTTCAGAGAAGCAGACGGTGTAAGTCAATTATGGTGCATGTGGGTTTTTCTTGGTGCATGTAGGTTTTTTGGTCTACATGCACCAGTGCATGCCACTTTTTTTTTGTAAATCGAACTCTGACATGCATGACATGTGTATATGTTTCCTTAATTAATCATATAATCATACATCAAAAAAAATTAATACATTTAGGAACACAAAATAAACTGCACTAGGCCTAGTCCGAAAATTTGGGACTCTCAATACTGTGTATGAGAGTCCCAAAACTTAAGGTATCCATATCGTGCAAAACTTTGTGCTGCATAATAAAACCAGTGTGAATCAAATTTGCAAGCTTCTTACTCACTACAGTTTCTTCAATAATCCCCGAAACTTCTGCCTAGCAAAGTTGCTGTTGTGAGCATTGCATCACCAAAATTGCAGCTTTTAATTCTAATTTTGCAGAGAGTTATCGAAATCCATACGTGAGACATCACATTGATGTGTACTGCAATGCATTGTGCAAAAAGACTCCTCAGCTATAAGTTACATTTTCATCGTGTAGATAAAACAGCGCCCTCTTGTTGATCTGAGTGAATGCAAAATGTTTCATTTTTTAGCAGAGGGCGCTATGTTCATTTGGCCATTGATTAAAAAACAAGTAAGCTGCAAGGCTCTTCCTACACCTACCCAGAATACATTGGGAATCACACACCCATTTCCAGAGCATGGAGATTGACGTGGGTGGTTTTTGAACTGCCAAAACCTTGCCTTAAAATTGGATTTAAGGTCTCAAATTTTGCAGGTGACATGCTTGCAACTATAGCATTTTGATGTATGTGTTGTGTGGGCATTAATTAGCCAAATGGTGAGTAAAAAAACGTCAGTAGTAATTTGCACGTTTTTATGCACTCACGGTCCCAGTCTGCACTAGGCCTTACTGAAAGAGAAATAGTTGTCAATCACAATTTCTTTGTTACATTCTTATTACTGAAGAGAACATTATGAAACAGAGGTTAAGTGTACTGACATAATTGTCTTAAATATTGTTTGTTGCTAATTAATTAGGAGCTAATAATGTGTTCAACAAAAAGAAGTTTAAGTAAGTAGGATTTCTGAGTAATATCAAAATAACACAAAATGGCAAAATGGCATTATTTATATTTCTTTTCTCAAATGTCTTACATTTCTTACGGCAGAAAACATAATCCCCAGTTTCATGCCTTCTGAAAATAGAAGAAACTGTTCAAAAATTACAAAAAAGGTGTCAATGTATTGAAAGAAGTCTCTCTAGCCCAGGTTGAAGAGGTCATTTTTTAGTAATTAAAAACACCCTTGACCCTAACTTTATCGAAAATAAAGTACACTACACGATCGCCATTATTTCTAAATCATGTCCGAAAACTGGGCATACAGTAAACTCACCAGAATTCACTCGCAACTTCTCCAGTTTAGTCTTCAGTCCATCTTCAGTCGTTTCTTTGGAATCCAGAAGAGCTTCGAGCTTTTCTCGAACATCTTGAGGAACCAAGTCGATTTCAGCTGGGCTCAGAACAATCGCAAGATATTTGAGTTCCGCACGTTCGCCCGCCATCATGGTCGCCATGTTGAAGTTTGGTACGGAGTCTCCGAAATGACACGCGTCTCGAATAAATAGTCATACATTCAAAAAATCGAGATCGATTATTTTCCGCGTTGTTCGTTTTTTTGTTGAAAGGCGTTCAAACGAATGCGAAGGGTATAGATAAAAATCGAACGTTTTTATGCGTAGATAAATGAGGAAAAGTTTCCAAGTTATTTCGTGATAAACAATCTACTACTAGCACCAGCAGTCCCAGAACCAATATTTTCGCCGGGGTGGGGTTAGGTTCATCCATTCCTCCATGGTTCATCAAATCAGAAATAACTTGTACGTGTACATAAAATGTATACTGAAATTTTAATTTTTTTCTAATAAACAAAATCATTGGTTGTACTGAAAAGGTCAGATTTTCGTGATCATGTTGTGACATAAAATTCTTCATAACTTAACTAGGCTCTGTCTAACCACGGCCCAACCATGCACTCTGCTTTGTAACTCAACAAGCGCCTTGACCTCTAGTTTAATTACAAGTAAGGCCAGAAGAATATAGGCGATGGCATCTCCAGAAATTTCAACTTAAATGCATCTGCCAATTCATCAATGATTTTACGGTTAATTTCACGTACTTTTTATATAGCTCTGCCGTGTTTAATGAAACGTAAGGGTCATTGTTCATATCTCACCGCGTTGAGGAAAAATTCAAACGATGCGATACACAAACTATTCTGGGTCATGGCTGAATACGTATTCTGCTTGCTCAGTAAACCATTAGGCAATATGAAACTGTCCCGCTTGAGGTTAGACCGCGACTTTTTAATTAAAAAAAACCGGACAGTCCTTTAAGCTACAGTTCAAATTTGTTACCGCAGCAACTAGTTTTTCCGGTGACTTGGCGACGCATTTTTAATTAAAAAAACAACCAGACAATAACGGGTTGTTGATTCAACAACTACCATTCAAAAGTGTTACCATAGCAACTATTTTTTCGGGTGACTGGGAATTGGTTTTTGCTGTGCTCTGCTCGCGACGTCATGTTTTCGCTGTGATGATCATTCTCCACTCTGTGCGCACACGCTCTGGATGAACAAGTGATATCTCTCGATCATTTCTACTGAATTACTTTGATCTGTTGCTTGTCACAGAGGCAAACGAATCATGTATTCGCTGAAATGTTTTGCTGTTTTGGCCATCACTTATGTCATCACAGTGTTAGGATCTCACATCTGCCCGTCTGAACCCGCTGTCAAATGTTCCTGCCCACCTCAGTGGCAATTGTGGCGGAACGGGTGTTATCGCCTGACTTCTTCCGAAAACAATTGGGAAGGCGCCGAGACAGGTTGCAAAGACATTGGAGGCACAATGGCCGCTCCTCGCTCAGTCGAAGAAATAAACTTCATGGCGAAAATGGCACGAAGTGAGTACAGTCTCTACGAGGCCTGGATTGCTTGCAATGACAAAGAAGATGAAGGAACTTGGGAGTGTGATGGTCAGAAAGGAGACGAGCCCTTCTTGGTATGGGATGCTGGGCAACCAGATAATTGGGGAGACAATCAAGATTGTGTTCTCATATCAGCACGTTATAATGACAGGATGGATGATAATTACTGTGGGTTTCAGTGTAGGGCTTTTTGTGTTCGTCAGGCAGATTGCACTCATCTCCCAACCCAACCCCGTCAATACTGCCTCTCTACCGACACCCACGGCCGCATTCTCAATTCAACCTGCCTCCTCAACCATACCATCCGGGAGTTAATCACCGAGGGCGTGGTCGCCTGTGGTTCAGCCTGCACCAAGGAGTCCGGATGTCGCTCCTTCAACATCAAGAAAACAAAAGAAGGGAAGAAAGTATGCCAGCTGAACAATAGCACAAGCTCCGAAGATAAGGACAAGTTTCTGAAGACCGATTACTTCTGTATGTACTCGCAAATGTGTTTCGTCTAACTAAATACGTTCACAGTGGATAGAATTAAGATTTTGTAAACAGTGTACTGTACAAACTCAACCTTTAATTAAGTAAAAAGACAATTTGCTTGGATTACAAAACAATTGGGACTGGACGCTAGTTTTTGAAGAAGAAAAAAAATCAGCTACTTCGGCAAACCTTATTGTTTTCATCATATCAAAAACTGCTAAACCGTGGACATCGTTAAAATAGCTGATTAATGACTCCTATACTTTGTTCGCTTATCATGACAGAAGAAAGAAGAGATATCCTTTCAACAATAAAGGTACATGTAAATACTTTATGTTCATAATGTTAGAAAAGAGTTGGAAACAAATTGTAATGTGCCAAAACAAAAATAATAATTAATTGATGTTACCGTTGCATTCAGAATGCAACGGTAACATTATTTATTATTATTTTTGTTTAGGCAGAGGGAGTATTTTTAAAGTATCATTTAGATTGAGTTTCCGTGGTATCGATAAACGTTTTATTCGTGCGATTTGCAGTTGCCATAGTGATACTTTATCGCTACGGCGCATTAACCCTAAAGGGGCCGGGTTATTTTGACCATCTCTCAGCCGGGGGGGGGGCGGAATCCCTAAGATCTCGGCCATCGAGAGACGAAAAATTTTGAAACTCGGCACATGCATAGAGCAACTCTTCCTAAACATACCCAAGAAATTTCATGATTATAGGTCAAAGGGTTTTGGAATTATGGCTAATTAATTATTCATAATGTACGAATGACAATTCTGCTCTGTGTACACGACGCATATGCAAAAATTCAGTTTTCACGCCGGAAAATGTTTCGCTACGCGGCAACCCGTGGTCCGATTTTTATGTTTTTGGTATCAAAAGATGCGCAAAGCTCGAGGCTAAAAAGTCATAACAGCTCGGGTCGCGAAACTTTTTTTTTTTAGAGGCTATCACGGAAAATGTTGAGGGGGGGGGGCGGATTCCGCCCCCCGGCCCCTTTAGGGTTAAAGCACAGGCATTGTAAATTCGCATTTTGTTTATTGTTAAATTTGGTATGTTGGAAATGAATAATGGAATGAGTAGGCATATTTTTCGTTAGAAATCATCTGCACTGTAAATTCGCGTTTAATATTTTACAAGTTGATATAGTGAAGTTCATTTCGGGGGTACCAAGGCATTTTGCATATTACAAGGTTTAGTGGCGACCTCTTGTAGTTGACTTTTGAGGCAAACATTGATAATGATAATGTTATGATTCGGTTACTAATTTGCCATCTTAAGAAACCAAAGAAAATGATTTGAAAATGAGAATAATGGTGAACTGTTTGTATCTCTGCTAAATTAGGGATCCGTAGTTTCAATGATAAAAATGAATATAAACGTGTAAATGAAAATATCCAGCTTTGAATAATGAAAAGAAACATTGTCCCATCAATCTGTAAAATAAACCTCAGCCTCTCACTTTCTGATAGGCTGGGGGCGCTCGACCTCAGTTTCAAAACGATTTGAAAATGAGAATGATGATGTAATGTTTGTATCTTTGTTGCATCCGTAATTTAAATGATAAAAATAAATATATACATGTATTTTATCCAGCTTTGAATATAAAAAAAGAAAAACATTTTCCTCATCTATCTGTAAAATAAATCTAAGCCTCTTATTTCCCGGGGGTTGGGGGCGCTCGACCTCATTTAACCTTGAAACCCTAATTCCCCTTTCTTCTCAGCCATTCTTTTAACAGTTCATGAATGGCGAGAATCGGGATGAGGATACTACAGCATCAATCTTACGGTGGTCTTCACTCCTCTAGATTCCCCCCCCCCTCCTTGGTGCCCCAGATGACCAGAGGAAAAATCTTATTTTACAAGTGTTTGCTGCTACAAAAGGGGAAATCGTAAAGTTTTCCTTTAGCTACAGAGTTATAGACTGGTTAATAGTCCCTCCATCATCCATTCTGACTTCAAATGTTTAACACAGTGAGACTAGAGAGAGTGGACAATAACCCACGTTAATGACATTCTTCTTTGCGATAGAGGGCGGTAGACAATAGTCATGGGGGGGGCTACATTTGAGAACTGCAGGTCCCAATGATCGCGTCCATGAATTACAATAGGAACTTGTTTACAAGTAAGGAAGGGAGAATAGGCAATGGCATTCCGATGGAATTTCAACTTATTTATTGCGTTTGCCAATTCATCAATGAATTTACGGTTAATTGCACATACTAAATATAGCTCTGCAATACTCAATGAAACGTTAGATCACTTGTTAATATCTCACAACTTTGAGGAAAACTTTGCAAACAATGCGATACAAAACATTCTGGTTGATGGCTGAACGCCTATTTTGCTTGCTCAGTTAACCATGAGGCAATATGAAACTGCCTCGTTTTTAATTAAAAAAGAAACCGCCTCGTTTTTAATTAAAAATAAAAAAACTGGACAATTCTAGGTTGTTGAATCAATAACTACGATTCAAAATTGTTACCAAAGCAACTATTTTTTCGGGTGACTGGGAATTGGTTTTTGCTGTGCTCTGCTCGCGACGTCAAATTTTTGCTGTGACGATCATTCTCCACTCTGTGCGCACACGTTCTGGATGAACAAGTGATATCTCTCATATCTACTGAATTACTTTGATCTGTTGCTTGTCATAGAGCCAAACGAATCATGTATTCGCTGAAATGTTTTGCTGTTTTGGCCATCACTTATGCCATCACAGTGTTAGGATCTCACATCTGCCCGTCTGAACCCGCTGTCAAATGTTCCTGCCCACCTCAGTGGCAATTGTGGCAGAACGGGTGTTATCGCCTGACTCCTTCAGAACATAATTGGGAAGGCGCCAAGACAGCTTGCCAAGACATGGGAGGCAAGATGGCCGCTCCTCGCTCGTTCGAGGAAATGAACTTCATGACAAAAATGGCACGAAAGGCGGACAGTAGCTACTACGCTTGGATTTCTTGCAAAGACAGAGAAGTTGAAGGAACTTGGGAGTGTGATGGTCAGGAAGGAGGCGAGCCCTTCTTGGTATGGGATGATGGGCAACCAGATAATTGGGGAGACAATCAAGATTGTGTTCTCATATCAGCACATCATAATGACAGGATGGATGATGATGGCTGTTGGGTTCGCCGGAGGGCTTTTTGTGTTCGCAAGGCTCACTGCACTCATCTCCCAACCCAGCCCAGTCAATACTGCCTCTCTACCGACACTCACGGCCGCATTCTCAACTCAACCTGCCTCCTCGACCACAGCATCCGGCAGTTTATCACTCAGGGCGTGGCCGCCTGTGGCTCAGCCTGCGCCAAGGAGTCCGAATGTCGATCCTTCAACATCAAGAAAACCGAAGACGGGAAGAAAATATGCCAGCTGAACAACAGCACAAGCTCCGAAGATAAGGACAAGTTTCAGAAGACCGATTACTTCTGTTTGTACTCAGAAGTGTGTTTTGGCTAACTACGTTCACAGTGGATATAATTAAGATTCGTACAAACTCAACCTTTAAGTGATAAAGTCACCTCTGTTTGGATTACAAAACATTTGGGACTGGATGCTGGTTTTTAAGCGAAAAAAAATCAGCACCTTCGACAAACATTGTGTTTCCATCATATTCAAAAGTGTTAACTGTGGACATCGTTTAAATAGCCGTTTAATGACTCGTGTACTTTGTTCACTTATGACGAAAGAAGGAAGAGATACTCTTTCAACAATAAAGGTACATGAAAATACTTTATGTTCATAACGACAGAAAAACTATTCGAAACAAATTGCAACGTACCCCCCCCCCAAAAAAAACCCCCTATAAATTGATGTTACCGTTGCATTCTTTTAGGCAGACCGAGTATTTTAAAAGTATTTCTAGATTGAGTTTTCATGCTATCGATACAACTTTTACTCGTGCAATTTGTAGTTGCCATAGTAATACTTTATCTCTACGGCACATTAAAGCATTCGCTTTGTAAATTCGCATTTTGTAAATTGTTAAATTTAGTTTGTTGGAAATGAAAAAGTGAATGACTAGGTTTATTTTTCGTTTGAAATTATCTGCACTGTAAATTCGCGCTTAATATTTTACGAGTTGATAATTAAAGCTAATTTCAAGGGGTACCAAGGCATTTTGAAAATGAGAATGATGAAAATGATTTCTGTATCAAAGTTGCATCCTTGATTTCAAATGATAAAATAAATATTCATGTAAATGAAAATATCCAGCTTTGAATACTGAAAAAGAAAACATTTTCCCCATCAATCGGTCAAATATACTTCAGCCTCTCAATTTCTGGGGTTTGGGGCGCTTGACTTCATTTAACCTTAAAAACCCTAATTCCTTTTTCTACTCAGCCATTCTTTTGCATGAATGGAGAGAAATGGGATGAGGATACTACAGCATCAATCTTTAATACGGTGGTCTTCACTCCTCTAGATTCGCCTCCCCCCCCCCCTCTTTGGCGCCCCATATAACCAGTTGGAAGTTCTTGTATTAGGAGTGCTTACTGCTACAAAAAGGGGAAATCATAAAGTTCTCCTTTAACTAGAGACCTAGACTGTTCCCAGTTCCTCCATCATCGGTCTGACTTGGACTGATTTGGAGGCAGAGAGGGCGGACAATAATCCGCCATTAATGGCATTCTACTTTGCGATAGAGGGCGGTAGACAAAGTCTAGTCACAGGGGGGGGGGGGGGGAGCTACAGTTCCCAATGATCGCGTCCATGAATTATAATAGGAACTTGTTTACAAGTCAAGAAGAGAGAATAGGCGATGGCATCCCGATGGAATTTCAACTTAATTGCGTCTGCCAATTCATCAATGAATTTTCGGTTAATTTCACATACTGAATATAGCTCTGCAATACTCAATGAAACGTTAGATCACATGTTAATATCTCACAACTTTGAGGAAAATTTTGCAAACAATGCGATACAAAACACTCTGGGTCATGGCTGAATGCCTATTTTGCTTGCTCAGTTAACCATGAGGCAATATGTAACTGCCTCGTTTTAATTGAAAGAGGAACTGCCTCGTTTTCAATGAAAAATATAAAAAAAACCTGGACAATGCTAGGTTGTGGAATCAATAACTACCATTCAAAAGTGTTACCATAGCAACTATGGTTTTCGGGTGACAGGGAATTGGTTTTTGTTGTGCTCTGCTCGCGACGTCAAATTTTCGCTCTGACGATCATTCTCTACTAAGTGCGCACACGCTCTGGATGAGAAAGTGATATCTCTCATTTCTACTGAATTACTTTGATCTGTTGCTTGTCATCGAGCCAAACGAATCATGTATTCGCTGAAATGTTTTGCTGTTTTGGCCATCACTTACGTCATCACAGTGTTAGGATCTCACATCTGCCCGTCTGAACCCGCTGTCAAATGTTCCTGCCCACCTCAGTGGCAATTGTGGCAGAACGGGTGTCATCGCCTCACTCCTTCATGGCATTCTTGGGATGACGCCAAGGAAGCTTGTCAAGACATGGGAGGCAAGATGGCCGCTCCTCGCTCGCTCGAGGAATTGAAGTTCATAGCGGAAATGGCCCGAAAGGTGGACAGTCAATACAGGGCCTGGATTGCTTGCAATGACAAAGAGGTTGAAGGAACTTGGGAGTGTGACGGTCAGGAAGGAGGCGAGCCCTTCCTGGTATGGAATGGTGGGGAACCAGATAATTGGATGGATCAAGATTGTGCTCAAATAACCGCACAGTATGACAGAATGGATGATGCGGGCTGTTATGTAGAGAAATTGGCTTTTTGTGTTCGCAAGGCTGATTGCACTCATCTCCCAATCCAACCCCGTCAATACTGCCTCTCTACCGACACCCACGGCCGCATTCTCAACTCGACCTGCCTCCTCGACCACAGCATCCGGGAGTTTATCACCCAGGGCGTGGCCGCCTGTGGCTCGGCCTGCGCCAAGGAGCCCGGATGTCGCTCCTTCAACATCAAGAAAACCGAAGACGGGAAGAAAATATGCCAGCTGAACAACAGCACAAGCTCCGAAGATAATGACAAGTTTCAGACGACCTATTACTTCTGTATGTACTCAGAAGTTTGTTTTGGCTAACTACGTTCACAGTGGATAATAATAAAGATTGTGTAAATAGTGTCTCAACCTTTAAGAGAAAAAAGACACCTTTGTTTGGATTACAAAACACTTGGAGCTGGACCGTACTTTTTGAAAATAAAATAATCAGCAACTTCGGCAAACTTTGTTGTTTCTATCATATAAAAAACTTAAACTGTGGACATCGTTAAAGCAGCTGTTTAATGACTCCTATACTTTGTTCGCTTGACAGAAAAAAGACGAAGTATCTGTTCAACAATAAAGGTACATGTAAATATTTTATGTTCATATAGTGTTAATAAACAATTCGAAACAAATTGTACCGCACCCCCAAAAAAATATTTAATTGATGTTACCCTTGTATTCTTTTAGGCAGAGCGAGTATTTTAAAAGTATTTTTTTGAGATTGAATTTCTCTGGTATCGATACAAGTTTTATTCGTGCAATTTGCAGTTGCCTTAGTGATACTTCATCGCTACGGTAATTTACAGCACTCGCTTTGTAAATTCGCATTGGAAATTGTTAAATTAGGTTTGTTGGAAGTGAAAAAGTGAATGAGTAGGTTTTATTCTTAAGAAATTACCTGCACTGTAAATTCGTATACTTTATATTTTTTTTAGGAGTTTAAATTAAAGTTTATTTCAAGGCTACCAAGGAATTTTTAACATTAATTGGTTAAGTGGCGACCTTTTGAGGTGGAAGTTTGAAGCGAACATTTGATAATGAGAATGATATGTTTCGGTTACTTCTTTGGAATCTTAAGAAATTTGAACGAGTTGAAAATGAGAACGATTATAAATTTCTGTATCTTTGTTGCATCCGTGATTTCAAATTATAAAATAAATATATACATGTAGGCCCTAAATGAAAATATCCAGCTTTGAATATTAAAAAAAAATCCCCCATCAATCGGTCAAATAAACTGCAGCCTCTCATTTTCTGGGGGTTGGGGGCGGTCGTCCTCATTTAACCTTGAAACCCTATTCCCCTTTCTTCTTAGTCATTCTTTTAATAGTTCATTAATAGAAAGAAATTGGATGAGTATACTACAACATCAATCTTACGGTGGTCTTCACTCCTCTAGATCCCTCCCCCTCCTTGGCGCCCCTAGATAACCAGTTGGAAGTTCTTGTTTTAGGAGTGCTTTACTGCAACAAAAGGGGAAATCATAAAGTTCTCCTTTAGCTAGAGACCTAGACTAGTTCCTAGTCCCTCCATCATCGGTCTGAATTGGACTGTTTTACACAGTGAGAGGTAGAGAGGGCGGACAATAATCCGCCATTAATGGCATTCTACTTTGCGATCGAGGGCGGTAGACAATAATCATGGGGGGATATATTTGAGAACTGTCGGTTCCCAATGATGGCGTCCATGAAATAAAATAGGAGCTTGTTTACAAGTAAGGAAGGGAGAATAGGCGATGACATCCCGATTGAATTTCAACTTATTAATTGCGTTTGCCAATTCATCAATGAATTTACGGTTACTTTCACATACTTAATATAGCTCCGCAATACTCAATGAAACGTTAGGTCACCTTTTAATATCTCGCAACATTGAGGAAAAATTTGCAAGCAATGCGATACAAAACATTCTGGTTGATGGCTGAACGCCTATTTTGCTTGCTCAGCTCAGTCAACCATTTGGCAATATGAAACTGCCTCGCTTTTTTTTTATTAAAAAAGAAACCGCCTCGTTTTTAATAAAAAAATGTAAAAACCCTGGACAATTCTAGGTTGTTGAATCAATAACTACCATTCAAAAGTGTTACCATAGCAACTAACCTTTCGGGCAACTTGATAGCGCATTTTTCATAAAAAAAATATTTGAAAAACGGACAATTCTAGGTTGTTGATAAATGACTATTGGAAAATGTTACCATAGCAACTAGCTTTTCGGGGGACTATTTGTTGTGCTCTGCTCCCGCGACGTCATGTTTTCGCTCTGACGATCATTCTCCACTCTGTGCGCACACGCTCTGAATGAAAAAGTGATATCTCTCATTTCTACTGAATTACTTTGATCTGTTGCTTGTCATAGAGCCAAACGAATCATGTATTCGCTGAAATGTTTTGCTGTTTTGGCCATCACTTATGTCATCACAGTGTTAGGATCTCACATCTGCCCGTCTGAACCCGCTGTCAAATGTTCGTGCCCACCTCAGTGGCAAGTGTGGCAGAACAGGTGTTATCGCCTGACTCCTTCAAAGCATTCTTGGGATGACGCCAAGGAAGCTTGCCAAGACTTTGGAGGCAAGATGGCCGCTCCTCGCTCGCCCGAGGAATTGAAGTTCATAGCGGAAATGGCCCGAAAGGTGGACAGTCAGTACAGGGTCTGCATTGCTTGCAATGACAAAGAGGTTGAAGGAACGTGGGAGTGTGATGATCAGGAAGAAGCCGAGCCCTTCCTGGTATGGGGTGATGGGCAACCAAATAGTTGGAGAGGCAATCAAGATTGTGCTAAGTTAGCCGCACGTTTTAATGACAGGATGGATGATGCACAATGTGAGAGTCGGTGGAGGGCTTTTTGTGTTCGTCAGGCAGCTTGCACTCATCTCCCAACCCAACCCCGTCGATACTGCCTCTCTACCGACACCCACGGCCGCATTCTCAACTCAATCTGCCTCCTTGACCACAACATCCGGGAGTTTATCACCGAGGGCGTGGTCACCTGTGGCTCGGCCTGCGCCAAGGAACCCGAATGTCGCTCCTTCAACATCAAGAAAACCGTAGAAGGGAAGAAAATATGCCAGCTGAACAACAGCACAAGCTCCGAAGATAATGACAAGTTTCAGAAGACCGATTACTTTTGTATGTACTCAGAAGTGTGTTTGGTCTAACTACGTTCACAGTGAATATCTTACAAATTACAAATACTCGGAACTGGACCAAAACTGCGAACTGTAAGCAAAGTCATCGTTTAAACAGCTGTTTAATACCTGCTATTTTTTGTGCTCAACAAGACATGAAAACACTTTCATCATAAAATGTAAAAAAAAAAGTCATCATATTATAATATTACAATTGCAATAAAGGATTCCAAATAATAGTATCCCCCAGTCCCAGCCAAAAAAATGGGATGTTAACATTGCATTCTTTTAGGCAGAGCGAGTATTTTAGTAGATTGAGTTTCAGTGTTTCCTATTATGTAATTGGACGTCAAAGCTGTTACCATCGTTACAGCACTTGCATGTAAATTCGCATTTATTATGTAAATTTTTACAACAGGTTTGTTCGAAATGAAAAAGGTTTTTTTCTTCAGAAATTATCTGCATTGTAAATTCGCACTTAGTATTATTGGGAGTTGATATCACGGGTACAATGGCATTTGGAATATTATATGTGTTCAGTAACAAACTCTCAAGGTTGATATTTGAGGCAAACATTTTGATGATGATTATGCCATGATCCGCACACTTCTTTGGAATATTAAGAAATACATGTTTAAGCAAAACGATTTGAAAATGAGGATGATGGTGAAATGTTTGTATCTTTGTTGCATCCGTAATCTCAATGATCAAAAATATATATAGGCCTACGTGTAAATAAAAATATCCAGCTTTGAATACTGAAGAAAAAAAATTCTATCAGTAGGGGAAATTCCGCCTCTAATTTTCTCAACACCACTGTAAATATCATTATGACAAATTGGGCCATTTTTTCTATGTCTGAGACAAACAAAAGTATGGTGATGATGATGATGATGATTCTTCGGTGGACAAAGACAAAAAAAAAATATATGCGAAGTCATTGATGACATGATAAAGAGACCATTATTCTTGATCTTGAAGACTTTCTAAGGGCAAGATTTTGAGCTCACATTTTCTTTTGATGATGAGGAATACGAAGAAGACATATGGCAAACTCGAAAATTAAACATTTTCTTGAAAGGAATACTGGATGGTGGAGACACGGGAGCCATTTTGCCTGCTGAAAATATCAGATATGCTGGACTATACCCTGTACTGTTTGACACGATTGAGATTCATCTTTGACACGGCTCTCCGCTACACATTTTGTAGACTCCTTTTATAACAGTATATTATCTATACCAACAGTCCATCATAACAATAGCCCCCCCCCCTTTTATATAAAATAAATGCCATTATAGCACTAAACCACAAGTCGTCTTCTAGAAATATGCAAACCTAAGAATGTCACTGACAATAGGCGTGCCTGCCACATAACTTTACCAAAGGACTCAACAACAGGTGTGTATGTCGGCACGTGACGCCACGTGCCGACTTTCATCAAGACGCCAGCATTAAAATAATTATGAATAACAATGACCACCTCTCGCAGTGGGGTCAAAGGTCGAATAAAATCAATACAGCCGCCCAGGGGCCAAGGCTTACATTGTTCGCGTCTCGCGAAGCTTTTCTTATAAAGGAATTTACAGGTGTTAACTATGCCTACTGACCGCAAATCAGGGAGAAAAATCAATACACGCACGCCTTTCACAAAACAAAATGACATGCCTTTGACATGCCTATGAAAAACAAATCACACTTGGATCAAGAAAAATAGGTCTGTGGAGCTCAAGACTTTAGCAACTTTGTCAACTTATAGGTTACAGTATCATGTGTGAATTCGACATTAATTTAAACCATCCGTTTTGTCATTTACAAATACATGTACATGTTTATACAGGTATAGGTTATCAACATGTTGGCATCAAATATGAGTTGTTATTTTGTTTCTTGGATGAAAGAGTAAATTCGGAGGCGGATCTAGGTTGATTCCACAGAGGTAGACAATACTGTTGAAGACTAATTTTTTAATTAATTCTTTTTTAAGTGTTAAGTTAACACAAAGCCATAAGCAAAGAAAAGAGATTTGCAATGTCAGGATGGAAAATGTACAATTTTGCCAGACGGAAAGAAAGCAGTTCCAACCACCTCATTGAAGCAACGCACAAATATTTCTTGTTAACTTTCGAAGATAAATTCAAAATTTTACTTACCTCAGATATTTGTTTTTGACTTACCGAATTTCTTGAATTCTTTTCTTGTCCAAAGTTAGCACACACATTGAGTATAATATCCACAAAGTTAGCACACACGAGTATATATCCAGAGTCGGAAAAATTCAACCAACCGTTCAGGTTCATTAGAAAAAAAACCAATTTGCTCATTTTGATAGATGGGTAAACGTACTTCAGCTTTTGTGTTCATCGCTCGTAAAATGTCCGAGCCTTTTCTGGGGGAATTTGTGGCAGTTTAGTTCATTTTGAACAGAAGTCACTAAACGGCAAGCTGGTCTAAATAGTCTGTTCCTCAATGTAGTTCCATTCACGATGAATCCATAGACTGAAGTCAGTGAACTGAGAATTCGGAGTGTAGCGTGTCACGTCGAATTCTGATGGGTAGAACAGCGTGAAAACCCGGTCGCCGCGTTGGTGTTGACCCGCACGCAAGGCGGTCTCCGAGTTAAAACAATTTCAGCTCTTCTCTCTTCCTGTACTTCACATAATTCCACGTAGTGCAAGTGCTAAATAATTCTCACATTGTTCCCCCTCAGGTCAGAGGGATATTCACTGCTCCACAGTCACACAAACTGCTCAAAATTTCGTTTGTTGTGGACAAACGAAGAGTGCCGGTCATCCATACTGAATGAGTGTCTACAAATAACTTCAAATGCTGGCGGCTAATCAAAAAGGAGCGTTTTACACGAAAATGTCGAACATGAAGATGTGTCCCTCCGCGACCAAGTTTTTTAACCACAAAACTCGTAAACGGAAGTACTTTCATCGTTGGTTACGCTCAATAATTGAACCAATCATGTTGTATTCACAAAAGACTCAGATACTATTTTTAAATGACAAAAGTATCTTAATATTTAAGCAACACGGTGCGTCCTATTTTCTTTGACGTGGAGCGATATCGAACTGAGTCTCCGGGTAAGTTGGCCTTGAACGCCAGAGAGTGTCTGCTATTGGTTGGAAGTGGAAAAGTAATCATTTTGATTGGCAGATGACGCGTCAGACGCGCACATATTGACGCTGGCTTGTTGGCATGCTGTTGTGTAGAATTTGGACTCCTTAAAAACCTGTCGCCTTCGCATGCGCTGCCTGTATGTACAAAACTACCAGTCCGACTTGAAACACTATAACGGGCGGATCGGCAGATAAACAGCTTTGATGTAAAATTTGTCATCTTTAGTCCTCTTTTGTATTAAAACAAAAGGTGTATTGGTGGTGGTGGTGACGGGGGGGGGGGGGGGGGTGGCATTCCCCCATTGCGCCGGCCCTTTTTATCATGGATGATGGAAGATATCTCACTCGCAGTTTAGTCACGTTTTGTCTTTTGTCCTTGGCCCGCGTTAGTTTTGCCGCACGACCAAGGACGCGTGTTCCATGCTGTGGAATCGCTTACCTATCGTATGCAAACAGCTTAATTTAAAAATCAACAGTATGACCATAACAAAGAAGGATATGACTTTAGGCTCATTTTCGAATATGCATTGATCTGCATAGGTTCTAGTCTACCTGTCTACACATGGATTGATTGATACCTTGCACATTATTTTGCTTTATACACATCTTCATCTTTTATGGGGCTCATTTAGTTTGGAGGCAAAATGCATGGTTTTCCATAATTGGGGTGCTCGCAAATGCCCGCTTCTATGCACACGTTATTACGTAACTGTTAGCTGACTCCTCTTTCTCGCGCTATCTGACCACGTGTATTGATCGTGGTATGTGCCACAGCGTCTAGACTTTATATTGATCTATGGTTTGAGAAAAGTACTAAATTTGCTCCCAGGTCACCGGAAGGATACAGCCATGGATTACTCCTGGAGCCTCGCCCTCCTTGGCCTTAGTGTAGTCCTGTTTGTCCTGTGGTGGTCCCGTCGCCGTACCCCTACCACCACCAGGAATGTACCGGCCATGCCCTTCATCTCCTCGCTAGCCGATGCGGTGGAGGATTTCTGGATCACGGTAGATCTGTTTCGAGCGGGGTTATCTCAGCCGCACTACATGTTCAACAGGTAAAGAAACTCGGGGCCAGTGGCTGATTGCCAGCAGGCTTTGGGTAGGAGGAGGCAAAATAAGCATTTTGTTCTTATAAACAGGGCACGATTTGTTTCGTTCCGTAAAAATTGTTAAAATTGGGGGGTGGGGAGGGTGTAGCAGTTTGAAAGACCTTTATGACACAAATTTACACGAGGCCTATTGCAGGTGATGTTTCTATTAATAAGCTCACGTCATGCGCACTCTCAACAACTTTTGACCGGGTAAAGGTGAACCAAAATATCAACGACATGAGTCAACAAACTTTGAGCATACATGTACATAAGTGCGAATGCCGACCAAACCAGAATTATGAAACATTTTGGACCCTGCATAATCGATTATAGGATTTGTGCAGACAGACAACACCTTGGTTGAAAATTCTTCATTTTAACCGGAGTTTGTGTAATCGCTGCATTATCATGAGTCGGTCGTCAGTCATGTCTTTGCCGAGCGGCGTTTTCTGGGGGCTAGTTGAACCTCGTACGGTTCTCTTGACTGTCCTGGTGTTCCTCGGAGTTGTGTGGTTCATCCGTGGCAGGCGGGCTGGTAAGACCTATCGTTACCCTCCTGATGCTGGGCGGTCCCTCACAAACGCATATGAAGATCTGCGCCTTATGGGGGATATGTTCATGAAGGGAGTCTCTCAGCCTCACGAAGTATTGACAAGGTATGATGGACCATACATGACAATGAAGAGTGCCTACGGTGATGCTTTCAAAATTCCTCCCAGTGATCTCTCCAATATTTTTTCTTCGTCATCACCGAGTTGGCATTTTATACGGAGTCCTATACCTTTTCGCGGCTTTTTTTCCAAAGCGTTTGATGATTGCTCATCTCAAACAACGGTTGAGTCAAGGCTAACGTAGGTTAAAAGTGATGTGACATGTTGAATTTCATTTTTAACATTTAAATTTCAAAATGAAAGATAACCTGATGACGACCCAAAACATCGTCAGAGTCCTAACCCAAACCAGGTAAACATATATGTGAGGGATTTTTAGGGGCCAATACCTGGATGAATTTCCCTTTAAAACGAAAGAGTGGTTATATGCAATGTAAATAAAGATAGTCCTTGTTTTTTGTTTATCTGATATTAGTGTCTGATATGGTAGGACTTTAAACCTCGAAAGTAGAGGTCTTATTTAAAGGTCTGGGTGAACAGTTCAGTACATGTATGTCGCAGCTACCAAGCGACCCTTTTAAAGCTGTGCATAGTACATGTAGAAGAGACATAAATATATTCTGCATATAATTATTCACATCTATATGATCAGTTTTAAAGAATTTTAAGTGTTTTACGCCATATCCATCCTTATCTACCTAGCTCTATGCATCTGGTTTCTTTTCTAATTTAACCCCCCCCCCCCCCCGCTCAGGGAAGGCAAAATTGAAATTTTGACTCCCTGAATATCTCTGAAGAAAATGAGGCCCCCATGTGCACCCCCCCCCCCCTCCTACAAAAATAAACCCCAGTTTCACCACAAGTTAGCGCCCATAATGACCAAATGAGTTGTGGTTATCGTTGTACACATACATGTATGCAGGCCTTTTTGTTACTACACACGATGTATGCATACTTAAGTGACAATAAAGTCTCTCGTTCAACCATATATCATCATCGGACAATCACCACTGGACAGTCACATTGTGACTTAACTGCATTCAGGATAATTGTAAGCTATTAAATGGGGAACTATGGGCAGCAATGCTCACAATTTGAAAATACGAACACCAGTGATACACTGTGGCATGTTGGAACTATTTTTGCTTCGGGGCGATATGGTATCACTGTCGCTTGGTTTTTGTTAATTTTGTTTTTTGCACTTGTAAACAGGAGGTCTTGGGTTCAAGTCCCGAGTAAGTTTGTGATTTTTTCTCACCAGCCCTCGGACAACACTGGCATGGTCGTCGCCAGGATTTTTCTAGGGGGCAGCAAAGCACATTTTCCCCCCAAATCCCTATAATTTCCAGCATTTCCCCGATTTATCATGTTTTCGAGGGTGGGCAGGGACATTTGCCCCCCCCCCCATTAACTTAATATGACTTCACACCTTTTTTTCCCTTCTTATTTTTCCTCCTTTTTTTTGGGCTTGTGGGGGGGGGGGGGGGAAGCACCCCCCCCCCCCCCCCTGCAACGACCATGAACACTGGGTATACAGTGTTTATTTATTTTTTATTTTTTTTAATATGCATTACAGCAACACTAAAATGTTGAATTCACAAGTCAAATGCCTATGGTGAGTCAGGTTGGCGAAGTGGTACTTTCCTCGCCTTCCACTGCTGTGACCAGGGTTCAATTCCTGCCTGGGCCGTTAGAAAAATTGGTTTTCATTCCACATTTGATTCCGTGGGTTCTACCCAAAATATTCTTTTGGGGTTTTCCTCCCACATCTAAAACTGTAATTTCTTTACATTGTCTTCTCTTTACTGGGTCCTATGGGAGACCAGTGGATACCACTGAATGGGCTACCCAGTTAAAATAAGAGAGAAATATAAAACATTTCATTTGTAATTAGGCTTAGTGTTATTTTTGTTGTCCAGGTTTTCCCAGAAGTACGGGCCTGTTTTTAGTGTTACCCTTCCGTACCTGCGGATCGTGGTACTGAGTAGCTACGAAGCTATACGGGAAGCCTTTCAAAACCAGTTGCTTAGCGACCGACCGGTCATTCACGTCCTGAAGCATGGGGTCAAAGGTCACGGTAAATATTACATCCGTTCTTCTCCACAACCCCATCCCTTTTAGAAATTTAAAAACTTAAATGTATCCAACTTTTGTGAATTCAAATGCGAATACTTTCCATTTCTGCTTTTGCTCGGAGTATGACATGAGTAGCACCCGCCTTGTACTGACGAAACATGATTGATTTGAAACTCTACAGGGAAAACAAAAATAGACCTATTGTTTGTTATAAAAATTCGCAAAGGATTGATCAAATTAACCAATCATGTAAAGTAGAGCACAAATACTTATGTAGAATGAAAGTTGCTGTGTATTCACAACATTTTTCTGGTACTGTTCACCAGGGGTTGCATTTTCCTCGGGAGAAACTTGGAAAGTCCAACGGAAGATGGTCTTGAATTTCCTGCGAGCCTTCGGCGTGAATCGATCCAGCTTTGAGGAGAAGATAGCCCTTGAGGCTAGCCATCTGAATGCCGAGCTACGCCAGCTGGACGGCCGGGCCTTCAACCCATCACACCTGTTTGCTAACGCCGTCTCCAACATCATCTGCTCTGTGGTCTTTGGCCAAAGATACGAATACTCCGACCCTAGGTTTAAGAAGCTCCTACGGGCCGTGTACCGTAACGTGGCTATCATAGGCGGCAACACTGGTCCGTTACAAATGCTACCCTTTGCATACCTTTTGAAGGTAAGTTCTCATCGACAAACTACGTCTTTCAATTCTTCAAAACACCACCTAGAAATCTTTCCTAAAACTGTTTTTATAGTAGGCTTGTTTTACGTAGTGAACCAATTTCACAGCACACGCACTTTAAAGAGGTTGTGGAATGCTCGAAGACATTTTCGTCATTTTTCGGGTATATGTAGCCTAAGGTGTGATGAAATAAAAACGACTATTGTGTCTGTCATGAAATGAGTACAAAAGGTACTTTTGAGAGCCGTTTTTCAGGTCAAGGTTTCGACCCGAACGTGCAATTTGTGTAAAAGTCGTCGTTGGGGGCAGCAAACAAAACGTAGTAAATCGTGACGTAACAAACAGGACTCCCTATGCAGCGTAGTATAAACGAGTCCTGTTTATTACGTCACGATTTTTCTGATTTTACGAAGAACCCGATGACTGTTGATTTCAATTATGCGCTCGCCGACCAACAAATTACTCGATGAATTTCAGTTTTATAAACATATAAACACACATTACAAAAGAATGGGAGTTTGTCATTATGATATATATGGGTCTACTCTACAATAAAAAAATATAAAAAACAAAACGACTTTCAGCATTCCACAACCTCTTTAATTGATGTGATTTTTCCTATCTTCCTGTCCTTATTTCCACGAAGCCATTAATACCTGTTCTGAAAGAAACTGAGGATAACGGCAAGCTGATCAACAACTTTGCCAAGGAGGTCCTAGAGGAGCACCAGAAGGATTTTGACCCGGACAATCCCCGCGACTTCACCGATGTCTTCCTGCGGAAGATGGCTGCTGCGACGACTGAAGGTGAGAGTGACAAGGACAGTAATAACAATGAGTCCATCTTGACTGTCCACAACATGTGCGCCACTGCCTCGGATCTGTTCGTAGCCGGCACGGAGACCACGTCTACCTCGCTCCGCTGGGGGTTGCTCTACATGATGGCCCGGCCGGACATCCTGGAAAAGGTTCAGCAGGAGTTGGATGCGGTGGTTGGGAGAGGTCGTCTGCCTAGAATGTCCGATAAGCCTAATCTACCATACACAGAAGCCACACTGATGGAGCTGCAACGCGTCGCTAACATCCTACCACTTGGGATACCTCACCAAGCGTCTGAGGACACCACCATCCTGGGTTTTGATATACCTAAAGGCTCCGTCATCATGCCCAACATGTGGGCCTTGTCTACTGATTCTAAGCTGTGGCAGGATCCGGAGACATTCCGTCCTGAACGGTTCTTGGATGAGACTGGACGTAACGTGGTCAAGCAAGAGGAACACATCCCGTTCAGTATTGGTGAGATCATCTTGAACAATCAACCACAAGTTAATCTCAAGTCAACTTTCAATTTTTTTTAAACTCAAAACTTTTTCACCCTGTCTTTCACAGGTCGTCGCATGTGCATCGGAGAACAACTCGCCAAGATGGAACTCTTTATCTTCCTAACGCATCTCTTCCATCAGTTCACGATCAAGAAGCCAGACGGTTCTCCTCCTATCTCCTTCAAGGGGGTCATGGGTGTCACCCTCTCGCCTCTTCCTTATGAAGTCTGTGTCATTCCTCGTTCTTAAAGAACATCAACACCCCACTGGGTGTCCAACCACATATCTAAGATTAGACTAAGACAACCAGGCAGAGGATGCTAATGCAGCACCATCGTTAATGAGCTGTGGTCATAAGAACAACTTTGACTCTCTCGCTTTTCAAACTTTTCCTCTGCATGTAAAGATTAAACTTGCTGAATTTGTTATTTTCAGTGAGACGGGTTTTCCCTTTCTTATCTCATTGGATATTCATGTTCTACATACATTGCAGGGTGAGTAAAAAAAACACGAAACCCAAATGTCGGGACTATTGTTTAAGTGAAGTTCTGCATGTAGCACTTTCAAAATCTAGGATATGAAAGCCCAATTCATAAGCTTTCTTTTAGTACAAGAATCATTCAAATCACATGAGTGATTTTCAAGTTACGGAATTTCAAACACAACCACCATTTTAAAGTTCTGTCCACAGATCACAAAAAAGATGTGCGTTCTTTCAGCAAAACGAAAACAATAAGACCATGTCCAAATGTGATTTATTTTCGTTTTGCTGAAAGAACACTTTACCTTTTTGTGATCCGTGGACAGAACTTTAAAACAGTGTTTATGTTTAAAATCCCGTAACTTGAAAATTACATGAGTGATTTGCATGATTCTTGTACTAAAATAAAGCTTATGAATTGGGCTTTCATATCCTAGATTTTGAAAGTGCTACATGCAGAACTTCACTAAAACAAGGGTCCCAACATTTGGGTTTCGTTTTTATTACTCACCCTGTACAGCTTGAAACAGAAAAAGTAAAATATATTTTTAGGCGATCAATCCATATCGGTTACACCATCTGCATTCCGAGTGATTAAGGAGCGGAAAGTATATAAAAAAAAAACAAGCTCAAAAGATGGTCACTGCCAAATTTTGTAAATAAAAATGAAAATGTTGAAAGTGAGTGATGTTCAATGGGTTAAACGTTTCTTCTTCAATTCTTAACATTTACTTCTATATTATTATTCTTTCCAAATAGATACAAGGTTATACGGTTTTGATTGATATTCAGCTTTTGTAACTCCATAACAAATAGATAAATGTTTGATAATATACATTGTTACAAGACTATACTACATGCATGTCGCCTAGAACTATGCATATACAGTTGTAACTGCATTTGTTAGAAATACTTGAATATTATTTTGTGCTTGTATCATTAAAATGTACTCTAACTATAGTCTAAATAATCAAATGCTATCTAGGTAAGTACTTTGCCATTTACTTATTATTCTCTGTAATTGCACTCATATTTATCTAAAGAACTGGACGACACAATGGAGGTAAATACTGATTGCTTGGTAAATACAACGTATGTTAGATCTGCTGAATTAAAGGATTACAATTCAAAAAAGATGGAAAATACATGTCTTCTGTTTTTCATTCCTTGTTCAGTTTCCCTTAATTTCAGCTTTATGAATAAAATATGTGCATTTTGTGGTTCTTAAAGGTTTGAACGACAAAATGCTCAAAATCTAAAGATGGGTGTTTAACAACTAACCTGCTGAAGCGTTAGCTCTGTGAATGCTGTTTAATTCGAGAAAACATGATATTCTGGATCTCAATTTCAATTCAAAGTTCCCGAGTCATAAATCCCGAAATCAGCATTTGGGACAAGATTCTCATTCAGCCGATTGTTGCTACGTGATGTCACACACTGAACCGATGATTCTGGCTAATAATGGCAACAGTGCTGGCACCCATTCATGGATTTGCCCTATTACAAACCACCTGCTAACAGAAACTTCCAAAAATATGTCACTTGACACATCTTCGGGAATTACCATCTTGTATTGTTTCCTTCAAAATGACAGCATGCCAGAAGGAATGTCACTTTGAGTTTAGTGTCATTATACTATCTTTAAACCAATTACGTTTTTGACAACATAATTTGGTCGGTTACTTTTTAGATAGCTGCCAATGGTCTACTACTTTTACAATGGTGTTATAAAAACCCAATCAAATAAAGTCAACACTGACTGACAGCTTATCAGTTTCGGTTGTCGCAATTCTGGCATGTACAGTTAAGGGACATTTCACACACAAAAATCACACAACTAAACATTATATCAACCTACATTTCAACCTAATATACAGCTATTTCAATTTCAGTTAAATTCAAATTAAATGTGTAGGAAAATAAATATTGTGAATTGATTTAGAATATTAAGTAGTTTTATAAGCAGACTCAAAAGAAATTAATTCGACAAAATTCTAAAGGAGAAAATGTACCAAATTTAGGGCTCAGGCTTGTATGCAGACTACAAATACTGTGTAATGGTACCAAGTTTAAATAAAGGGTCCATGGGATGACTTTTTCTTAGGAACACATTTTGTGCAACTTTCTACTCCTCTTAAATGTATGAAAAGTATTTGACATCCATTTTTGGTTAACTTTATTGAAAAGTGCACTTCTTTAAACATATAAAAGTTTCCGTGCTTTTCCGGACCACTGAGGGCGCTGTTGCTGTGATGTCATTCCAGGAAGATAATGTTCAGTTTAAGGGTAGTTTGCTCAAATTGTGAACCCAAACATTTGGTCTTTAAAAACATTTGTGAGAAAAGTTTGTTCACTGGCTGACTGCCTTGAACTGACACAATGAATCACCAAAGAAAAGAAAATTCACGACAACAAAACTACCAAAATTCTGGCAACTTTTGGTGCTGTAATAGCTGTAGCATTGAGTTTCTGCCTGAAATGACATCACACTGTTGCTCATGAATATGGAAAATTGCATTAGCATAAAAACCAAAAAGGCACCAAAATACCTTTGAAATGGCAAAACGAAAATTGAAAATAAAGTTAAATGGGACATTTTGAGGATTGCTTTAAACAAAAATGCATTGCATGGACCTTTAAGAATCTTGAATGGATATCACTAACAGTAAAACCCTGATAATGTGGATGATTTGAATTCATCTGTCACAACCAGCAACACGCTTTAAAACCAATTTTTGTCCAATCTGAGTTATTATTTGATCTATTGCCATTCTTACAGTCCACTGAGTGACTCGCGAGTCACTTATAAATAACTTGTGAGTTACCTGTGAGTAGCTTGCGAGCGACTAGTGACTTCTGACGACTTGACTACATCTCTGGTCTCAAGACCTGACTCTCACGATCTACCTCACACTACTTGAAGTAATTGAGAGCGGAGACCGTCATGAATTTCTCAATGAAGAGTTCCGAGTCAAGGAATGCAATGTGCGCTGCCCTGCCGATGAGTGTGTTTGCGGAGGTACTGAGGGTGTGGTTGACATCGTAACGGACTAACGAGCAATTAGCATTCTGGATGACAGGCTGGAGTAGATTGTTGATCATTTCACTGTAAACATTTCCTGCATGATACAAAGGGTAGATTATCAAAATCAATTTTGTTTTCTAACAATAACTCTACTATAGAGATGAAATGAAGGTTTACATCTAACATGATATAATAGGGTCAACAAACATTCGGCTATTCCGAACATCGTCCTTGGCCACTGATTTTTGTGTACAAAGTGTACCAATCATTGTTGAAAATTGTCAACAGAAGAGCGACAAGTGGCTATTATTTTAGAAGGGGAAAGCCACCCATTGCTGTTGGTAGTAAGCTTAAAAACTGTGTAATTACATAATTCAATAGTCGGCATATGTGATTCAATCAAGCTAAACGAGTCGTTTGTCGACCATGGTCAATTTTTTTTTTTACAGATTTGAAAAGAGCACAATCTCAGCATTACTGCTTTAAAAACCGCATGCTGGTACCATCTTTAGTTAAAAAATTATGGAAGTCGGAACACCAAGAGATGTGATGAAGTGATGTGATGAAGGGGCCCTATTTTGGCCTGAATCTCCAAATGAAATTTTTCGACAAACGACTCATTTAGCTTGATCGCATCACATATGTTCAAAGTCGTCTTTCAGTAACTACCAGGGCATGCAGGGTGAAGTTCTAAAGGGCGCTATTTGTTGAAAGTGAGTACCGGAGCACTGGCAGCTTCGAATCGCTATACCGAACGATCGCTATTACGACAAATTTTTGTGGATCCCGCGATGTTTGTTATAACGGTGTTTTACTGTATAACACAAGAGCTATGTAATGTCAATTATATAATGTGAAGAGTTCATTAACTACTTTGCTGATTGTTTGCTCAAATCTCCTCTGATCTTACCTAGCAAGGACTTATCCTTGACAGCGGGTCGACACATCTCAATCCTAGCCGAGTGGATAGGAACATAGCGGTCCTGTAACGACCCTACTAGGACTACGTTCTTGAAGAAACTCAAACCTGAATGTTTGAAAATTTAAAAAAAAAAGAAAATAACAAGTAAACCATCCTTTTTTGTAACACTTCTAAACGCATTAACGGATAGATGATGAACAACAAAAAACTAAACTACAGAAGCTGATCATAATGATAAAAAGAGACTTGTTTGAACTAAAACGTTTGTGTGTGCACTGCATTTTAAACTCTTCTATGAACCACAGAGATTGACTGCTTAGAATTTGACTTCATTCAGATTTTAATCAGATCAAACTATCTGGCCAACTCAGTAGTAAGACACCAGCAGCCGATTTCACCAAACAGTAACTTTCGTGAAAGTGTTATAACTGAAATAAATTGTGGCACAAGTGGACTTACGCACAATGAAACTTTCATGAAATTGTCATAACTAAAATGCTGTGCAGCGTGAAATGTCATGCCACTTACGCAATAAATTGTGGTGCAAGACAAGTTATGCCACTGCTTAAATTTCCAGAAATCGGCTGCAGCACTATTAAGCAGGTAGTTGTGGGTTTGAGGAGCCCAAATAAACTTGTTAAACTTCTCTGTTTACTATACAATCTTAGCATCTGTGTTTTAATTTCTCTACCTACCTGAAGAGCGGCTGAGCTTGTAGAGGAATGTCTGGCGCATGTCCGTGTGATCTCTGAAGGCAAGTTGAAGTAGAGAGCTAGACTTCTTCCATTTCTGCATCAACCACATGCCTACAAGAACAAAAACAAGTCTTAGTTTTTTTTTCTTAATGATGACTGTCTTGCACCCAATTTCATGAAAGTCATCGTAACTTACAATGCATCGCAGCGGATGCGACACGTCGTATCTCTACAATGCGTCGTAGCTGCGACGCGTCCTGTGATTAATTTCACAAACATGTTGTACCGGTAAGTGCGAGGTGTCTTACGTGTATTTATAGCACACCCCGTTGACTGTTACATGTATTTATTCAGCGTACAGTAAATAGTCGTCTGATACTCAGCAAAGAGTCGTCCGATCTCCTCTCAAAAGTTTGTAAAACGTAAAACAAAATGCCGAACGTATGATGCAGTTTTAAAGAAAAACAAGTTTACAGAGGGCTGTTAGCTACTTTGAAATTTCAACTGCAATATTCAAGGCTAATAAATATTTACTTTGATGTATTTTCCATTTACAACTTGATACACAATGTCTTGGTATAATAGTCTCGTGTATTTAATTTTTATGGCATAAAACTGGCTAAGACAAGAACGCTTCCAATTTTGCGATGGCTAAAAGACACGTCGTAATTTGCGACGTGTTTTAAGCCATTGTCAAGGAACTTACAATGCCTTCAACACATGGTACATTTTGTGAAATGTATCATACGATGCGTTGCAAGTTGCAACGTGCTACAGGTCGCAAATCGAGTTGCGATGCGTCGTAGCGCTTCGTGAAATTGGGTTCAAATCACGTTGTGCTATCAACAATATTAACCAAATTCAGTCTTAGGACTTTGGTACGCTGAACCAAGAAATTCAGAGCAAAGCTCACTCGCGCTGTATTCAAGATAATGTGCATAAGTGAGGTGTGCTTGAAATTTCTTTGGTAGGGGTGCCAAAGTGCCCAAGACTTAAGTTGGTTTGTCTTGTTGATAGCGCCCTCTACCGTCAAGGTAGCTTGACCGCATTTGTCAGGGAACGGCTGCATGAGGTACTTATAGATTTGAGCTTACCTGTGTTTACGATGGCACTGCTGTTATATAACTGTCCTAGATGAGGGCCAGATAGTGACAGGAACGTGTACATCTTGTCAATGTAGGGTGTAAGCTGAGGTCTGGCTAATGCTGATCGAATGATGATGGTGCCTAGCGAATGGCCTATGAAACTGTTGAGAGATTAAAGTACTGAATGTTAGCTGAGAACAGGAAATAAAATATGCAGAAAACTGGGCATAATTCTTGACGCGGCTTTACACTTAGCAGAATGGTTTTTCTCAGTATAGCAGAACATTGCGCTAACCTTAAGCATTATTTCAAGGAAAAGGAGACAGTGGTAGAGCAACCAAGACGTGAGATATCTGACCTGAGTTTCTTGGGTCGTATCCTGAAGACATCAATGTACATGATGATCTCCTTCACTAGCTTATCCGTCATGGTATCAAAGTCAGCAAAAGTATCACCCTTCAAGAAAAAAACAGAGAATGACGCTTTAGGCATTCCCAGCTAAATATTAGTTGGTGATGTTAGGATTTGTCCAATGACACTGTCACATTCCTCATTTGTTATTATTTCTTATTAACCCTCCTATGCAAACATACATTCTGTGCCAAATTGTCCTTTCAGTCAAAATCAATCAAGTGCCTGTTTTCAACAGTTAAGAGCTTCCAGCCAACATAATTCAGGATTGACTGGCTGTGACTGTTTATGTATTAAACATGATACAGCTATGCTTTGACTGTAGATGATTGTAAGCCAGCTGTTAATAAGACATGATGCAACCATTTGATAAGCCTGCCTGGTTTTGTCTGTTGACTGAAGTTGACTACTCACAGTGCTTGCTTGAAATATGATCTGACTGTTGGTGACTAGCATGTGTAAAAGGCATGGCAGGGGAAGAAGATTGATTTTATTGACTGCCTGTGACTGTTAAGATAGCAGGACGGTTAAGATAAAATGAAAGGACTTCATCCTGACTTGAAGCCCATCAACGATTAAATTCCTCACTACTTGCACCTCGTTATTATTCAAGTTATTGACTTCGGTTGACCACCCCTACATTAGCCACAGACATCCCAGACTAGATGCAACCACCCTACAGCAAACCCCCAAGGCGTTACAATCAACCATCAGAGATTCTAACTCTAAGTTCTTTTAAAACTATGCCTTGTTTTCAGAGGAGTGGTACATACCTGGTTACTCTCAGACATCAGGAAGTCGAATCTCTCTCCTGGTAACCCCAGCTCCAGATAGGTCTTCAGTAGTCTCAAATCAGCCCTGTTGCCATCCAGGCCATGAACGCACACTACAAGGTGTACCTAGAAAGGAAATAGTGATTATTGGGTTATGCCCTTCACAAATCTAGTTTTATGAGCACTAATGGCTTAAAGCACGAACAACGCAGGGTGTTTTTGACCATGTTCGACAGCCCAGTGGATTAGACACACTGTGTGCGTGTACTGGTTCGTGCCCGTATTGTTGACTGATGTACCCCAATGTGGGGCGGCCCTTAATATAGCGCACTTGGATTTTTTGCCTCTAGCGCCTAGCTGGAGCAAACTTTTTACCTTTAAATTTGTCATTAAGTGAAATTTTATCAAGTTCTAAACACTCCTGTTCATAAATCTTGAGTTGACGTACTCACTTTAAACTCCCAGAGAAACTCTATTTTGGCGTAATTTTCCGACTTTATTTTGAAGTGCACATGCGCCCAACTTTCTGATAAACTTGTAGTTGGGTTTGTGAGTGGAGATAATAGCGATTGATCAGAATGAATCAACTTTCAAGAAATTCTTAAATGTTAATGTGAGATTTGTTCAAGTGCGCCACGTTAGGGAATACTCAGCCGAACTTGTGCCACATTTCTGGACGCCGCTGTTTTTGAATTTCAGACTTTTTTTCATAACACTGAAATTGTTCGCAAAGGTTCAACAGCACGCATTATTGAGGTAAAAGTACCAGTATTGAACTGAATGAATTTGAAGTTTGTCAACAAAGAGGTTTGGCAACACTGAAAGTCGGGGGAAACGTCGAAGTGCACAAAGCCTTTTCGTCTTTGCGAGAGTGTGAGGTGTTGTTGGTAATACGTACATATGTCTCTTCCAGTGGTCTCCCCCAACTCTCCCTTTCTTAACGTTGAGGGGGTACTTGTGCACGGACCCCAAACATTGTTTCAAAGTGGGGTCGCTTTTACGGATGCTTCAAATAATTATGGGATGAAAGGAATAAACACCCACCTCCAAACCTAACTCTTCTTCTTCTGGTTCCATCGGCGGTTCAGGAATGCTGAAGTATGGCTTACAAGATGCCTTCTCTGGTAAGTCACTGTACAGCTTACCAGTGAACCGTAGCTTGCGTTTGAAGTCCTCCTTGGCCGTGTTAAAACTGGGGGAAATTTGGACGACAAAAACACAATGCGATCAACATGGAAAAGTACATCATGACACAGATTCTTTATTCCAAAGATTAATTAATAACCAATTCTCAGTAAAATGGCATCAACATAAAACAATGTTGTTACATGTGAGATCATTGGAGCATTTTAAAGGGAATGTACATCATTGGCTTTTGCTGTAATTTTAGAAATGAACTATTTGGGGGGTTAGTATAATAGATCAAAATTTGTTACACTGACATGTTTGAAGTTTAGTTCGAAAATGCTGGAAAAACCAAGAAAAACAAAAATATTCAAGTAGTCTGGTTCCCTGACTCCGCTAAAGATGAAATGGATCAAAAATACCGGAAAATTGTAAGGTAAGGGAACCAGTCTAGCTGGCCTGCACCCGTTCATGAACATGGAACCAATAGCTAGCAAAACAAAATTTAGACTAAATAACATTGGTAAATTTGGAGCAGTAATTGAAAAATAGTTAGGTTTTTCCAACGGTGGTCGGCCGACCAGCGTTGGAAATGTATACAAATATACCATTTTCTTGAAAATGGCTTCACACCAGGTACCATAATTTTACAGAATGCTTAAGCATGTCATTTACCAACATCCTAGTAAGGTATTTCGTAACAACTTGGTAGTTTTATTTTTCGATGTTTGCAAATGTTGTATTTTCCCTTTAACTAGTCTTGGTCAAGACATTCGACGTTAGTGTCTGATGATCGATAGTCGGCTGCCAACATAAGACAGCAGCAGCGCTATGCACCCATGCGTACCGTACGAAGCACGAACAGTGACCTCACGCGGCTAGGCTACAATATGCAAATCAGTCGGTGATGATCCAACACCTTGGAACAACCGTTCACCTTGGCTTATGTGTTTCTTTATTTTGTCACTAGATTTCCAGCGACGACCTTGTATGTGAATAAAGATGAGATTATTATTCAGTACTTGGTCATGGAGGCTCATATTTTACATGGATAGAGAGCTGGATAGTATAGCTGCATTCTCCAACAAGCTTGCAGTCCGCAGACCACATATGACTCGATATAAATCCAGTGACAAAACAACAAAAATTGCCTGGAAAAAGGCGCCAACGCGACCATTGTTCCAAGGCGTTCGACCAGCACCAATGATTTGCATATTGTAGCCTAGCGGCGTGAGGTTGCTGTTTAGGCTTTGTATGTGTGAGTCCATAGCACACAGCAACTGTTTAATGTTAGCGGCTGACCATCGATCATTGGACACGATTGTCAAACGTCTTGACTAAGGCTCTATTTTTACATGCTCAAGCAAAGCTCCACATTTCAAATATAAGGAGATTTCAAATTTTGTATAGTAAGCAACAGCTATTTTGGACTTTGTCCACATACATGGCAAGAACAAGTTAATTGTCCTACCTTGCTTGAGATACTTGGGACAATGTTCGCACCAAGCCTTCTTGTAATCTGGAGTGGATTCTAGGATCTTTGTCATGGCTGTGGCCAACCGCTATAGCATCCGACACAACCGCACTAGCTGCAGGCTGATGCGTGAGGGCAGGCTTCACCACGCATGCCTCAGCCCCACCGTTGCCAGAGGAGGCCGAGCTGCCACTGTGATGTATAAACGAGAAGCAGCCGATGCAGGTGTTCATTTTACGAGGTACGAGGTGCACGGAGTTGCAGTCACAAAGACCATGGCTCTGCTTAGCGGAGTCCTCTGGGCTGGCGTTTGAGGAGGAAAAGGTGCTGTTGCCGCTGGGGCTAGTCCTGCCAACTGAGGGCTCCAAGATTGCACTGCTTGCTGGGGTACTCGCCAAAGGAATTGCTGGCGTCACCTGAGTAGAACTGAGCTGGAGTTGTGCCGGTTGGCTGTTGGGTTCTTCTGACTGCTGGGATGCAGCGAGTTGTGTAGAAGTGAGCGAAGCCTCTGGTTTGGAGTCCTCAGGGCTTGGTAGCTTGGGAGTGTTTGCATCTTGGACAGGGATGCAGCCTGTTGCCTGAGGAGTGTCTGAGTTCTTCCTGGAAGATGCAGAGTCCGACTCCATGCCGGAGTCGGTGTCTAGGAACCGGAGCTGGGAGTTCTCCAAGCAGATTGGCTCCTCGTTAGCAGCAACGCACAGTTGGATGTTGGGAAGATCATCCAAATCACTGCCGTTAAGTTGAGCCATGCTATCCACAAAGGAAAAGTCAATCTGTGCTGCTGCAACAGCAGCAGCGTCTTGGCTCTTAGGGTCACTGTCTGACTCCATCCTGGTGGCAGTGCCTTCTGGATCCTCATCTGACTCCTCATAGCCGTTTGCATACACTTCGCCATTAGTCTCAGTGAAGCTTGTCCGTTCAAAGACGTCCGTGCTGCCTACAATCCCTGAACTTTCACTGCCCTCAACAAAGGGGCCTTGATTCCTGAAGTAAGGACCTTGAACAGGCTGAGAGGCCAAAGATGAGTACGTGTACTCCGGCGTTGATAGAGCCCTCGTTTTCACATAGCTTTCTCGTTTATTGCAGTGTGCTGGGTCAACAGGAGTTTGTCCAGCAGGGTGATTCAGAGAAGAGGTCCGACTTAAGCTTGGCAGCGAAGAGTAGGAGGTGATCAGCCTTCGTTCTGTTGGCGCATTGGGGTCATTAGAGACAGCAAGTAACTCACTAATAGATGGTTGGTTATCGGTTATCTCATACTGGCTATAATCCCTCGCTCCTTCCTTGGAGTGACGCAAGCTGCTGGATTTACCGCTTCTGGAGGAGCGTAGGCCGTGCTTAGTCTTGGACTTGTGCTTGGAATGCTTCTTGTCTCTCAGAGAGTTTGAGGTGCTGGCCTTCTGAGTGGGGCTCTTCTCTCTTGGAGACGAGGGTTTGCTGTGTTGCTCTGAAGGATGCTCTCTAGGAGTAGGAGCTTTGGGAAGGGTGCGGATGGACTGTGCAATCTCATCAATGCTCAGATTCTGAACTGAAAGATTGGAATATTTCCCGTCAAGTGCTGATGGTTTTTAACAACTTGAGAGTAATCGCAATTGATAACACCAAGAAGTAACAAGAATCAAAACAAGGCCTATAAAATTTGACCCAAAGACAACTATCTAGTTTGAGATACTAGCAACAAAACATGATATATCCTTTTTTTCAGCGAGCTTCTTTTTAAAATTGTTAAACGGATGACTGGTCATCTTCTAGCAAATAGATTTATTCAAATAAAATTCAATTCAACTGAAATCTGGACAAAAGGCACATGGGATCCTATTCTTTGGTGATTTCATTCTAAAATTTGACCATGGGTATCAGTGTGACTATAGACAGGCTTGGTGTAACATTAACGGATCCTTAACTGCCAAGAAACCGTGTAATTCAGTGTGTGGTTGCATCATGTCTTCACTTTCTGGTTATTGTGAGTGGCCAAACAGTGCAAAGTACAGTTCCAGTCATTACTTACTTTCCTCAGTGGCCACAGAATCCAGGTAGCGATCTTCAAAGATGATGGGTATCGTCTGGGGGTCTCCGTCTGTCTCCGTACACTCCAGTGGCAGCCTGGGTAGGGAGGTGTAGTACAGAGAGTTGCGGATGGCTTGGCCGATGTAGGAATAACCCTGGCAGCTGATCTCATGGAAAGTAGCGGCCGACTGCTTTGGGTTGTCGATGGTGAAAAACCCTTCTGAGAATCGCTGGACCTGCAATGGTAGAGGTGAATGTTTTCACATGTCCACGTTGGTCTGCAGGTCAAGGTGTCTTTAAGCAAGACACTTTACTTCAATTTTATTGTTGACTTGCTATTCTAAACCTGTCACTATCTTTTGTAGCATACCAGCTTTTTACATTTGCCCAAAATAAAGTAACTGGAGGTTTCAGGAATGCTGTTTAAAGTAAAATCTCCTGGAAAACTTCATCTTATGGAGACATCGTTAGGAACTGACATCTTGGACTCACCCTTGCTTTGTGGTACTCGGACCTTAGGTAGTTGGTGATGTATCCGTTCTTCACCAAGATTTCCAAAAACTGCGTCCATATCAGGCACAATTCCCCAGAGAGTTGGGATATGTGGGTGTTGACAGACTCCATGATGTCTTCCTGGTCAGACAGTCTCTGTCAAAAAAAGACAACAAGGTTTAGGTTATTCACCTGATATGATCTCTCTTATGAGTAAAGTAGATTTTGAGAACGAAGGTAGGCTAGCCTTGTTGAGCTGTAACTAATCTCACAGTTAAGGACCTTTGCAGTGCTAAAGTTGTCATGCTGTGCTACTCACCTGGAACGATTCACACATCATATGAAGCTTCTCTCCGTAGTCAGCGGCTTCTGAAAGAGAGAATTAAAAAATCCTAAGCATTATTTTCTGCTTCTTCAAACCGGCCTAGGTTCCAAGATGTGAATTAGCAATGAGTCAACAAAAAGGCAGGGCTTTGCATCGAGACCAGGATCGGGTTCCCACAATGAACTTTACAAATTATTTAATATTAACTTCTCAGACGATGAAAAAGATTTTAAATTTGGAATGTCATTTGTGGGGAATTTTCAAAGTGAAAACCAGGCTACATGGGAAAACAAAACACATTGCAGTTGCAGATTACACCGTAAAGCTATAAAGCTCACTGTACACATTTGTATCCTGCTGTATTGACAAACAGATGTGGTAGTATTATCGTGTGGACCTTTACGAACAATCTAAACAGGAACTTCCAAGATTTGAATTCTGGGTTAGGTTTCTTTAACGGGTACCCATATTTTTTTCAATTGGGTTCCTGGTTCTCATACTACCCATAAATGCACACCCTACAAAAAGGTTGGATTTCGTGGATACAGAAATAAGAAAGAACTTAAAAAGTAGCAAACTCTGCGTATTAATTCAAGCTTACCCAGTGTGAATTGTTGGTCTTGTGGTAAATTCTTGCCGAGTTGGTTGAATATGAGGCATAGTGCACAGCGAGTCTGTAGCAACACTGCACACATGCTGTGATAGATCTGATAGGCATGGGCATTCCTCTCAGCTGGTACGGTGTATCGGTCCGTCTGCACAAACATACATGAGATCACAGAGTCACCTCAATTGACATAAGGAGTCCGCTCATTAACACATCTAGGTTAAGCTGAATGTTGTTATTGGCAAGGTTTGTTGAAAAATACCCTGGACGACTAGGGTTAAGCTACTAGTTCCTATACTGCCAATAACTGTCTGTAGCCGATTTCACGAAAAAGTGTGGAGTTCACGCCATGCGTAAGACTTACGCAACAAATTTGTTACGTAGCTACGCAATAAACTTACGATTGATTTCAGGAAACTTGGCGTAGCTGCGCAACGTTTCAAATAATCTAAACATCTTGGATGACGATAATAACAGCATTTACGACAGCTGTGTGTGTATGAATCTGTTCGTTCACAAAAAAGTCGTTGAATCACCTCAGGCCGTCATTTTGAAAATTATGTTGTCAGACTTTCTTCGGAGTCATGCGGCAGCTCTAAAAATTTTGTCACGAGTTCAATAGAAAATCATTTACTTCAAACAAGAAGCTGTATTAAAGTGTCTTGTATCAACCTTGATAAGTTGTGCAAAAACATGCTCCACAATGATCACGATTTGCTGGTAAAATAGGTAATTTTCAGTCGCTATGCCACAACTTACGCCACCTAATATGATTGCGCAAGTTATGCCATAATTCATTGCGCAAGTCACGGACTTACACACTATGAGACTTTTGTGAAATGTGTCATAAATGAAATGTTGCGCAGCATGAAATGTTGCCCAGCTTACGCAATAAATTATGGCGCAAGTTTCGTGAAATCGGCTGCTAACCTGTTACTCCCTGTAACACCCGAAATCACCCCATCACTGTACGGTTTCTTGAAATCTCACGGAATGACAGTGTAATACTATGTAGTACAATAATACCATGACAAACTTACGGATGAGCTAGAGACAGGCGGTTTTCCCGGGGGGCCAAACAGGACAGCTTCCAGGGTGGGTATTGGAGGCTGCTTGGTGGGGGATCCTGACCCTGATATTCTATGCAACCATCCAGACTTGACTGGCTTAGGCACACTGTAACACACAGGGTAACACACATGGTTACACACAGCGGTCAAAGTAGACACATAATGTGCCATAAACGTGAGTCCATCAAAAAATTCTGGTCTCATGTAAATCTGGTCTCATGTAAATCTTTTGTTGAAAGCCATTTTCGCGCCTGATTTCTTCTGCAATTAACCCTAACCTTCCCAAATCCTCCAAAATCCTCTTTGCAAAATGGAGGATTTTGCAGGATTGATGCTATGTTGAAAAAAAAAGTGCGGCTGATTTTGGAGGATGCACTGTGCCAAGGTCTTAGGCCGGACCTTGTATTGTTTATGCTCAGCCGTGCACAAATTAAGGCTTATAGAGTATACTTGAAATCCTCCACACTGCTCCAGGATGTCAATGGCTCTGCCTCAACATATTGACATCGATTGCTGTAGGATTTTGCAGGATTGAGGCAGTGGTCACCCCTCCAAGGACCACATTCAAGAAATAACAGAGGATTTTGCCGGATTGAGGCTGTATGCCATTTTTACATGGAGGCAGTTGGAGGATTTTGCAGGATTGAGGTTGCATCCTAGCAAAAATGCCTAGGGAGTAAGGCTTAAAATTGGTCACATATCAGCTATTCTGCTGCCTGTTAGTTATATTTTTTTAATAAGTTCTTTGTCAATTTTCGGCAAGCGACAATCGGTGGCTAGCTTAGCATGGCGCATATTTAACTTGATCAAGGCATTTCAAAATCGCATATTCGATCCACTCCAAGTTGGAATAATCGAATACTAAATCATACAAAACTGCTCAGCCCTAGAGTTATGCACATCAATTGGGCTACATCCGTGGAATTGGGTGTCGGATACCCACCTAAATGTTGCCTGATGAAGTCCCAGTAATGACCCATGGACTGTTAACGACACCGCTGATAGGTGGAAGTAGTCGAACAGGAGAGGCACATGGCTATGCAGTCCGTCCGAACCGTTGATGTTCAGCTTGAGAGTTCGTGAGCTGATGGCCTCCATGGATTCTGGCGTGCCTGGCCTGTTAAGAATAATTGCAGAAAGTGAAATCAGATGTGAAAACTTCCGTGATGTTGCCATCCTACATCATCAAGGTCATAATCTGAGCGAAAGGAAAAAAAAACTCACGGTTCTTCACTGCCTGAGAAATGCAGGTCCACGCTCAGTAGAATACTGGCTTCATGCAGCGATTCCTCGATCTAAAATAAGGAAAAAAAACTAGTGACAGTTAAGACTTGTGATTAATAACGACTTAGCTGAATAACTGTCAGGCTTCAAATAATTCAGATTATTCCATAACTAAACATGGGCCGATATTTTGTGATGGTTCATTCAAAAGTGAATATCTTAACCCTAACTCCCTAGGCATTTTTGCCAGGATGCAAACTCAATCCTGCAAAATCCTCCAACTGCCTCCATGTAAATATTGCATACAGCCTCAATCCTGCAAAATCACCTGTTATTTCTTGAATGTGGTCCTTGGAGGGGTGACCACTGCCTCAATCCTGCAAAATCCTCCAGCAATCACTGTCAATATGTTGAGGCAGAGCCAGTGACATCCTGGAGCAGTGCAGAGGATTTCAAGTCTAATCTAGGCCAAATTTATGCACGGCTAAGCATAAACAACACAAGGTCTGGCCCAAGACCTTGACACAGTGCATCCTCCGAAATCAGCTACACATTTTTGCGTTATAACTTCAATTCTGCCAAATCCTCCATTTTGCTGAGAGGATTTTGGAGGATTTGGGAAGGTTATGGTTAATTGCTAGAAAAATGGCACTTATAAAAAAAAAGACATCTATTTATTCATGGTGAAACTCAAAAATAATCTTTATTGGTTTTTTTCTCTTCAATATTGAGAACATAGCTACCTTGTGGCTGTCCACGAGCAGATAAACCTTGAACAGCGTCACGTCTTTAAGATCTACCTCCTCCCGTTTGTACAAGATAGGGAACGTTCTGGACACGCCCACATTCTTACAGGTGTAGGCCGACAGATTGTTGGAACCCTCTGAAAAAGGAACAAACCCCAAGAGGGCGCTATGTAAGAGCTCCATGGCAGGGAATAATTGCATGCCGCACTGATTTACGTGTCAAGCTTTTCAGAGCAAGGTTAGCATGGAAAACGAAAGACGCCAATTGTTTTTTTCTGTAAAAAAATCCATTATTCCATGATTGTTACATTATTTCTTTGAAATATGTAAAGTAGACATATCAAAGATTACAAATATCAACAATCTAAAAATCAGAAAAAAATAAACCCCATTTGCTTTTTTCTCCATTCCGTCTCATTTTACCAGAACGACTTATAAATAACATGTGACATGTTGCTGGCCAATCAAGAGACAGCATCTGAGGGTTAGGTGATGAGTTGTGGGCATTGAGTTGTGGATGAGTTGTGGCAATGACTGGAAATGGAAAAGACAGCAGACCTAGCACCTTTGACGTTTATTTTTTAAAAGGCTTGTTCAAGCATGGAATCAGTAAACACTTACCAGCTGGTTTGATGATAGTGGCCTCCGATTTCAGCGTTGTCTTTGGGCCCCCATTGATGGAACATCGGACGTGATAATAGCTGCAACATTACAAATTAACAATTCAATCAGTGATGATCCCTGAAATTTATACTCCTGAGTGGACAGAGACAATTATAGTAAAGTGTCTTGCCCAAGAATATAAACACCATGTTCCTTACGGGGTTCGAACCCACGCACGAGTCAAACACAGTAGCTATTGGACCACTCCCTTGCTCTACAGAACAAATGGTACAGATGTAAGCAGCTTACCCTCTTTGGAATAAGTCAATATTGTGAAACTTGGTAAGTTCAACAGCAAACTCAAGCGCGGCTTGGAGATCAGCCATCTTGACTGGCTCAGGTGCTGCACTAGTAAACAAAAAATGATAAATACCATGAGTGATTTAAGATTGCACGGTTCAGTATTTGTATCAGTTTCAGTTTTAACAGTAACTATTCAGTATTCACATGATTACAGATTACCATGAAATATCATTTCGTTTGAAGCAACAATTGTGCTCAAAATCTAAAGTCGGGTGCTTAACAACGAACCTGATGAAGTTTTAGCTCTGTGAATGCTGAATATTCCAAGAAAACAATATTTTAGGATCTCGGTTTCAATTCAAAATTTGCGGAGCCCTGTTTTGAAATGCGGCTGAAATCAGCATCTGGACACGTTCTCACTCCGCCGATTGCAGCTACGCGACAAATAATAGCAACTGCGCACGCCTGTGTGTCGTGTCAACGCTTGCGCGCACCCATTCATGGATTCGCTGAATTACAAACCAACTACTAATGGAACTTTGCAAAATGCGTCACTTGACGCATTCTTTCAATGTTTTCTTCAACATGACAGCATGCCAGAAAGAATAATTTCACAGGGAGTTTCGTGCCATTACTACCGTATCTTTAAACCAAGTAAGTTTTCAAGAATAATTTTGTCAGTTACTTTTAGGATAGCTGCAAATGATCTACTCTACATTTAAAGAAAATAGGGCAGTACCAAAAAACCTAATGACAATTACACATTTCTACAATAAATGTTTTCTTCAAAAAAATCACACAATTGAAAGTACAAAAAAAAAATGTGAAAACTGCACAAAGTTTTTTGTTGGCTAGGTACATGACATGCATCTGTAATGTTGATGCACATATACATGTGCACATTGTGTATGCACAAATGCATGAAATATATTTTATATTTTTATAATGCAGTCATGAGACTCACGACTGTTAATATCACTAGATGTAGACAGCTGTTTGTGCTATTTTAATACCATACAATTATGCAAATTCAGTCACCCAATCTGATAACCAGTCAATTTCAGCAGTCACCATGGTAACAAATACCCTGTAATTCTGATAGAGGAAAATAACCTTCCATAGAAATAATGACTTTACAGACGACCATCCCCAAACACATCCTCCAATTATTTTGTTCATGAGCAACTCAGCTTTGAAGCAGTTGCTAGGCAACAGTGGACTGACTTTTCTCGATTTACAATCAGAAACACCTTTAAGCAAACATTTCACACACCATATTTATTCAGTCAATAATTTGCATCTTTAATGATGCGGTTGTCATGGCAACACAGCCTGAGGTCTTCGTTGATGGTCCAAATTATATAATTTTGTCTGGCTGACGGGATAAGCTTTTTTATTTTCTTGATTTTGCTGAACAGAAACAAATCCTGTTTTTGTGTGATCAAGTGAGCACACTGAAAAAGCAACTACATGTACATATAGGGAGTCCATTTATATTTTTAAGTAAACCTTTGCAGAACGCTTTACAATATAAAAGCAGCCTGTTGCCTGTTCCAGTATATAAGCAATCGAAATATCACATGCAATAAAATTGTATGCAACAACAGATGTTGCAGGTCAATGACAAATCTATACCAGCAAATTATATTTTTCTGAAATTTGACAAAGTACACGTTGCTAAATCATTTTTTTTTACAAATTAAATATAGCCATCCTTATTCTTTGTATTACATAAAGTTGGAGAAAGACAACGCTATATGTACTTTTTTTAGAAGGTATCATATCTAAAATTTAGTTTACATTATTTTATTTGGGAAATTTTGACCATTTCATATTTTATACATGTGATTACAAAATAACAAAATGATCAAAATTTGACCAAGTGCAAGTTACTCAATTTTTTAAATATAGACCTCCTTGTTCTTTGTTTTACATAAAGTTGGGGAAAGACCACATTACATGTATATGTACTTTTTAGAAGGTATAATTTTTAATATTTAGTTTAGGCCTACATTATTTTATTTGGGAAATTTGATCATTTCATGTGATTACAAAAAGATCAGTCTTGGGGCTGTTCACTGTACAAATATTTTAGTACTCAATTACTCGAAAATGCATTTGACCAAATATTTGGATATACGAAACTGCCGATGCAAATGTGCGTGCTGTGCAGGTAAAAAAGTTGCACGAAGAGTCTGCCAGTTAAAATGTGTGTGCAGCAATTAATATGGTGTGCTGGCGTGTTTTGCCGTAAGTATTTTATGACAGCTGAAAGGATGTGAACACTGAACTGCTGTCGACAAAAATTTTACATCGACAAAAAAGTGGCACCTGACAATAACGCACCGCAACTATGCGATAAAATAACTTCCCAGTCGTGTGTATACTGTATGCGCGTAGTTTTTTTGTTTTTGAATATTCAAACTGGCAAAAAGCTTTACGAATATTTGGTTATGAAATTATATTTGAGTATTCGGTACAAATTCGGCACAGCCCTAATTAATAAAAGTATATCCTTTAATGGTTCCGTGAGTAAATTGAGGAATTGAACTGTTGGCTAATCACTTGACATTATAAACAGTGCAGTCAATGATATGGCTGGGAAAAGGCCAGATTTCATTGATTATGGAACCCATATTTTAGCATATCAAAACGCAATCGTCACAATAACTGCAGACGAAATAGGTTTGTACACCTGTACACTGACCATATTGTATGCAAAGTACATGTACATGTACAACAACGGTTGTCACAATGTTGTCTGCTAACCTTGCGAGAAGTTCAAGGAGACATGCACCTTTCATCTTACCGACAGTGTAGGCCTACACACATGTATGTACATGGATGATTTCAATGTTATCTTATTTACAAATATATTGTCCAAATACTACAAGCTGTAATTTGAATTCGTCAACAGAGCCTGAAAGTTCACCCCTGGTAGCGCGCTTCCGGAACCCTGGAGTAGGGAAATTAATGTGCAAAAGTTCTAAAATTTGCAATTATTCTTGGTGCATTGATTTTTTAAAATAAAATTACCCTCAAAAACACCCCTGCTTAATGCTGATGTCTTAAACATGTTAAAGGTAGATTCCGTCATTTGTAATTTGTGCATTATGTTCGTTTGAAGCAAAAAAAGTGCTCAAAATCTAAAGAAAGGTGCTGAACAACTAACTTGATGATGTTTAGCTCAGTAAATGCTACATATTCCGAAAAAACAATATTCTAGGATCTTGATTTCAATTCAATTGGGCATGAATTCAGCATCGGAGACACGTTCTCACTGAGCCGATTGCAGCTATGCGATGTCGCGCACTGAACCGACGAATTATTGCAACCGCGCGCGTGTGCGTTGTGTCAACGCTTGCGCATGCTTTGCTGAATAAAGAAACAAAGTACTAATGCAAGTTTCCAACGATGCATCTAAAGATGCATCGTTGGAAATGCCTTCTTTCAATGATTTCTTCAAAATGACAGCTTGCCAGAGAGAATAATTTCAAAGGGAGTTTTAGTCCCATTACTATCTATAAACCAAGTATGCTTTTCAACAATAATTACGTCAGTTACTTTGTGGATTGCTGCAAATGATGGACTGTACATGTACCTTCAACCTCTCAACCACCGACTTTGCAAGGTTGCTCATATCTAATCGGTAGACATAGGTACAATCATATCTGGTGTGATGAAACTTTGCGTCAGGGAATTGTGAATCATGATATCGGTTCTGCCATTCTGTAACATAATTGTATGCAGTTTTATTCAATAACATGCTCATTAAATTATATGACCTCATAAAATTACACCAGCAAATGGCTAAATCTGACTTTAAATTTCAATCTCTGATGCGAAATTCCATCAAGCAATTTATTGAATGTAACATCATTATAAAGTTACGTTAGATAATGCAAAACACAGTCACCACACATGGTAGGCCTATACATTTTCTCAAAAAATGCCATAACCACCTACATGTAGTCTGTAGATCTACCTTGTTATGATTGTAGTATTTTATTATTTTGTTACTCTATTTTATATGTTTAATCTTCATAACATGTTGAACTTGAAGCACAACCTTTGCAAAATTACTTGGGGCATTCTGCACATGTGCAAAACCCTCCAGAGAATCAGACAAAGAAAATACTCTGCAATCTAATGTAAGAGTCAATTCAAAATAACAAAAGGAGAATAATTTTTATTTTTTGGGATGAAAAACAAAATAGAAAATTGGATAGCCAGGCTTGAACCAATATAATTGTCAAAGAGGGCGCTGTACAATCTAGCCAGCTTAATATCCACTAAATATCAGCTATTCTAAGGCAAAAAAAAAAAAGTCGGTCTCTGGTCAGACCGAAGTTCCGGAATTGATACGGTGACGCGTTTTTGTTTTTGTTTTTTGGTGGTTTTTTTTCTTTCAAGCTTGTGTTGTACAGACAAGGTGGGTACTTTTTTGCTTTTTTGTGTCCTCATTATACATTGGTGTCCTCCATAATTTGCCTTGGTGCCCTTTATCATTTGCCTTGGTGCAATTTCCCCATTCCTTGGTGCTCCTTGGAAGTTGGTACAAAAATTTGAGGAGGCGCAGCAATAGAGGGCGCTGTTGTAGCTTCCGTGTTAATTTGAAAGAAAAAAAAGGTTGACGCGCATGATTAAAATCGACGCGCGCGCTGACCAGAGACCAAGTATTTTTTGGGGGGGGGGCCTAATAGTAATATATCCACTATTCTAAAAAGGAAAGAATTAAACACTCGGACTTCACAATTCTCAATAAATGTTGACCCCCCGACAGGTTTAAAAAGAAAGATTAGAGGCTACATTTATTTTGGGGGGGGGGGGGGTTAGAGATGGGGTTTAGTAAGTTTGGGGGATAGGTTTAAAAAGAAGGGGGAAAAATGTTGCAACCTGACGCCACTTTTTTCGTCATCCTATCATCTCAATGAAGGTCAGTCTTTCCAAAAATGATGATAAGACATGAATCTGGGACTGAGAAACATTTCAAATTTTGTTAGGAAATACTTAGAAAATTTTCTTGACTCTCCGTAGACTTTGTACACAACCGCTGAAGTGGCGTCAGGTTGCAACATTTTGTCCTCACATTTTTTTCTCAATATTTCAATTATCTAAGTTTAATGAAGGGAAAACAATACAAGAACAATATCGGTATTTACATACTCCCATAGGCCTATTATTGGATGAATCTTTTTGAAGCATTTTTTTTTCGGGCTGGCAGGAGAAGGGCCCCCAAATTAGCCCCACTAGTGTGGCCGCGGTATGCTGCACTCAGAGGTTCAGCGCAGCATACCGCGGCCACACTAGTGGGGCTAACCCCAAATGTGACGTCAGTATGCAATATTCTGTCCCTCAAATAATATTTGAAATAATAAAAAGGTCAATAAAAGTAGCTTTAAATTTATCTTAGGCCTATGATGTAGTACGCTTATGTCAGTTGTCACGTATCATTCATTCACCAGAACAGACTGATTTTGCAACCAACATGACCAACGCTGGGCAAGTAAACGCACCTCATTTGTTCCACAATCTGACAATGTGAATGTACTGTAGCTGGAGTTACCCAGCCCTGAGTTTTATCATTGGGTTGTCATCTAGGGCTGGAGCGCATTTTTCTCAAAACTTGTAGTATTTGCAAAAAAAATTTGGAAAATGTTCAATTTTGTCCCCGTTACACACTAATTGCAACTGCAACTCACCCCAAACTTGCCTGGAATAACCATTACACAGGTCCTTGAAGTAAAAAACGATCCACGATGAAGATTCAGCCTACAATTGCAGTGAAAACAGGAGGAATAACCGCTAACTTGACAACCTTGCTGGATTGGCCAGGACCGCTATTGGTTTGTGCACACAAAAAATTGTGTACAATGAATGGCGGTCGATTAACAGGCACAGAGAGCGATCGCTGTCAACTACTCGTTTTTGCCGGCTGCGCTGGCTGTTGGTGCGTGACGTCACGCGGAAGCGTAACACCCGATGACTGTTTCATGCACTAGTATAAGGTTTACCACTCGCATCACAGCTTTGGTACTGGAACCGCAACCAATACAATTTTTTTTGTGCACAAACCAATAGCGGTCCTGGCCAATCCAGTAAGGTTGTCAAGTTAGCGGTTATTCCTCCTGTTTTCACTGCAATTGTAGGCTGAATCTTCATCGTGGATCGTTTTTTACTTCAAGGACCTGTGTAATGGTTATTCCAGGCAAGTTTGGGGTGAGTTGCAGTTGCAATTAGTGTGTAACGGGGACAAAATTGAACATTTTCCAAATTTTTTTTGCAAATACTACAAGTTTTGAGAAAAATGCGCTCCAGCCCTAGATGACAACCCAATGATAAAACTCAGGGCTGGGTAACTCCAGCAAAATGTACTGTACATCAGTTCATTAGATCTCGCATACATTACCTTTTCAACAGCACAACAGATCCACCAGACAATCAAAAACAACTGGCTGGCAAAGATCTTGAGCAGAACAGGCAAATAATTCACACAGATTTGTAACACAATCTCCGAGTATCGACGGTGTTTTCACATGTCACGTACATGTACGTATGTACGGTACGATTGACAATTTGACATCTCACTGCTGCGTAATGCATTGAGGGTGTACGTATAGTACAACTACAAATACAAGTGAGGCTGAAACCAGACCAGTACTCATCAAAAGAGGGCGCTATTTATAATTCACGGCCAAATGCGACCGCACGTTTCAGTACTGAGATAGTACATTTATATTGTATTTGTAAACGAATATTCTTGTAAACTGTTTCAGTTGGTAGATACCCCCGCCAAAATAAGAAAAAAAACAGTAAATGAAACCAAGTGTTTCTAAGAAATAAAGGCCTAAATAAGGGGTGGAGGTGGGGTCGGGGAAGGGAGGGGCACTGGCCCTCGCTCACATCATAATTATGCCATCTAAACGCCAGCCTGATAGAACCCCCCCCCCCTTGTACCCACTGGTGTAGCGCAAGTACAGGGGGATGCCTACTATTGAACACATACAACACACTCGTTATCATGGGGGCAGCCCACTCAGGAAGCTATGTATTAAAGGCGCATAACACGAATTTCACATTGGGAACATATTTTGTGCAATTTTAATTGCTCCAAAACCCTTTTTTTCCCGGGTACATCTCATTGAAAAGTGCATTTCTTTAAGCATTTAACTTGTCCCATGCTTTTCCTGACAGCTGAGGGCGCTGTTGCTGTGATGTCATTTCAGGATGCTGTTCAGTTAATGGGTTCAAATTTTGATCCCCAAATTTGCTCATTGTAAACGTTTGTGAGAAAACGTTGGTTGCTGGCGGGAGGCTGCCACATTCATGTACCGAAGTAACAACGAATCACCAAAGAAACGACAGAAAAATATTAAAGTTCTGCCTAAAATGACATCACATGAATATGTTAATTGTCATCAGAGTAAACACTAAAAAGGCACCAAATTGTCCTTACAAATTGCAAAATGAAAATTGATAATAATTTGAAATGGGCCACCGTATTTACAAGGACTGCATTAAACGAATTGAAATTTCGTAGAATGAGAAATCGTCAAACAATGAAAACAAAACGACCGAAGCAATGTGTTTTGAACAAGACAAAAAAACACGAATGTAAATGTTCATGGAATAACTTCGATTTTCTTGCTACACAACTTGCTTGCTACACAAATTGGTCACCACTTTTTTTTGCCACGCAAAGAACAAACTCTGCCTTACTTCAGTTTTTTACCGTTAGGCATTAAGTTTATTACACTTTGATGCTAGGAAGGAAGTTGCTAATCGCCAAACAAACACAAAAGCCAAATGGTCTTAATTGGTACCGTTATGATTAAACGGTATTCATTGAGTTGCAAAATGTGTTTGCATTCAATTAACTAACACGTAATGGGCTCTTTGCACACTAGAATTCAGAGGCTGCATTTAGTGATTTCATTCTTGCGTAGAAACTTAGAAACTAGTGGCGATATGTGAAAGTTCTGAACTACAAACTTGACAAAAGCGCAGGCCTACCATGTCAGCCCTCTATATGTTGCCACCATTTTCAGTCATGTTCCCGGGATCCAATAACGTTGCTGAATGTAATGGGTTTCCGTGCAAAAAGGAACCAGACTATTTTTTCATTCCACCTCGCTTTGGTTACGTTGATTTGAATGAAAAAAAAAATCAACATGGCCGCAACATGATAATGGCCTAATGCACACGTTTGGTAGTTTTTCTTAGTTTTATATTTTCTGTGTGCTTAATAATAAAAGGTATACCATTAACCATTAAGCACCTAAATGCAACTGCAATCATTAATGGAATGAGTTTTACATAACAATCGCGCAACAATGCAGCCTTTTAATTATAAACCAATTAAATGTAGCGCAGGTGACGAGTGCATTTAGCACTTAGGCTCGATCTGTCTGCTCCACAACAAACGGAGAAGATTGGCTATTATTTGCTTGCTATCTCAGACAGTTTTCATACGAGTCACGTCAGCGTAATATCATCTTCTGGCGTATCAGCAGTATATAGAGCTTCTTGAAGTGCGGCGTACTGCCATTTGTTTCTTCGAGTCCGGTGGTATATCGACATGCAGATGAACTTGTGGTTCACAACTTCTTTGATTTGTAAACTTTTGGTATACGTCTTGGAGAATCATGGAGGACTACGGAGGCCAGGATGATGTGAACTTGAACAATGTCTCAGCTGGAGAGTCATCTGTGGTCCGGTTGAGTCAGTCTGCTGCAGTTACCGTGGTGTACATAGTCATTGTTTGTCTGGCTTTGCTTAGTAATGCTTTGGTTATCATCGTTATGCTTGCAAGACGCCAAGATTTCAGCTCCTTCACCAATCGTCTCATCTTACATCAGTCAGTCATTGACTCCATCGCTGCACTCCTGCTGCTTCTTCTCCGGGTGGTTAAGAATTCCAGCATCCCGTTGTCTCAAGAAGACAACGCGTTGGATCAACTGATCTGCCGAGTTCTGGAGACAGACGTCTTGCTTTGGTGGTCTTACGTGGCTTCAACTTACTGCCTTGTTATCATTTCGCTGGAGCGGTTTGTAGCGACCTGCTACCCGGTGAAACACCGTTGCAGCTGGTCAGCGTCCCGGCTGAAGTACGCTGTAGCGACTCCCTGGGCACTCAGTGCTATCTACTGCTGGCCCGCAGCTGTCATACTGCGAGAACTGCATCAGGGACAATGCCTCTACGTGAAATCAGTCTCATTTTATGTCATGTATGGTCTGGCAGGCATCATAGTTGAATTCTTGGTACCAGTGAGCATCATGACCTACGCCTATGCACGGATACTGATCATACTCACTAGGAAACTAGCCAACCCAGTGAATGGTCGGCATTTGAGCAAAGCTAAGAAAAACGTCTTGATAACATCAGTTTTTACTGGTGTTATGTTTTTGGTATGCTGGACACCGCTAATGCTTTACAATCTGTTCGGGGTATTTGTTCATCTTGGTGTTGTCGTCGCATCAGAACCAGGCTTTGATGTGATTGGTTTAATAACATGCATGGCTGCCTGTAGTACCTTCGTCAACCCGGTAGTTTATTGCTTCATGTATGAACGATTCCGATCTCAACTGAAGGACCTGGTGGTGAAGCGATGCCGGAGAAATCAAGTAGGTGATGGAGACCCCATCTCAATTAACACGGCTACGTTGGAAGTAACACACGACTAAAGTGAAAGTCTGCGTCTTGTTTTACCGCCTGTTTTACCCTTTTTCTGTGGAGCGCCGTGGTCCAATTCTTACGGCGTTCAATTTACGTACCATACATGGGTTCGAACTCTGCCGGGGTAAAATGATACTCGTGTGTTCTTGAGAATTATACGTTACTACAGCAGCATCTCTCCACACATGAGGATATGGTACCTGTGAGGTTTAGAGACTATTTTGCGCTGATTTCGAGGAATGATGAACAGGGATCATAATTCTGATTTTGGTGGGCCTATAAAGCGCTAGTAGTCTCAACAGACACAATCAAAACCTTCCGTTTACTACAAACATTGAGCGTTAAGCCTGGCCATCCATGATCCTGGCACGCCCACCGAAAAGGTAAAGATTAAGTGCAACAGGCCTTTGTGAGGGGGCTCAAGCGGCGTGTGTAGTCTCTCCTCCAGTCGACTCGCCTTTTCACAACTCAGACAAATGTGGCCTTGCAAAAAGGCTAGCGGATCATTCACACTGTCACGTGGAAAATGATGACTGCAGTGTCAAATAGTTCAAAATATTAGACTTTCTAAGATGTGTAGTGGATTTATTTCTGGATATACTCTCGATGTATATATATATAATAATGAACACGTTTTTTTCTCTTGTAATCAAACAGATGTGAATTTTAAAGAACAAGATCATCCATCACAGTTTGGTACAAATATTGTGTTTCCCTTTTTAAGCCTGCATTGCCGAGATGAACGTAGTTTCACAATATTCTAATAACTACAAATAATTTGTTTATTGGCTGCATTTGCCTAAAATGCCGATTTCCCTTATTTGAGAGACTTTCATGTGATTTCGCAGTGATTCTGGTAGGTACAGGTTAAAATGTATCACGCACAATTCTCGCCTATGAACGCATTACAGCGGTATAATAACAAACGGAATGCCTTAGAAAAACACGATTGCTGCCTTTTTAAAAAGACCATGTCACAATACGATAATTTGCAAACGAAATTATATATATTCACTCAATTTTGCACACAATCAATAATGTAAAAACTAAATACTTTCTTAATTTGTGCATGTCGAGACAACAATTGCATGACATTTGTCACATCAAAAACAAATATTTGGGTAACTTCTTTCTTAGCCATACCCATTAAATTAGCTCCTAAAATAATTGTACAAAAGCCCACACAATTTTATATTTTCAAATTGTTAAAATGTATAAAACTTTTGAAGTACAATAAGTAAATTGTTTGTTTTTCATTTATGAAACTCTAGTCGTAGCATGCTTTGTTCAAGTGATATCACGAAGCTTCGTTCGGCCAAACTGCTAAACTATTGTTTTCATCATCAAATTAATCTAAACCTAAAGTATAGCCATTTTATCTACATCAAATTACAATAGTTATGAGGAAGGATTTTCTCATTCCTTTTATTTCACAGTTCCCGGTGTATGAGGTCGTAGGTCATCCAGATCCTTGTACTTGGTCTTGTCGTACTTCGAAGCATCAATATGATCCTATGGAGAAATAAATTACAAGAGATTTTAATAAGTCCTTAAAATTTGAGGTCTTGCTGGAATGTACTTGAGACGTCATCTCATTAATTAAATATTCCCGATAAGTTGCTCCAAAGTAGCCCTACAATTTAAATGAGTTACTAAAAGAGAGAGTGTTTTTGGACTTTATTTAGGCCTATCGGTTGGTCATTGAAAGCAAATAACTTTCATTGTTAAACCTCTCTCTTGAATACTGTATTTTCATTGGCCTAGTTAGTACGATCACGTGTTCCATAAAAAGTCATGGCACACTCCTTTTGGGATATCACATATGTGATATTCCACAGGGAGTGTGCTATAACTTTATACGTACGGCACGTATACGATGTGAAACGCTTGTATCATTGGTACCCACGCTATTTTCACCACGTTTTCACACGTGAGTGGGAGCAGCGAAGTAGCAGACGATCAGCTGTTTCGAGCACGCGACATGCATGTGAGTTGACGTTTGATTGTCATGATTGTTGTGTTTACTGCTGTTTGTTTTCGTGATTTTTACATCAAATTCACAGACTCCAAGATACCGTCAATTGTTGACTGCTGTGATGTGGGATATGACGTTTTGAACACCCGAGGGGCGCATAGCACCCGAGGCGAACTTGATTGTCGATACAATTGCTTGAGCACATACCGTCTTGCCATTGGCCAGTAGTTTCTCCAAATCGAGGCTAAGAGTCCTGAATGAGGGTCGCTTCTTGGGGTTGTCGTCCCAGCATGCTTGCATCACAGAGTATCTAGTGGTAAAACAAAAATCAAAGTTAGTTTGTATGTACGAGCACCCTGAAAAAAGCTCTTTTTACTGTTTTTTGTGCGTGTGCAAAATATAAGATTGATAAGCCGTATTTGTTACACCTTTTGTGAAATATTATGTTATGATCTGAAATTTAATAATAGTGAAACGGGCGTAGCTAGTACAAAGCTTTGAGTTGCCCTACTTGTTGTTTTCTTATTTGCCAAAACAAAAAGACTTCAAACCGACTTACAGTTCCAGGGAACAATGAGCTGGTCTTTCCATACGATGGCCGACTTTCAACCTGTTGCTAACTTCGCGAGCTGACATGCCGGGATATGGAGTGGAGCCTGTCATGAATTAATTTGTTGTCAAAAAACAGATAAAGTGATTTGTCCATGTTTGTTTCTTGAACAGCTGTATCTTATTTCTGCTTTGAATTTTAGCGGAAGTACGTCTTCTAAAAATATAACTAACGAAAATAAACTTGATAAAGAAATAAAACGTAATGATAATAATAATAATAATATTTTTTTTGGAACTAAGTTGGAACTAAGATTATAGTGTACCCACAAATCTTATATGGAATTTAGGCTAGCACTGGTAATTCCACGGATTTCCCCAACATTATAGTGATGAAAGAAACTATAATTATGCTTCATGAAGATTCATTAATGCACTTAATTCCTAATCAACAATTACCGTAGGTAACAATCTCCCAGGTCAGGACACCAAATGACCAGATATCGCTCATTGTCGTGTACACGCTGGCGCAGATAGACTCGGGGCTCATCCATCGAATACCTAGCCGGCCCTTCACAGTGACAAAAACACAGAAAGGTATGCCTGTCACTTATTGTCACACTTTCATCAGTGTCGTCATTGTCGTAGGTGTCACCATTATTGTTGTCAATGTCATGGTCATCTACTTAAGTGCCATAATCAGTGTCATTGGTGTCATCTTCCTCATAATTGTCACTAGTGGTATCATCGTCTTCTTACAATCAAATCATTCAATCATAACTGCTATCATTTGTTTCATACCTCGGCGACATTCTCCACGACATTGCGGACTCGTGTAGCGTTGGACACCTTGCACACCATTCTCTGACCTAGAAGAATGTTCCTGGTCGTCAGATCACCATGAACAACCTTACAAAAGAGAAAAACGACCAACAGTTATACTCAGACATCTCTCACAGGCCAGTGTGAATTTTCTAAAACGTACATTTTCAATTTGGCACACAATTGTCGATTCACGTACCTTCTGTCGACTCAAGTAAGCCATTCCCTTAGCAACCTGCATGGCAAATGTTACAATTTCCCCCGATGAGGGCGTTTTCCCTCCTGGTGAATGTGGGCGGTTCTTCCTCAGGTGATCCAGCAGAGAGCCGTGTGGGGCGTACTCAAAAACCATGGTAACTGGATCTAGGGTGTAGAGTTACCAATTTCAATGAGAAGAGACTTCGTACAATTACTGAGGTTGGACTTGAACCTATGGATACACTCGACCAACGACCATGCCATAATGATGGCTGAATCGAATCTGACGCAGAAGTGGAATCCACACGTTTGAAGCAATTCAAACTTCAAAATGATATTTCCATGTTCTCATTGCTATTACATGTACATGCACTCAAGTGCATGTACATGTAATAGCAATGAGAACATGGAAATATCATTTTGAAGTATTGAAAATGTTTACAATACATTTTTAAAACAAACCACTGGGTCTCTAAACACCCTATTGGTTTAGATTAAAAATCAACAGTAACCCTTGAACGGTAAAACGTTCAGTTTTCAAGCGGGAGGTATATAGGTACAAGTTTGAAAATATTTGTTTACTATATCAGAGATTTGTAACAGCTGCAACGTACTTTTTAAAAGTCTCTGTTCCTTTTCGTTTACATAGACAGTGTACGGTTTGCCAAATACTGATTGTGACAGCAACAGAAACAGTTTTCAGGATACTATTATACTGATATGTGAACTCACCATAGAAGGTGCAGCAGCCCAGTAGGTTGACTACGTACGGGTGCTTCTGAAGTGACTTCATCACCTCTAACTCTTTCATAAAGGCCGCCTTAACCACGCCGCTAACAGGCTCTGAATATGAAGAAAAAAACAACATATGACCACAAATGAAAGCTGATGAAGCATTGTTTTAAGACACCAACACTGACAGTCGACAGTCTCAATTGTAATATAGTGAATCCATCATTTCGATACATCCTTCATTGTTGACATTTGCCCACTATACTCACGTTTGAGTTCCTTGATGGTTACCAGCGTCATTCCGTCCCGTCCGTGGATGTCCCAGGCCTTGCCCCGCCAGACAGGCCCATAGGTTCCCATGGCAACGGTAGACACCAGCTGGATGCTCTCTTTGGGAACCTCCCAGAAATTCTCGTTGATCTCGTCGACTTCAGATTTCTGCAATGATAAACACACAAGTAAAGGAAATTCAGTGGCAGCAGTGTCTGATGTGGATCACAGAAATACAGAGTTAAAGGATATCATCAGAGCTACAGAGATTTATGTTTTTAGACATGAAGAAAGACTACAAAGGTGACTTTTACCTCCCGTTGGAGAGCAGGCTTGTTCTGTGATCTTGGGGCAGTAGCGCCTTTGCCTTTTCCTGATGCAGCCTGCTCTAGTGTCTTGTAGCCTCCTCCTCCTCCAGCCGCTTGGGGTCCCTTCCCAGCCGTCGCTTGTTCCATGGTGATCGCTCCGCGAGGAGATTTGGGTTTCGCCCCCGTCGGCGGTTGTGCCCCTTGCTTGCCCGCCATGGCTTGTTCCACCGTGATTCCGCTAGCTCCTCTTGGTGAGTTGCCCGCTGCCTTCCCGCCAGTCAGCGCCTGCTCCATAGTCACCCCACCCCGGGGCGAGACCTGCTGGGCGTGCCCACCCTGGGCCCCAGTTTTACCAGACATTGCTTGCTGGACCGTCACACCTGCTGCTGGGCCTCTCTGCGGCTTGGTTGGAGGTTGCTGAGCTCCTTTACCGGCTGTGGCTTGTGTCATTGTCATACCCCCTGTGGCAGACAAAATGTTCTTCACTTAACCTTCCTCATTGTCATTAATACCATTGCAATTAGCTACTGTGTCATTGAAGCTCTCATTGAACTGAAATCTCTCCCATAAAATCCTTTCATACAAATAGTTACCGGGTATAGGCCTGCTTCCTTTCATTGATCCTTTGGAAAATTCTGAAATCCATAAGCGATTTTACTACTCACCAGCAGCGGCCTGTGGTTGCGCAAACTGCTTGACCCGGGCGCCTTTAGTACCCGTCATGGCTTCGTTCAAGGATTTGGCACCTGCTGCGGCCACGGTAGTCGGAGGCTGGTTGGTTGGCTTCTTCCCTTGCATGGCTTGGTCCAGATTTGCCAGACCTCCTCCTGACGATTTACCTGTTAAACAGGTCAAGGAGATTTTATCGAGCTCACAATCCAATGGATGACTCATAATGTGCGATAGTACACGGGTTCAAACCCTGACGGGAACCCGGTGCTTGTGTTCTTGGACAAGACGTTTTACTACAATATTATTCTTACCTGTGTTGTGTTGAGTTACCAGGGCTTCACGTGCCAGAGCTGCCAGGGCGGCTTCGGTGTTTCCAGCCGCGACTGCACCGCCAGCATCTCCCATGAGCTGACCGATACCACCGAAGCCTCCGTCAGCACCTGCCGCTTTACTGTGCTCCACTTGACAGCCAGCCATCTCTTGTAGCTGAGCGTCAAGCTACACGCAAGGAAAATACCAATATTATACCAAAAATACCGACATCAAATAAGAACTGTATATCCAGTGCTATCTAAGGCTTGCGAGAAAAATAACAAGCTAACTTGGATCATCGGATGGGACTCGAACCCTCGACCAGCTTACTGGTTCAGACGTCTTAGCACTCGACCACCGAGCTTGTTGGTTCGAATCTGATAAAGCAACAGATGCCATAATTCCAAGTCTATCAACTTGACAAAATGTTGATTTACCTGTTTCAAACCAGCCATCATCATTGGTGTATCAACTCTCAATGACGTATCCGGACGCGTACTCTCAGGCCTTGGAGTACGAAGCATTGAGACACGTTGTGTCGTGGCTGGCTGTGTTGGCTCGGCCGGCTTGAGCTTCGCAGACGCAGCGTCTTTCCCGGCTGTTGTCGGTAACTGGTTGGTCACTACGCCGGTCTCTGATATTGAGACAGCGATGTCTGGTGTACGAGGCACGGCCGTGTCGCTGCTTCTACGATTGGACTCGGTGTGTGGGGGTTTAGATGATGCGGTCCCGGGCCGGGACGGAGTGGAGGCTCGGCGCCTCGCGCTGCCGGGGCGCGAGGAAGCTGTACCGGGGCGCGAGGTAGCTGTACCGGGGCGAGAAACTGCCGAACCAGGCCGGGAGACCGCCGAACCCGGGCGAGAGACAGCCGAACCGGGCCGAGACACAGCCGAACCGGGGCGAGAAGACATCGAAGAGAAGGCACGATCCTCCGTGTCAAGCTTTGGAGGTAATAAAACACAAGCCAAATCAGATCATGACTGAGTTTCAGAAGCAGAAACAAATAACTTTTTTTTGTATTCAGGACGTATAGGTAATTGTTGCTTCCGTTTCTAAGCTGTTCTCAAATAACGCACACTAGCGTTTTAGTGTCACGCCAAACTATATTATTCCGAAGAGTCGAAGCCTATACAATTAAATTTAACGTTTGAATAATTTGGAGCCGGAGCGACTACATCATTGATGCAGTTGCTCGAAACAAAGTACATAAAGTTGGTAGGCCTACGCCAGTCGAAAACAGGTATCAAGGACATTATTTGGTAATTCTTGCCAACCCCGTAATCCAGCAGCGGAACTGTCTCTCCAAAGCGACCGTTCTTCTTCAACTTCGCCTTGAGCTGTTGACGACGCAGTTTAGCATCCGCGCTCTTCTTGCCCTCCTGAAGGACAAACAAAATTATTTTATTTTGAGCAGGAGATAATGTATAAATAACAGAGTATTTAAGGAGAGACTGACAATCTGGGAAGATGAATCTGACAGAAACGGAGTGAGTACCCTATTGTGAGTAGCAGAGTTTAACGAAGAAAGAGTGATAATAGATTGACAACACTCACCGGTATAATGCTCATGTCTGCCGCTTCTTTGTACAACTTTGATTTCTCTCTTTCTTCCTGTGAGTTAAAAAAAATGAAATAAAGCTTTAATTAATTTGGCTCTTAGCACAAACAATTTCACAACCAAGGCCTGATTTTATGACTTTGCGGAACAATTAGCCGAAGCGCTTTGTTAAGTATATCAGCAACGTGTAACATTCAGCACTATTGCAGGTTGTGGATGGTGGGGATCGGGAAGTAGAAACCATTTCGTGATCCTAAAAAACAAACATTCAAAAAAATTATGTATCTAAAAAGGCATCACAAATCCCTGAATCAATTCAAATGTCAAAAAAGAGGTTAACCTACTATGAGCTTGTTGCGTTTCTTGATCAGCTGGTGTTTGCGGATTCCGAGGACGATGAGTAGGATCAGGATGAAGCCACCCATGGAGCCGAAGATCACACCTAGAATCAGGCCGAAGTTGATGTCCATTCCCTGGCGGGTCACCTTCCGAACGTAGCCAAGAGGCACTACAAGAGGAAGAACAGAGGCACCGTGATTGGTGACTGCGATATGCAGCGATGGATCCTTGCTTAGCTCTTGGGGAGCTTACTCCCTAATTTCTAAAAAGTGAACCTAGGGACCTGACAATTCAAGGTGAAGAATTTCTTAAATTTTATATTGAAATACTTTGAGAAAAAAATAACTCTAGTGAAAGAAATCCTCCCATTTTTTTACCGAGAAATTCCGGGCATGCCAACTTGTACGCGTTAGCTTGAATGCAGAAAGTAGTATTCTGTGAATTTCTTCTTTCGCAGTGCCAAATTTCCTAGGACTGATAGTGCCCACTACCGCCGTTGCGGTTTGACCACACTTGCCAAGAATCGGCACCGGCTGCATTAGGTGAACAAAATCCAGATTCAGTCTTGGAAATTAAAAATACCTGGACATGTTTGCTTGAAGCAGCTCGTGATCTGTTCTGAATCATCCTCTGTAGGGCAGGGCTTGCCGCCGTTCCGAGGCGCTGGGTTGGTACATGTCCTGCTACGGGTCATGTTTCCCCTGGCACAGGTCTGGCTACACGGACTCCACGGGCTCCACTCCGTCCACTCACCTTCAGGAGCAAAATCAATTAATGAATTCTTTAATACAATTAATAATTATAATATCTCAAATCATTTCTCAATCAAATTCCGCTTCTTTATGACACGAGGTCAGTTTATACAGCAGTTGGGATCAACGCAATCTGGTATCTTTTCGCATTGATCCCCTACTCGTGAATGGTAGATGCACTGGCTGTAAAGTGTCTTGCCCAAGAACACAAGCCCCTTATAATGGCACGCCGTCTATACCTACCGTTCCTGACGCAGTCAAATCCTCTACACGGCCCGTAGGAATCATCACTGATTCCTTCACAAGGTTTGCCACCTCGTAACGGCGGTGGGTCATCACATCGTCTGGTCTTACGGCCGCGGCATGTACTGTCACAGGAATGCTCAGTCCATGCTCCCCAATTGCCGTCAACTGAAGAGGACATTTTAAAGGTAGATGCGTGTTATATACATACTTCAGGGACTCAGGCTGGCGTAACAAAACTATCCTTGCCTCTGTGATCCGTTTTGAATTCAAGACCGACGTGTGAATCTGGTGTTTGAGCCCCTACCTGAGTGACACCGTGAATTTTCCCTGCTTGTTGGTCAAAATCTACATGTCGTTCCAAGCAGTCAGAACACACAATAAATTGTGGTTTCTTTTTGGACGAAACTGATTTTAGGTTTACTTCGTTTCAATAGTGATAACATTTTGACGTGTTGAGCAATTGATGTAATTTTCTCACTTGAAAGTAGTTTAATGAATGGGCTTCCAAGTCATAATTAATTTTGGTGCTACATAGTTTTGATTATATATGAAATACATTTCTTTGTTTTTAGGCTCTGCTTATTTTTGACTCGCCTTTTGGGGTTTCTGCTTTTTGACTCGCCATGTACATGGATTAGCTTTATTCCTTTGTGTCAATTACAACCACAACATTGATAGTGTTTTGGGGTACGTTACTGTTTTTATAGTGATGCTGCATTGGAGGACATGTGAACAATACAGGCACAGGATATGTTGATAGGCTAATTAAACAAAAACTTGCATCTTTGGGCCAACTCTTGGTGGCGCTTTGTATTACGAATCGCTGGTACACTGCTGGCCGGCTATATATTGAACCTTACCTGGGCAATCCACGAGGCTGCAGGCTCCAGTCTTCCTGCCTTCCCCTGGGCAGTCATCCCCACCGTGTTCAGGTGGGGGATTGTCGCAGGTTCTGTAACGGTATTTGTAGCAGTCGGTGTTGCAGAGTGTCCAGTCTCCCCAACTTCCCCAGCCACCGTGAACTGTGTAAAATGCAAGTTGCATACATGTACTGCATATTTTTCAAAATAAAACAGTAGTTCTAGTGATGGAAGGTCGCACCCATTATTTTAGACCCGCAGTGATGAAGTTTCTACCTCACACAAAAATGTGTTGTATCTTCCCTGTCATACTATATAAATCACGGCTTAGTAATGTTTGTTGTACTCACTTGGGCAAGTGATATTTCCGCACGTGCTGTTTTCGACACCGATGCCCGTGCAGTTCGCTCCGCCGTGTGCTGGGGCGGGATCGGTACAGGTTTTCCGTCGGTAGGTGATACCGCCACCACAGGACACGCTGCATGGCTCCCAGCTACCGAAGTCTGTCCAGCCGCCATCGACTATAGACATGTGAGGTTTGAATGGAGGTAAGATTTGCTAGGTTTCATAAAATACTTTAGGCTAGGGGATTATCCTCAGGTTAAAGTTGATCCTCTTTAATAGACCAAAGACCTAATGACGTAATGGCTTTGTTTAATGCACTTTCCTATGGGAGCGAAGTCGGGACGCCAGACGAAGTCTACCACATAGAAAAGCACACATGTAAACAAAGCGTGACGTCATTAGGTCTCAGGCCTAGCCTACAGCATGTAAAGTTAACAATTCCATGATAAGAACGAAACAAAGAAGTCAACAACATCGATTTTGAAAGGATTCATGAAATGAAGTTTTCTTAGGAACACATTTTTGCAACTTTCTACTCCTCTTAATTGTATGAAAACTATTGGATATTTCATTTTGGGTTAATTTTTATTGAAAAATGCACTTCTTTATACTTTTAAGATTGTCCATACTTTTCCAGGCAACTGAGAACGATTATGTCTTTTCAGGAAGACATTGTTCTGTTTAGGGGTTTTCTGTTCAAAATGTGTCAACGCAAAAATGTGTTAATTGAAAACATTGTGGGAAAAGTTTGCTCATTGGCTTACTGCCATGTACTGACACCACAACGAATCACCGAAGAGAAGAACGTTTACAACGGCAAAATATCCGAAATTCTGGCAACTTTTGGTGCTGCCAAATAGATGTAACATTGAGGTTTCTGCCTGAAATGACATCATAGTTTTGCTCATGAATATGGAAATTTTCATTTGCATAAAAACCAAAAAGGCATAAAAAACCATTGAAAATGACAAAATGAAAATTGAAAATAAGGTTAAATGGGGCACAAAATTACATTGCATGGGCCCTTTATGCAATGCAATGCAGAGTCTACTTCATTTTTGGGGTCTTATAAATTTATGTAACTGCTTACACTGAAAAATTGCCTGGGTGAATTTTACCCAAGAAAGGGTGAAACTGGAACTACCCAAACTTGGGTTGTTCTTACGTTGCATTTAGGTTGTACAAAAATTCCTCCATTTTTATAGTTCTACTGATGAGAAAGAATGAATCTAGCTTACCTGGGCAAGCATGCGTATTGCAGGCGCCTTGCTGGAAAGCGTACCCCGTGCAATTCAATCCGTCTCCCGAAGGGGGCGGGTTGTTGCACTTACGGAATCTTCCCCGTATGCCCCCAGCACATGTTTGGGAGCACGGTAGCCACGCACCCCAGTCAGACCATTGGCCGTCGACTGCCGATAGACAGAAACGAAATTGTTAATTAAAATATAGTCATTATTGATGCGACTCCCTTAAAGGTTACCAATTACGTTTTTCATTTGGTGGTAGACATTAAACACCTGTTTTTGGACTAGCGTTCCGGATTGTTTCGAATCAATTCATCCGTTGAAAAGTGTTCCTCTACGTTTTGCTTTGACCACGGCCCTTCCAAGGCAAAACAATGCAACTCAAAAATGATCATTTTGAGAAAAAAGACTTTGAAGTTCCATCTGTTGCCATTTTTATGCTTTAAGTACCGTTGTGTTTTTTTTTTCATAGATTTGCGCCAGTTACATTTTTTTTTAATTCTGAAATTTTCAGACTGTTAAAAGCTTGGTTTCTTATACTTATTACCATTTTTATAAAGTTGCACTCTTATGCCGTGCGTTATTTGTCATATGTGGTTTACACATTCCAAGGCAAAACAATGCATCTTGTTTTGACAAGAGCACTTTTTCAGAAATTCTACGGCAGCAAAACTGTCAAATCTGTGATACATTCCACGGCAAAACAATGGATCTTTTTTTGAAGGGCAGCAAACATGTCAACTCTATGATACATTCCACGGCAAAACAATATCTTTATTTGAAGGGCAGCCGAAATTTTATAGCGCCCTCTGTTGTCAAAATATTACATGGGAAAAGGATTTTGTCCCGACCTTCACGAATTTTTGACACAAATTCATTCTCACCGTCTCACGTCAGCATTTTTTTCGGTACAACAATGCAAAACAAGATGAATGTTGAAATCGACAGAAGGGTTTTCGTGGCAAAACAAGGCAACTTGAGTTGGCTTGTTTGAATGCATACATAGTCTAAGGCAAAACAAAGCATCTATAAGATGCATTGTTATGCCACAGTAAAGTGCTATAAATTGTAATAAATAAAACAAAAACAACGCATATTCAGTTACATTCTTTTGCTCTGATTGATGTTAATTTAGAGAAGTCATTGCAATTAACAAGAGCAATGCCAATACAACTTAACCTTTTTTACCAAATAAAAAAATGCATTTTTGGAAAAACAACTTCAAGCAAAAAGGAGCAAAATGTAGATACACTGTTTTGCTGTTGAACAAAACAATACTTTCGGTAAGATACATTGTGCTGCCGTAGAATATTTGGGAAATGTCGAAAAAATTCCAAGACTGGCATAAATTAACCCGGAAAATAAATACCGTGCGACTTTCAAATTTTGCTTCATGAAAACAGCACCTCCATCATGGGCGTCGCCAGGATTTTTTCTAGAGGGGGGCAAAATTTTTTTTTGCCAAAAAGTGCTTGTATTTCTAGACACATTCTCGATTAATCAGTTTTAGAGGGGGGCAGGGACATTTTGCCCCCCACCCCAACTCATTAAATTTACACCACTTTGTCTTCGCGCCTCTTTTTTTTTTTTTTTTTCTTCTTCCTTTTTTCTTTCTTTTTTCCTTTTTTGTTTTTGTTTTTCCAGGGGGGGGGGGGGGAGGGCAAGTGCTTGCAAGTCCTTGCCCCCCCCCTCGCGACGCCCATGACCTCCATATTCCCTAGAAAGGTTATTATCTTAAAATGTCAAAATTTTGAGATGGTTTTGCCCCAGAAGGGCCGCGCTGTCAGCGGGCTTCACTCCGTGGTGTGTTTACTTGATATATCTCGTCTTGACGGTATCTTGTTATGAAAATTCCTGATTTTTTCGACATGTATGGAGAGCTAGTTAGCCTGGCTACAACGTCCAAAAATTTTGAAGTCCGTAGACCCAATACTCGTGGAGAAAAAGGGACATAAGCAAGAATATTTTGCCCAAGTTTGTTTCTGTATGTAAATTGCCATAGAGTAGGCTGTCAGCGGGATTCACTCTGTGGTGTGTTTACTTGCTATATCTCGTCTTAAGGGTAACTTGTTATAAAAAATTCCTAATTTTTTTGACATGTGTGGAGAGCTAGTTAGTCTGGCTACAACGTCCAACAAGTTTGAAGTCTGTAGACCCAATACTCGTGGAGAAAATGGGACATAAACAAGAATATTTTGGCCGAGTTTGTTTCTGTGTGTAAATTGCCATATAGTAGGCTGTCAGCGGGATTCACTCCGTGGTGTGTTTACTTGATATATCTCGTCTTGACGGTATCTTGTTATGAAAAATTCTTGATTGTTTTTTACATGTATGGATAGCTAGTTAGTTTGGCTACAACGTCCAACAAGTTTGAAGTCCGTAGACCCAATACTCGTGGAGAAAATGTGACATAAGCAAGAAAATTTTGCCGGAGTTTGTTTCTGTGCGTAAATTGCCATAGAGTAGGCTGTCAGCGGGCTTCACTCTGTGGTGTGTTTTCTTGCTATATCTCGTCTTGAGGTTATCTTGTTATGAAAAATTCCTAATTTTTTTGACATGTATGGAGAGCTAGTTAGTCTGGCTACAACGTCCAACAAGTTTGAATTCTGTAGACCCAATACTCGTGGAGAAAATGTGACATAAGCAAGAAAATTTTGCCGGAGTTTGTTTCTGTGCGTAAATTGCCATAGAGTAGGCTGTCAGCGGGCTTCACTCCGTGGTGTGTTTTCTTGCTATATCTCGTCTTGAGGGTATCTTGTTATGAAAAATTCCTAATTTTTTGACATGTATGGAGAGCTAGTTAGTCAGGCTACAAGGTCCAACAAGTTTGAAGCCTGTACACCCAATACTCGTGGAGAAAATTGGACATAAGCAAGAATATTTTGGCCGAGTTTGTTTCCGTGTGTAAATTGCCATAGAGTAGGCTGTCAGAGGGATTCACTCCGTGTTGTGTTTTCTTGCTATATCTCGTCTTGAGGTTATCTTGTTATGAAAAATTCCTAATTTTTTTGACATGTATGGAGAGCTAGTTAGTCTGGCTACAACGTTCAACAAGTTTGAAGTCTGTAGACCCAATACTCGTGGAGAAAATGGGACATAAGCAAGAATATTTTGCCCGAGTTTGTTTCTGTGTGTAAATTGCCATATAGTAGGCTGTCAGCAGGATTCACTCCGTGGTGTGTTTACTTGATATATCTCGTCTTGAGGGTATTTTGTTATGAAAAATTCTTAATTTTTTTGACATGTATGGAGAGCTAGTTAGTCAGGCTACAACGTCCAACAAGTTTGAAGTCTATAGACCCAATACTCGTTGAGAAAAAGGGACATAAGCAAGAATATTTTGCCCTAGTTTGTTTCTGTGTGTAAATTGCCATAGAGTAGGCTGTCAGCGGGATTCACTCCGTGGTGTGTTTTCTTGCTATATCTCGTCTTGAGGTTATCTTGTGATAAAAAATTCCTAATTTTTTTGACATGTATGGAGAGCTAGTTAGTCAGGCTACAACGTCCAACAAGTTTGAAGTCTATAGACCCAATACTCGTGGAGAAAAAGGGACATAAGCAAGATTATTTTGCCAAGTTTGTTTCTGTGCGTAAATTGCCATAGAGTAGGCTGTCAGCGGGCTTCACTTTGTGGTGTGTTTACTTGCTATATCTCGCATTAAGGGTAATTTATTATGAACAATTCCTAATTTTTTTGACATGTTTGGAGAGCTAGTTAGTCAGGCTACAACGTCCAACAAGTTTGAAGTCTATAGACCCAATACTCGTGGAGAAAATGGGACATAAGCAAGAATATTTTGCCCGAGTTTGTTTCTGTGTGCAACTTGCTATGGAGAAGGCTGTCAGCGGGCTATCCTTTGATATATCTCGTCTTTACGGTATCTTGTTATAAAAAAAATCCTGATTTATTTGACATGTATGGAGAGCTAGTTAGTCTGGCTACAACGTCCAACAAGTTTGAAGTCCGTAGACCCAATACTCGTGGAGAAAATGTGACATAAGCAAGAAAATTTTGCCCGAGTTTGTTTCTGTGCGTAAATTGCCATAGAGTAGGCTGTCAGCCGGATTCACTCCGTGGTGTGTTTTCTTGCTATATCTCGTCTTGAGGTTATCTTGTTATAAAAAATTCCTAATTTTTTTGACATGTATGGAGAGCTAGTTAGTCAGGCTACAACGTCCAACAAGTTTGAAGTCTATAGACCCAATACTCGTGGAGAAAAAGGGACATAAGCAAGAATATTTTGCCCAAGTTTGTTTCTGTGTGTAAATTGCCATAGAGTAGGCTGTCAGCGGGCTTCACTCTGTGGTGTGTTTACTTGCTATATCTCGTATTAAGGGTAACTTGTTATGAACAATTCCTTAATTTGTTTGACATGTATGGAGAGCTAGTAAGTCAGGCTACAACGTCCAACAAGTTTGAAGTCTATAGACCCAATACTCGTGGAGAAAATGGGAGATAAGCAAGAATATTTTGCCCGAGTTTGTTTCTGTGTGCAACTTGCTATGGAGTTGGCTGTCAGCGGGCTATCCTTTGATATATCTCGTCTTGACGGTATCTTATTATAAACAAATCCTGATTTATTTGACATGTATGGAAAGCTAGTTAGTCTGGCTACAACGTCCAACAAGTTTGAAGTCCGTAGACCCAATACTCGTGGAGAAAATGGGACATCAGCAAGAACATTTTGCCCGAGTTTGTTTCTGTGCGTAAATTGCCATAGAGTAGGATGTCAGCGGGCTTCACTCTGTGGTGTGTTTTCTTGCTATATCTCGTCTTGAGGGTATCTTGTTATAAAAAAATCCTAATTTTTTTGACATGTATGGAGAGCTAGTTAATCTGGCTACAACGTCCAACAAGTTTGATGTCCGTAGACCCAATACTCGTGGAGAAAATGTGACATAAGCAAGAAAATTTTGCCCGAGTTTGTTTCTGTGCGTAAATTGCCATAGAGTAGGCTGTCAGCCGGATTCACTCCGTGGTGTGTTTTCTTGCTATATCTCGTCTTGAGGTTATCTTGTTATAAAAAATTCCTAATTTTTTTGACATGTATGGAGAGCTAGTTAGTCAGGCTACAACGTCCAACAAGTTTGAAGTCTATAGACCCAATACTCGTGGAGAAAAAGGGACATAAGCAAGAATATTTTGCCCAAGTTTGTTTCTGTGTGTAAATT